GATTACGGTGATCAAGGCAATCAAGGTGATTGGGGTGGTCAACGTGGTGGTGGCAGACGTGATTACGGTGATCAAGGCAATCGAGGTGATTGGGGTGGTCAACGTGGTGGTGGCAGACGTGATTACGGTGATCAAGGCAATCAAGGTGATTGGGGTGGCCAACGTGGTGGCGGCGGCCGACGTGATTACGGTGGTCGAGACGACCGTGGAGGGGATGGTGGGTTTGAGCGTGGAAAATCTGCGAGAACTGGTAATTCAGGGCGTGAAGGCCGCTTCCAAGATGGTCGAGGTGATGATGATAGGATGCCACTGGCACCGTTTGATGAGAAGGCCGCTAAGACCCTCTTTGATATGAAGCGTCAGTATAAGGGTGCCAAATCCGGGAAGGAACGGCGAGAAATTCAACGTGAAGCCCGCCGAGTTATTCGCCGCGCACGAATTGATCCTTCAACACAGGATGAGAAAACGGTAACAATGCTTCTCAACTGTGCTGCCACATTCCGTAGTTATCCACATTCGGAGGGTATCAAACAGGCTGTGGAGTGGATGCGACAAAACATTGATGCTCTCTCCCCACAAAATTTGGCTCTTTTTGCTAATGCTGTTGGTGCATTATCCGTAGTAGATAGTGATATTATTTTACTTCAAGAGGTCTCACCTGCTGTTCAATCAGTCTTTACACAGATGAGTCCTGTTGAGTTAGTAATGGTTCTTCAGGCTTTTCAGCGTGAAAAAGTTTCAGACAACGGCCCATTACAGGATTCTATGTTACAACAATTATCTTCTTGTGTACCTCAGATGCCTGTTCCACAGCTATCCACATTGGCAAGTATCCTTGTAACTGCTCCTCTTCGTAAGAGCAATGAAGCTGCATGGATCGAGATGACAAAAGCTGTGGCATCAAAAGCAGTATCGAATGTAGAAAAAATGCATTCTAGGGAAGTCATCACATTATTAAAGGCTGCCCCGCACCTTTCTGTTCCTGAGGAACACAGCCTTCAACTCGTTAATAGAGCTATAGCGACTGTGGGTTTTCACACAGATGAGCAAGTGGGTGAAATTCTTGAAGCTGTGGCAGCTTACCGTGAACAAAATACTGCAGGAAAAGAGCTGCAAGATAAGCTTGATGAATTGATTAGCGTTCTCTGGACGCGTTTACAAAAGGTAGCACCCTACGCTGATTTAGCGAGTGCAACATGGATTATGCGTCAGTCGCGGAAGTGTGGGGTAAATGTTCCCCCTGCAATTATGGAAGCCTTACTAGAGGCGGTAACGAGAGAACTCCGTTACCATCGCTACACATTTCGCCGATGTGCAGCTTTGGCTGAGGCTTTGGCGGAACAAAAGGCACCTGCCAAGTTGCTGCTGCAGTTACTTGGGGACTACTGCATTGGTAAGCGTCCCCCACGTGAGGATCGGGAAGCGGCTGACCCACAGGATGAAGAAAATACCCGGGAAGTTCGCATGGATATTTATGCACGCTTTCTTGGAGATCTCACACGAGCGCGTGTTGCACTGGAGGATGCCTACAATGCCCACCCCAATAACGGCGAGCCAGGTGAGAGTTTGGCTGTCGTTCTCCCCCAACGATTGGAGGAGAGTGTCCAGGATGCATCACCACGTGAGGTGTTGAAATGTGTACGGTCACTTTGTACAGCATCTGAAGATTGCCGCACACGTAACCACACGAATAGTGATAAGATAATGAATTTAGTGGAACAACGACTATCTAAGGAACGTGAGAGTTTTCTAAAGGAGTTGTCGAAAAAAAATATAGAGGATTTTATCCTTGCTGTGGGAGACGCACCTCGCGCAAAAAAGATTGTCCGGGTAATCTCTAACTGAGAGGCGTAGAGGATACACTATTTACACATACTCATTTCACATCCCATGCCCACACACTCACAAATTAGCTTATTATTATACATATTTGTATAATAATGAACAAAATCACGTAGTCACAATTTTGCAAAAGTAACTGTGTATGAGAAAAAAAAAAAAAACGAAAAAGGAACGAAAAGAAAAAAACGACAGTTGCCAAATGATTTTTTTTTTTTCTTTCTCCATTAATCGTTGCCAGAGAATAGTAAGAGACTCGGGTGAGAGCGGTGCAAGTGTGAAGAATGCTCTTTCTACATAAGGGGGATTTCACAATAGGTATAAAGTAAAAGGGTGTCTAGCACCTTTGTTTACTCTATTTTTTTTTTTCGTTTTATTATTATTATTATTATTATTATTATTATTATTATTATTATTATTATTATTATTATTGTGTTTTCTTTTTTTACTGTTATGTTTATTTGGGTTTATACGATATCGATTGACTCATCTTAAATAATTCTGTACTGGGGTTTCTCTTTTCAAGGGTGATATTAGGTCAGTGATTCTCACTAGAGGGGTATCTCAGCCACTGACTAGAGGGTTTCAGGGCAATAAGGTCATGTATGTCTGGCTTATGGAGTTTCAGAGATAATACTCTTCCCTCACCATCTCTGAACAAGGCTGTGAAATCGTGTCTCCCTACAGCAGTTGATGATAGTAATAATGATGATGGAAATAATGGTGATTGTTTTGTAGAGAACATAAATGTAGAACATAGTTCTCTCCCATTGGAAGATGCTGTAAAAACTTTTGGTACAACGGTAGACGTTGATGAAATTGTTAAGGAAGTTCAAAACGAATGGGTCGAGCGTACTTTGGGGCTTGCAAAGACATCTTCTTACCACTTATTAAGAAACCAACAGGATACATCAAATAATACAAATCAACCAACGGGAGAAGTTATGGTTCCTACACCTGTATATGAACCCTTGGACGAAGAAGATATGACCGTATTAAGAAGTTTGCTTAATTTGCATACAAATTCTGGCCAAAAGAAAAAGGCACATACTCGTCCGCGGAAGAGCTGTCCTACCGTACCCAAATCACCGATTCTGCACACGGCGGAGTTGGCTTCTCGACGGGAAAAGCAACAGAATTTCAGCAATGGGAATGATACTGAGAACAGCATAGTAACAGCAGAGTCAGAGCAAGACATTTCAAACAAAACGCATATACCAAAGGGTGACGGCTCTTCAAAAAACGATGGCACCAGTAAATATACAGAAAGTAAGACAAGAACTGTTCCCAAACCAATAATATCATGTACTTTTGTAGACCGTATGGAGGAACGAGCAAAACAGCGCCGAGAAGCCCGGGCGGCGTTAGAGACGGCTCGGAGGCGTGAAGGTACAACTGATCTCTTACCCATCACTCATTGTGTTGTGAGAATGAGAGGTAATGAGGGAGAAAAAATGACCTCATCGTTTAAAGATTTACAACAACCAGAAACTTCTTTTCATCACGTCTTTCCTGGGGCTTTAGTGTCCACTGAAAAGCCTCTGGATTCCCATAATGAGAAGGAAGCTATGTCACGTCAGTGGAATAGCATGCAACGAAAGAAATTAGTTTGGAGACGTTGGTCTCATGTTTATGGGAATCGATCAGGGATACGAAAATCCGAGAAAATACTCATTCAAACGAATATCTCTGGTAGTTGTTCTTCCATATCAGATACAGGGAATTCTGTTTTTGGTTCTTTACAATCTTTACCGTCAAGTTCTTTTAGTTTACATGAGATGCAACTACTTCGGTGGTACTTTGTGGTTTGGGCTTCAGTTTTGGAGAATATCTCATCTTCAACCCGCACTTGTAACTGAATCTTACCGTGTTTGAGTGTAAACAGAAAAAGGAAGGAAAATATCCTTTCTCTCTCTTCAGTAATTTACAGTTTCTAATGGTTTTTTTTTGGCTTGAGTTTTTATTTATTTATTTGTTTTTTTATTACAGTGGTTAAATGAGTTTGCTTTTTCCTTTTTATTTCTTAAACAAAAAAAAAAAAAAAATAGAATAATTACAGGGAAATCAACACGAAGAATACTTAGCAAGCTGTAGAGTTTGTACACTGACATTATCGGTGGATCCTATACCAAAGACAAATCAAGAGCAACATCATCACCAAAAAAAAAGCAAGAAAAAAACAAAACAAAACAAAAACTAAAAACAAAACAAAACAAAACTCAGAGCAAGGGGATAAGAAGAAAAAAGAAAAAAAGAAAACAACAACAACAACAACAACAACAAGAGGTAAAGTAAACAGCAACTGGAGCAAACGAAAGAAAGAAAGAAAAAAGACAAAAACAACGAAATCATGGCAGCAGATTATTCAGGGTACTTGCAGAAAGCGGGTGGAAAGTTCTATAAAAAGAACCGAACTCGGTACTTTGAGCTTCATGGTGTAATGTTATACTACTGGAAGTCAAGACCCTCAAAGCCTAATGATGCACCTATTGGTAGTCTTGATCTTACTGATGTTCGCTGTATTGAGGATGCAAAGGAACCAAGATCTTGGACGATAGAGGGTAAAAATCTACCAAAGACCTACACCTTTACCGCTGACAGTGAACAGCAGAAGAAGACGTGGGTAAAGAAGATGATGAATGTGAACACGGCGAATACAGAGAGATTAAAAACTTCAGGTCAAAGCAGTGATGAAGATGAAGCAGTGGCTGTATACACTGGAGGGAAACCTAAAATCTCAATTGACGATTTTGAACTTATAGCAACAATTGGGGAGGGATCTTTTGGTCGTGTCTATCAAGCACGTGAAAAAGGTACAGATAACATCTTTGCAATAAAAGAAATGAGGAAGGAAGTGGTTGAACGTGAAAATATGGTGGAACACATTTCCGCTGAAAAAGTTATTCTACAAAACATAAGTCATCCTTTTATTGTATCACTTCACTATGCCTTTCAGACAAGTAGCTGCCTATACCTTGTACTTGAATTCCTTTCAGGTGGAGAATTATTTTATCACCTTGGTAATGTCAGGGTATTTGATGAATACCGTGCTAAATTTTACTGCGGAGAGATAGGTCTAGCCATTGGATATTTGCACAGTCGAAATATTATTTACCGTGATCTCAAACCAGAGAATGCCGTACTTGACAAGGATGGTCATGTATGTCTAACAGACTTTGGATTGGCCAAAATGGATGTAAGTGATGCGTGTAATTTTACCTTCTGCGGTACACCAGAGTATTTGGCACCAGAGTTTCTCCGGGCGATGCCACACGGAAAAGCCGTTGACTGGTGGTCGCTTGGAATTATGCTTTACGAGATGTTAGAAGGTATTCCCCCATTCTACAGTGAAAACACAAGCACCGTGTATGAACAAATCCTCACAGCAGAACTGAAGTTTGGGACTGGCAGTGATGATGAAGGGGATTTACCAAAGATATCAGAAGAGGCACAAGATTTGCTTCGCCGACTGCTAGATCGAGATCCAGAGACACGTCTGCAAGACTTAGAGGAGTTTAAAAGGCATCCATTTTTTCACGATATTGATTGGGATAAACTAACTCGGCGAAAGATTGAACCACCATTTCGGCCTAGCGGGAATGCACTCTGCAACTTTGACACGATGTTTACATCGTTAGAGCCTCAGGTAAGTCGCCATGATGATGACGACGGGGAGCACGCTAACATTGCTGGTTTCACTTTCGATGGGAGTGCAAAAGCTACATAGTATAGTTATTCTTTTCTTTTTCATTTTTAATTTCATTGTGTATGGGAAGATTGTGTGTTATTGGACTGATATTTTCAATACCCACACCTTCTCTGTTTCCGGTGTTGACCGGTATTGTTGTAGAACTCCGTTACTGAAAATATCTGAAACAGTGTTATTATTATTACTATTATTACTATTATTATCATTGTTATTATTATTGTTATTATTATTGTTGGTACTGATGGTGATGTTTTTATTTGTATTTGTTTCTGCCTTTGAATGGGGAGGAGTTGAGCAGTACGTGGGGGTGGGTCCATCACATGTGTGAATGAGAAAAGAAGAAAAAGATGATAAAAAAGAAAAAGAAAAAAAGAGTGATGATTTCTTTTCTCAGGACTAATTCCTGGGCATCTGTGCATGTGTGCATATGCGTGTGTGTGTGTTTGTTTGCATTTTCCTCCTTTAAGTGCATAACAGCAAGAAAACAAACGAACATAAGGAAGAAAAGCAAAAAAGGAAAAAAAAAAAAAACAAATCTGGCTTGAGAGATGTGATGTACTATGAACATCATAGGATCTTTGCTTCTCTAGTTCAAAGATTTTTTTTTTCTTTTTGCTTTTTTTTTTTTTCTATGTTGTCCTTCCTCTTCCTTTGAACATTGCCGAGGTTCAAATTGAAGATCGTAGAGAGGGGAAAAAGAAAAAAAAAAAGAAAAACAAAAATGAAGAATAATTTCAACGAAAAGAAAGAATGATTGATCTAGAGAAAAAAAAAAAAAAACAATAAGATTAATAATTCTTTCTACGTTGACTGGATGTTTTCTTTTTGTTTTTCTTTTTTTCGTTTTCTCCTTACGTATAGTTTTTTTTTCTTTGATTTGTTTTCTGTTAACTGTGTTTCTGTTTTTGTTTTTGACCTGCTGTGTGTACTGGATATTAATGCCTACTGCTGCTGTTGCTGCTGCCGCTGCCGCTATTACTGCTCACTGTAGAGACAACCGGTAGTGTCCTGCGCAAGGAGCACAGGCTGATGGAGACTGCAGGAATGAGAAGGAAGAAGAGATGATAAGAACTGGAGGGAGAGCACAAACTATATACAGTGGTAAGGGAAATAATAAAGAAGAAAAAAATAATAAAAACAGAGGAAAATCAATGGAAATAATAAAAAGAATAGAGGAAGGAATAAGTCAATTAATATATATATATATATATATATATATATATATATATATATATATAGAGAGAGAGAGAGAGAGAGAGAGAGAGAGAGACGTGAGGACAGGAACAAAAACAGCGAAAAAAAAACAAAACAAAAAGCACAAACCGTGCAAAAAAGGGGAAAAAATTAATAAAGTAAAAGGGACAAGAAGTAAGATAAAAGGTATTACAGCAAGAAGGAAAGAAAAATTGAAAATATGCAAAATAGAATGCCATTGCTTTCTTTTATCGTTGAGCACAACCGGCTGTGATATCTATATATGGACGTCTCTTATAATGAGGTTTTTTTTTCCCCATTATTTTTGGTTGTTCTTTTTTTGTTTGTTTGTTCATGTACTTCTGTAAATCCATGGCTGTTCATGTTACTTGAATTCTTTTTATGTCCCTTATTTCTCATTTTTATTAATCACTACCACTACCACTGTTAGTGCTTACTCTTATTACTGTTACAACTATTATTTATCATTTCTTCTTGTGTCTTTTAGTACTGTTTCCACATTTAGTGGAATCGTGCTTGTTGCTCATCAGCTATCCTATTCTTCTTTTACCTTTTTTCTTTTTCTTTCTTATTGCCACTACTGTGTGCAAATATTAACTGTCCCATTCACAGTACAAACTGAAAAACGAAAAGAAGGATATATACATGTGAAGAAAAGATATTTACCTACTATTTTTTTTTGGTTGACACCACTTTCTTTTCTTATTTTTTTTTTTCCTGAATGCGTATATTCTCTTTGACTCATTGTCATTTTTATCCCTGTTTTTTTTTTTTTTTTTTTTGCCCTTCTTGATTTAAAATATATATGATTGTTTGTACGTATACGTATCCATTATATATGTATATAATATGTATAAAATGAGAGAACGAACGAGATAGAGTAGGATCGAAAAGAAAGGGGAGAAAAAAAAAAAGAAAAACTAAATCATAGGTCCATGTTGACTATACAGAGACTTCCATCGCCGTTAATCACAACTGGATTACTGTTGTTGCTCTTACCGTTGTGTTTGACTTTCACCTGCAGTGCCGCTCCCGCCCACGCCCCCACACTGTTGAGTGTGGCCGGCAGTGTGGTGGTCCCACTCAACGCCACCCCATTCATTGACGTTCAGGTCGTCGACGGGAGCAGCGGCGCCGTTCTCCGCTTCCTCCCACTCGACGCCAGCCGCACCTTCGCCTTCGCCGGCCTGCCGCCAGCCGCCACGGAGGTGCGTCTCTTCCTGCGGCTGCCCGAGCGGCGGTTCCGCTTCTCGCCGGAGGCCTCCACACTCGCCGTGGCCATCCCGAAGAATACAGTCGGCGGCGTGGCCCCGTGGCTGCAGCTCACCGCAGCGGTGGAGGAACTGCAGAGCACACCGGCCGGCGAACAACAACAGGGAAGTCTTCTCGCCCTTCTTGTGACGGTAGTGGGAATGGTACTGGCAATCGCAGGGCGGCACAAACTCGTTTCGTTACTGCATTTACCGGTCGTGAAGCTGCCAAAGCAGCGCAGGATGGTTGTACCTATGAGTAGGTAGAAAGACAAACAGAGAAACAAAAGAAAAAGAAAAGAAAAAGACGAAAAAAAAAGAATCATCAAGGAGAATTTATCTTTTAATCCTTGTTTTATGTTTTTTTTTTTTGGTTCTCCTTTGTAGGTGTGCAAAAATAACGTGATGGGAAATAAAAATAATTTTTAAGTGACTACTCACTCCTTTTTTCATTTCTATTCATCTTCTGTATTGATGCTATCTAACGGTAATTGGTATTACCACTTTCATGTTTTTCTTATTTTGTTTTTGGAGATTTAAAGGACTTTTCTGTTGGGTGGTGTGGATATAGTCTGTGTTTGGCTCCTCTTTATTTCTTTTTTTTTTTCTTCTGTATATTTTCATTTTCTTTACATAACCTAGTCATGAAGGAAGAGGGATATTAGTTGAGGAAACTGTGAAAAAAAAAAAAAAAAGAAAAAAAAAAAACGTTCACATGAGTAGTATAGATGTTTCAAACAGGCACGATGTAGAGGTCACTATAGCTATAGCGTCTACTATAATATATGCTGTATTACTTTTTCTGGGGAGTATTATTTTATTTCTCTGGGGAAGTAAAAATACCTTTTTTTTGTCCCACAAGAGTAGTAGGGGTTTTTGGTTTCTCTTTGTCTTTTCTCTTATACCGACTGTACTATTTCTTGGCATTATAGGTCCATGGATTTGCGTGGCCTACAATTCTCTTTCAGGAGCTGTGGTGTTTCTTATTGTTCCAGGGGTGTTGCTTTTTCTGTTGATATTGTCGTGGTGTGCGCTGCAGTCGGAAACTAACATAACAACAAACGGGACTCTTGACCTTGATAATTTATAGGATAATGGTGTGCAAACTTCGAAAAGGATATTTCATTCGAGAATAGGGTTCTCGTCATTAATAATAGTAATAATAATTCAGTGTTGCCACTGTTAAAAGAAGTTTCATTAAAAGGATTGAATTGAATCACACCTACTGAACGGATAAAATGGCACCAATAGCATTCGTACTAAGAGCTGAAGTGAAGGTGAAGGTAAAGGAAAAAAAAAAGAGAAGAAAAAAGCTGCGAAAGGATCTAATAGTGGTGAAGGCAGATTTGGTGGTGGAAAGAAAAAGAAAAAAAAAAACAACAACAAGTTTAAACCCTCCCCAAATCTCCCCCACTCCCCCCGCAAAAAAAAAAAAAAAGGGACTATGATTATCACTGCCCTTTTTTACTGTACATTAGATATTGTTTTCCTTGACGGATTTGTTACAGGAATATATAAATGTGTTCTTAAAGCTGTAAACCAGTCCGACTGACTGGATAGAAAGTATTTATACCTTTTGGCTTGGCTCTCCTTACCCCTATCCTCCTTTTCAGTTTTCTTTTTTCTTGTTTTCTATTTATTTAACCTTTTTTTTTCTTAAAAATTCGTTGAATCTATTCTACCCCTCCTTTTTTAAAAAAAAAATATAATTCTAAAGCAATAACGTTTCTAGCTACGTGGCGACTACGGCGAGCGTTGGCTTCAACAAGGATTCTCCTAATGTCTCGAAGACCTGATGCTGCGTCTGAAACAGGCTCGCACCCTATTCACGGCTGCGACACAAGCGGGCGACACTACAAATCGGCTGAAGAAATGTGGGCTCATGAACTTCGTGGAGACTTATACAACAAAGAAACTGGTTGGTATGGGAAGTCCCTGGAGTACTGGTCTTCTGTCCCGGCTACGGTAAGTGGTGTTTTGGGTGGTATGGAACATATTCACGATGTTGACGTGAAAGAGTCCCGCGAGTTTGTGACATCTCTACCAGATCGTGGTACAACACGGGCGTTGGATTGTGGTGCTGGCATTGGTCGCATTACAAAGACACTACTCAGCACTATGTACACCATCACAGATGTCTTGGAACCAGTCCCTAAAATGCTTGATAAAGCAAAGGAGGAACTTAAAGGTCTTCCTGTGGGAGAATTTATTCTTTCTTCTATGGAAACTGCAACACTTAAGCCACATACGTACGATCTTATTGTTATTCAATGGACAGCAATCTATTTAACTGATGAAGATTTTGTGAAATTTCTGGCGCATTGCAAGACTGCGCTGACTCCTAACGGTTATATATTCTTTAAGGAGAATTGCTCCTCCGATGATGGGTTTATCGTCGACAAGGAAGACAGTAGTCTAACTCGCTCGGATGCGCATTACAAGCGCATTTTTGCAGCAGCAGGTGTCGAGGTTGTGAAGGAAGCCATGCAGAAGGAATGGCCAGAAGATCTTTTTAAAGTAAAAATGTACGCACTACGTTAAACCACAAAAAAAAAAACATATTTTATATTTCTCTCTTTCTTTGTTGCTTGTTTTTTTTTTTGTTTTACCCAAGAAGGCAACTCGTTTACCTCTTGAGAGAAGCTAATGAAGACGGTGAGGAGTGTCTGTATATGTTTATGTGGAGGCATGGGAAGTGAAGAATGAGGGGCTGAAATTCCAGCAGTTGTGGTAACTCAGCATTGCGTGCATCAATTACCCTTGACACAATTCTTTCAAGTAAACTTTATTTATTTTGGCTTGTGTGCTTTTTTTTTTTTTCTTTCTTTTCGTTCACTGACTGTTGTGAAACCCCCTCCCTTCCCTGGGTTGTGGGGTTCTTTTGAATGATGTGGAAATATTTAAAAATCTTAATTCTGTTTTTTCTTCTTACTTCTCTTTTCCCTTTCTGCAGTCAAGCAGATATATCAGGTTTATCTCTCATGTTAACGTTTGATAAGCTTCCTCTGGCATTGGGATCGGACCACAATGAGGCTCTAGAGGACACTGTGGACAATGTCCTTGCGAATTCACACAGCGTGCTGACGACGACGCGACGTATGAGTGAGGCGGGTCTCGACAGCGTTGGCCTTGTTTTCAAGCATACGAACTTTGACTTCCGCCCGGCTGCGACTCATGGCGTGGAGTTCGAGGGGGACTCTTTCCCCGGTGCCGTTGGGGCTCTCCGGGCGCAGCTGGAGGAGTGCCGTGCGGTGCTGCGGCGTGTGGAGAGCGAGCGGCGGTACCTGCGGGCGCGGGCGGCGGAGTTGCAGCGGGGCGTCGCAGCGGCGGAGGGGCAACGCGAGCGGCTGCGGGAGGCGGCGGCGACGGCGGCGCGGGAGGCGCGGGAGGCGCGGCGGGCGGCAGCGGCGGGGCGGCGGCGGCTGCGGGAGGCGGAGGCCGCGGCGATGACAGCGACGGAGGAACAGATGAGACTCCGCCGGTATGTGCGGGCCGCCCCCTTCACCCCCGCGGACGCAAGAGCCATCGTCCCCGACAGGCGCTTCGAGGAGGCCTTCCGGGATAAGATGGACGCCATACGCTACAAGCGACGATATCAGCGCGCAAAGCTGCTGCATCAACAGCGGGCAGAGGCTGCAGAGCGGGAACGTATGGAGGCGGAGGACGATGCAGATGATACCTCAAACGGACTAAACGCCTCGAGTACCGTTACACTAGCTGCAATGCCAGCAACACCTAACACCAACCTCAGTAGCAGTTTTAATGGACTTTCTCTCTCTCAGTTGGGATCCACAAGTATTTCGACAAGGGAATTACTCGGTGGTTCCTTTCAGCTTCCTTTTGTACACACTACCCCGAGGGATAGTTATGTTCTTGCATTAATTCAGAAGGCATCAAGTAGTGAGGCACTAACACGTCTACGTGATGGAATTATTCGTATTTGTTCTCGTCTTAAACAAGGACAAGATCATGGGATGCGCAGTTTGTATACTCTGATGCTTGAATGTATGCGTGTGGGAGACCGGTTATCAGGTGCTTTTTTCACAGATCCTAAAAAATCTTTTGAGATAGTTGTTGAAAAGACACAACGTACACATCGTGATTTACTCTATGATTTACTTGAACTCGTTAACTCTGCCGTTATAGATGTTGCAGAGATGGAGTCTTCCTCTACTAAAAAAAAAGTTACCAAGCATAACGCCGGATGCAGTGTATATTTTCCAGGTGTACCAGATCTTCGTCTCGCTGACATTGAGGAGAGACTTGAGACACAACGACAAAAACAAAACATGGAAGCATCAATATGTAAAAACACATCAACAACAACAGCAGGGAAACCTAATTTTCCAGAAGAGTTACACTGTATGAGACCAGAATGTACATCATTACGTCAAAAAACCTTGTTTACACTGGAACAATTGTTATGTCTTCACAAGGCCTTTTACAAGACTGTAGATTTTGTGCATTCGTACTATGCCCCCACGGATATGGGAATAGAAGACACATTCAAAGGCTTAAATATCTTCGCAACTGAGGCAACTCTCGAAAATCCACGTTTTGAGACAAAGGTTGCGGAAGCTGTTGAAGCAGATATACAGCAGGCGGATAAAATTACAGAGTGTATAGTGACTGCGGCGAAAACTCCGTCTTCTGGGGCATCAAAACATAAGACTTCCATGTCCAGTTCTTACCCTGGACCACGATCCGAGCAGCAGCAACAACAACAACAACAACAACAACATCTGCATAAGCTGAAAGAAGAGCCTCGTCAAATGTTTCAAACACCCAAAGGAAAAGTTAATTTGCGTGGAAAAAGTCGAGGTCACACATCTAAATTGGCCAAAACACCACCAATTCCATCGAAAGAAGCACCTTATTTTGCACGACGCTTTATCTATGCAAAGACAGAGGATATAAATGATACGACATTGGTTGATACTAAACAAAGTCAGGTAAATAGTCCACACCAGTCAATTACACAACTGAATGTAACTGAACCAGAGCGTCCCAGTACTTCCATTGTCCCGCATGCAAATACTGCGCCGCCTCGATCATCCGAGTCGCAGCCTGCTCGCTCTTCGATACCCCGAGAGATGAATTCACCTTTGGTAAAACCAAAAACTCTTACCAAGGTTAATCTACCACAGTTCATGGGGAAAACACCTGAGAGGTAGATGAAGAGAAGGTAAGAGAGGAGCAGATGCTTGCGCAAAGCTGAAACTCTAGACACTCACTTGGGTAGAACGTGTGAGTGAATAAAAAAAAAAAACAAAAACAAAAACAACAAAAACAAAAACAACAAAAAAAAATTATCCATTGTGGAAAAAAAGATAAAAAAAAAAGTACTAGAGAGAAAAGAAATGATAATTAAGTGCAAATAAAAAAAAAAAAAATACAAAAGAAATTTGAGAAGGCCTACTGTTTTCCCCTCTTTACTTTTCCATTCTGTACGTCAGCAGCGACACTGTTCATTGCTTAATGTCATATGGTGTAGACGAGTTGGGTGTGTGTAGAGGAAAAAAAAAAGAAAAAAGTAGTATCAGGTATCTTGATTCTCTTGTTTCATTTTTTTTGTTTCAACTTGATTTTTGTATTACCTTTTTCGTTTCACTATTATTATTATTATTATTATTATTATTATTATTATTACTGCTACTACTACTACCACTATTTCCACTGCTTTTGCGATTCCCATGCTTGAAAGCAAGTCACCGAAGGTCATTGAGAGAGAAAGACTGAATTGGTTACATTATTATGATAGACTTACACATACCGAGAAAGAAATGTATAGAAACGACGAGAAATTGTGTGAGAGAGTGTGTGTGTTTCTCAATTTCATGGAAAACTATTATAGTTATAGGTTTGCACTTAAATTTCGTGAGAGCTCAACACGTGGATGCGTGTTTTCCCTATTATCTTTCATCGGAAGTAGTATTATTACTTATTATTACTAGAAATGATAGGTAGCATTAGTGATGGGAAGAGTGACAATAGTGACAGCGGAAAGAAGAGAATTATCTGTTTTTTTTTTATTCGTTATCCCTTTCTTTTTTTTTTTTTTCAAATCCCCTCATTAAGGTCGCCTTGTTCATTTGTAGACGCGATGTGCCTTTAGTTGGGCATCTAGATTGCTTGGGGTATATATATATCTCTATATATATATATATATATTCCATTTCACATGTGTAAAATCTTTGTATGCAATTAATGGTATATATTTATTTCAGTGTTTTTTGCACGGCAGTTATGCTGTACAGTTTCTGTTTATTTGACTAGAGGAAAAAAAAAAGATAGTAAAATCACGAGAATAAGAAAAAAAGGAAAAAAAAAAAAGGAATGATGGGTGGGATGTGTTTTTCTACTCCCACGTGATGCATGCTTTTTTTTTTTTTCTTTGGAACTCGGATTTCGTACCTTTTAAATGAGTCCTTTTACAGATGATGTAAATCATCGTTTTTTTCTTTTTCTGTTTTCTTGTTGGTCCCTCTTTCTCTTTCTCTCCTCTTCCCCCCTTTCTTTCTATTCTTTTATTCATCCCACCTTTATATTTCCCTCTATTTCTCTGTCTGTTTCCCTACCTTGTGGGGAAAGGGGTAAATAAAGAAAGAACGACGACAACAAACAAATACATAGAAGGGAAAAGAAGCCACGTAATTTAATTAACACGAAAAGAAAAAGAAAAGAAGAAAAATATTTGATTGAGAATGTCCGCTTTGGTAGAAGCCGAACGTATGGAGCGCGAAAAGGCACTCGTGGAGGCACAGCAGCGTGTCGACATGCTGCGGGAGACCGTGCGGGTGATGGCAAACCGCCAGATGGTACTTATGGGAACCAAGCGGCGGCTTGAGATCTCCACACGGGAGCTGACAAAGCTGAAGCCCGATCACTCCGTGTATGAAAGCATCGGCCGCGTCTTTCTGCGCACCCCAGTGAATACGCTCATAGCGAAGCAGACAGAGCAGGCGGAGAAGTGCGAGGCGGAGGAGAAGCGACTCTCCGGCGAGAAGCAACGCATCGCGGAACAATTGCAGAAGGATGAGGTTCAGCTGCGTGAGGCGGCACAAGTCTATATGGCGGAAATGAATGCAAGGAGACAGCAGCAGCAGCAACAACAACAACAGCAGCGTTAAGGCAATGGAGATCTGAAAGAGGGGGTGATGTGGTGTATTTTTATTTTTTTCTCACTCTTTCCCCTTTTTCTTTTTTTTTGTTTTCTGTGCTTTTGTGCCAGTTTGTTTGCGCGCGCGTGTGTGTATGGGTGTATGTGGTCTCATGGTGAAAGATGGATAAACTACTCTTGATGATGTTCAATTACCGGTTCTGAGTGGAACCACGTAAGAAGTGTTAAAGAAGAAGGGGGGAAAAAAAAGAGAGGAAGAATTTACATCTCACATTTTAAACAAATGAAGAAAGAAGAATATTAATAATGTTCAAGTTGTTTCACTCTGATGTGCATTTTTATAAATATAATGCAAATTTATCTCCTTCACACTTCCCCCTCCCTCCCCTTCTGTACTGTGTGTTTTCTTTTTTCTTTTTTCTTTTTTTCTTTTCTTTCCTACTGTTTACTAACTGTTGATTTCAGGAAGGGGAATACCGACCTCTCACTCCGGTAAATTCACACGGGAAGACACTTCCCCTCCTTCCCTTTTTTCCTCCCACACCACTGCCACTTCTTATGCTGCATTGCAGTCGTTTTCTTGTGAAGAAGCGTGCACCGCCGCTGGGGTACAGTCGCAGGGACTTTGTGAAGAAATTGCGATCCCCGCGAGCCTCAAAGCCGTGGCGTGGACATCACACCGTCTCTGGTGGGCAGATTGAAGTTGCACCCGCCGCAGAGGAGCACGTGGGTGGAAATCTCGCCGAGCGACCACCACTCGGGATTCGCGATCTGCGGGAGGGTTTTGCCTCTTCTGCCGCTCTCACCGCTTCTAACACATTGAAGTTACCAGAGGGAAACAATAGTGGTGATATGCCTGATAATAGTAATGGTACTTCACTTATTGAAAAGGAGTCCTCATTGGGTCTGATGTCTGGGTCTGCATCACCTCCACTTGCGGCTTTGCCTTTTGGGAAAGGATTAGAATTAAATGTTGAGAATGTGAAAACATATGAGGAAGGTCCTGTTCCTTTGCATTTACAACAGTTTCGACGTAGTCGACGTGAAGCAGCAGAATCTATTTTATTACCTCGTCACATTAATCGCCTTTTTCATAAAATTATGGGTTGGTCAGAGGATATTGTGGAGGTTGATTCAGAAAGTGCACCACTTTCTACAAATGAATCTAATACTACAAATGCAACAACAACAAAAAGAACAGGAACTAACCTAGAAGAAGAAGAAGATCATAATCAACATGAGGAACCAAGGCTACTTAAGCAAAAATACAACAATTTATCAGATAAGATGAAATATGGTGTACTTTTAGATAGCTACGAAAAGGATAAGTTTGCAATTGAACATCAATTAGAACTAGCTGGTGAACGATTTGAGCGAAAATTCTTAGACTGGGAAGGAATGCACGTGCTAGATCAAGATCCTGGTGGTGCGATGGAAGGTGTACGTGCTAATAAGAGTTCTATTGTAATGGATATGCCTTCTTCTTTTCATATTCCCGTTGTTAATCGAGATTGCTGCAAAGGTTGTGGAGCACTTCTTCAAGATAAGGATGAAAATTCATTTGGTTATGTTCGTAAAGGGGATGTTGAACGTTACATAATGGATAGACAAGAAAAGATGCGAGCACGAGCTGAATACGCTGATCGTATGTCAGAGTTGCAAACACATTGGCAAAAAAATGGTCGTCGTGTTGGGGAAGAATGGTTAGATTTTATGACACAAGAGGAATTTGATGCCTTTTATAAAGATCAAAACAAACCTTTTGTTTGTCATCGATGTCATGCATTGGAGAATTTAGGTGTAGAAGGACGTCGACGTTTATGGTCAGCACCTGATTTCACAGAAAAGTTACGTGCCTTACGTGAAAAGAAATGTGTGGTGGTACTTGTTGTTGATATCACTGATTTCCCTGGAACTATGGTGTATGATCTACCAGGTCTTATCTCCATGAATAATGATGTCATCATTGCGGTGAACAAAATGGATTGTGTGCGTAATCGCTCTTTCAACTATAAAGGTAAAGATAGAGCCATTGCCTCACGTCTGGTAACAGAACGATATATACGACGTTGGGTAATGGACATTGCAGTACAATTTGGTTTACCAAAACGTCAAATTCGTCATGTTATTCCCATCTCTGCAAAACGTGGATGGAATGTAGAAGCACTTATTGAGGCTGTGGAGGAAACATCCAATTTGAATTTACGTCGTCTGACAAAACCTGTACCAACATACTTTGTGGGAGTAGCCAATGTTGGTAAATCTTCTGTTATTAATGCGATTGCTCATAAATTGTATGTCCCTGTTCCTCCACATCCAGAAAGTCGAAAAATTTATTATACTAAAACGGCTAAAGATGGAACAGAATCCGTTTTTTGGCGTTGGTACACTCCACCTAATGTGAATCAAGCAGAAATGATTGATATTCCATCACGTCATGATAAGAAAGCCTCAAAACTATTGACAGTTTCATCTCTTCCAGGAACAACTGTAGAGGCTAACGCGGTTCGTGTATCCTTGACAAGAGGAGCACCAGGGGATTCAGCATATTTATTTGATACACCTGGACTTCTCCCGCATTGGCATCAACATTCTCCGTTAACACTTTTGCAGATGCGCCGTACACTAATAAGAAAGTATCGGAATCCTCAGTGTTATATCCTTGTGCCAGGGAATACACTACTTCTTGGTGGTCTTGCTGCTATTGATGTTGTGAAGGGCACATCACGTGGGATGCTTTTCATGGTTTACACCTCTCAGAAAGTTCGTAGTGCCATCATCAGTACAGAGCGTTCAGATGAATTCTGGGAAGAGCAACTTGGAAAAACTCTTGATCCACCTGGTTCACTTGAGCAACTGGGCGACTTGCGACTCACGGAGTCCAAGAGTTATCTCTTTGAATGTTATCCCCGACACCGTCGTCGACCCAAGGCGGATGTGTACGTTTGCGGTATGGGTTGGGTTTCATTCTGTGTGAATGAGGCCTGTGATGTGGTGTTGCGTGTACGCACACTTCCTGGTGTTATTCACGGTGTGCGTGAGCCGCTGCGGTATAAAGATCTGTTGGCATTCCGCGGGTGGCCAAAGTTGTTGCGCCGCTTCACTGCAGCCGGTCTTCCAGAGAATGAGGGCGATTGGGAAAACTCCATCGCCACTGTTGTGCGACTCACCGCAGGAGGAGGAGGAGGAGGAAGAGAAGAAGGAATAAGCAGTAAAGGTGATAGCCATAATAATAATAATAATAATAATAATAATAATAATAATAATGATAATAATAATGGTAAAGATAATGAGGAGAAGGAAGAGAATGATGGGAACAATGCGAAGGGGTTAGGCATAAAGGAATTACGAAAGACGATACTCCCGCATCATGCTTCTGCGTCCTCTACGGCATTTGATGCTGCGCTAGCGGATCTTTCTATGAGTGGGACTGTCCCGCCAATGACTGATGCCGGTTCACAAAGATGATGAAAATTGTAATATGGCTATTTTTCTGTTAACACAATCTTTTTTTTTAAATTTATTGTGTTTCTTTTTTTTGTTTTCTGCTTTCATTACCCATATTTCGTTGCTATTGTTATCATCGCTGTTGTTGTTGTTGTCGTTGTTATTCTCGGTATTACTACTATTACTACTACTATTGTTTTTTTTTTTTCTTTGTTCCCTCTCTTTATGGGGCCTTTCCTGTATAATTTCACGTGTGGGGGGTATTCCCCTAAGTGATCTGTATTTCTATTTCTCTCTTTTTTTTTCTTTTTCTTTCTCTTTCTCTCAATACACTCTTATTATTAATTAATAAACTTTTTATATTTTTATTACGGGATCTGCGCAAGCATTAAATCAACCACCACTACTACTACTACTACTACTACTAAGACAACAACTCATCCAAATACAAATACTACAAATACCACTATTGGTATTCGTATTATAATTTGTTACGGATATAAGTCTCTTCTTACACTCTACGGTGATCCCTGTTGTTATTTCCATTACTACTATAACACACCGTACAGGCCTATATATATATATTTATATAAATATCATTATTATTATTATTAATAATATCTCCCAATGGCGAAAGCAAAGAATTTCTTTGTCCGCGACTACGCCGGCCACAAGGGTGCAACCTTCTTGCTCGTTGCCTGCATTCTTGCCTTCATCTTCCTTGTGATTGGCACCCCGCTCGGTGTGCTGCGGAATAGAGTCGACCCGAGCATCTGCTACACCCTCTGGGGCACACGCAAGTGCAGCAGCCCGGACTACGATTACCGCATCGCGTGGGACACCTGCTACGGGCGCCGTGTGCGCTTTGCGTTTGCGGAGGCCTTCACGATCATTGCGATGTTCTTTCTCGTGCTGAATGGCATTGCGTGCTGGTACTGCCTTTCCGGCTGGAACGGCAAGTGGTGGACCTTTCTCCTCGCGCTCTTCACCTTCGCGACCAACTTTGTGCCGTGGACGGTCGTCGCCTCCGTCTACCACACCACCTACTGCGGCAGCGACACGTACACGAAGACGTACACGAAGTACGGCCCGGGCTTCGCGCTGCTGGTGACGAGTTTCTGCGTGCACTTCGTGGGGATTGTCGGGCTGGTGCTGATGGAGCCGTACGTCGCCGTCGTGGTGGAGGACAAGAAGAAGAAGAAGAAGATGGACCACCACCACCAGGAGCCCGACGACGACGCCTCCGGCAACCGCGAGGAGTAGTCCGCACACAGAGTAGGGATGATATATATATATATATATATATATATATATATATATATGAATATAAAGAGAGGTATACACACACACACAGAGAGAGAGAGTGTGTGTGTGTGTCTGTGGGTGAAGGGAAAAAGAAAAAGAGATAAAGGAAAAAAAAAATGTAATAACAACTGTAACAATGTTGATAAGGATGATGATAGTAGAAAAGGTAAAGAAGTAAAATATAAATGAATAAGCAAAACAGTTGTGAAAGGCAAATGAAAAAAAAAAAAATGGGGTTTGTTTACGGACGTACGCACACGAACGGAAATATATGAAATGAAGTGCAAAATACACACATACAAGAAAGAAATAAAAAGAGTAAAATGAAAAAAAAAAGTATTTATTTATTTATTTATTTATTTTTGGGACCCAGTCTAATGTCATGTTTTTAGTAGTCTGGGAGGAATAAAGAAGGGGGAAAAAAAAGAAAAGAAAAATAGTAACAAGATTGTAAGTACACACTCTTTCTCTGTACGTACGCTTGTATGCGTATATATGTGTGTGTACGCGAAAATCTAAATATATTAGAAAGAAACAGAAATAAAAAAAATTCTAATATTGCCTGGGACACTGTTAAGAATAATGATATCAGCAGTGACATAAGAGAATCTATGAGAATGGGAAGAAAAGAATATGTGTGTTTTTTTTTTCGTATTGAGATACCGCTTAGTGACGCAGAAGAAAAGAAAACAGATAGAGATCGTATGCCGCGATCCACTGTTGTGATTGGCATCTCACACATGATATAATCTTTCTATTTCCCATGACGTTTCTTTTTCTTTTTTTCTTTTGTTGTCTGTCTTTTTTTTTCTTTGTTTATTACTGTAATTATTGTAATTATTATTATTATTATTATTATTTATTGTTTATTGAGTTATTTATTTATTTTATTTTATTTCCCCACACCCCCCCTGTTGTTGGTTCTTCGTTTCTTTTCTTTTTTTATTTTTGTATTGTTATCTCTCCATTTTGGTATATATATATATATATATATATAATTCATGACTCTGCAAAAAGTGGAATTTCTAACCGCATGACATTCAAACTTCCACTATTACTTAATGCTATCACCTGTTGGCTCACACGCCTGAACAGAGGCACTAAAGGATTAGTGTGCGCCTTTCCTTTTCTATCTCTCTACTTAACTATCTAATATATATATATATATATATATATATATATATATATTTATATTTATTTATTGTTCTTGTTGTTATTGTTATTGCCGTGATATGAATAGTGACAGCTGTGATTTCTTCTATCTGTGTCCTTTGAAAGAAGAAGAGGAAAAAGAGAGAATAATATAAACAATAATATCATCATCCCAGAGATAGTATTAAAGGAATGAGACAATGAATGAATAAGAGGAAGTTAAGGGAAGAAAGAAGGAAAGAGAAGGCGCAATGAAATTAAAAAATTAAAAACAAAAAAAAAAAAAACAAATAAGAAGATGGAATATATTGGTTGAAAAGAAAAGTAGCATCGAAGAGGAAGAAAAAAAAAAAAAAAAAAAACAGTAATAATACAAATAAGCAAAGAGGGGATACGTGGTTAAATCCCTCTCATTCTTTTCTTATATCGAAAATAGAAGAAAATATAAGAAAAAGAAAGGGGATTTACACACAACACTTACTTTATTTTATTACTATTATTAATATTAATATTAATATTATTATTATTATTATTATTATTATTATTATTATTATTATATATATTTTTTTTTTTCTACTTCTTCTTCTTAATGTACTTTTTTTTTATTTCTCCCTCTGTCCACAGAATATCAATATGACTAGAGGCTAAAATGAGTGAATGAATGAAAAAGAAAGGAGGATAATATTTCCAAGTCTACATGAGAACAACAACGAAGAAAAAAAAAAAAAAGAAAACTCTGACAATGGGAAATAATATGGGAATTAACTGATGGCAATATATGCCTTTCAATCGCCTACCTCTTAAGGGCAAAAAAAGAAAATAATAAATAAAGAAAAACAAAGGTGAAAAGAATGAGGGTGGGAAAGTGAAGAAAAAAAAAAATGGAAACTGTGCGATGGAGGGAAATAAGCAAAAAAAAAAAAAAAAGAAACAAGAACAAAAGGAATGGGTTTAACTGTACGCAAAACTTCCGACAAAAAAAAAGAGTGAAAAGAAAAAGAAAAGAAGAAAAAAGGCAAAAAAAAAAAAAAAATGAAGAGGAGATGCCAAAAGTGATAAATGATTGGATCAATGATGAAGCGAAGTGAGATTTACAACTTATGCCAATGATAATGATGATGTCTCTCATTATTTTTTTTTTGTTTTTTTTTTGGTTTTCTTTTATTTTTATGTTTTCACCTTTTTAAATCCCCTAGTGGAGGAAAAGATGATGCAAATGAAGAAAAAAAAAAAGAGACACATCCACAAACTTTTCCTTTTTTTCAACTCTTTTTCTGATTGTCACTGAAAAACAAAATAACCAGACATACATGCAGAAAGAGATATAAAGAAAGAGAGAGAGTAATTGATAGATAGAGAGAATAGTGTCTGTCTGTGTGTGTGAACGCATACCATGCAACACTATTCTCTCTATATCAATTCCCTCTTTCTTCCTTTATATCTCTTTCACTCTTTATGAAAAAGAATAATTACTTCTGCATATATATATACTTTTATCTTTCTCTTTCTCTCTCTTTCTCTTTCTTTCTTTGTGTAGTGTCTTTTCTCTTAAACATCTTTTTAAGTGTGTTTTCCTGCATTTTTAATGACCTCTACTTCAGCTGAATCCAACGCCGGGGGTACAGTACTGGTTACTGGTGGCTCCGGCTTTCTTGGCAGTCACGTTGTGGATCGTGCCATACGTGAGGGATACAGCGTTGTCGTTGTGGATAATCTCTACACTGGCCGCAAGGAGAACGTCGCTCATCACATGGGGAAAGAAAACTTCCACTTTGTTCAGCATGATGTGCGTTATCCTTTTCCAGAGGAGGTATTGCGCCACAAGTACACTTATATATTTCATCTTGCTAGTCCAGCATCTCCTGTGCACTACCAGGCGGACTCCATTGGAACCACACTCACCTGTGTGAATGGCACCTATCACTCACTACTACTCGCTCAGCGGGATGATTGCCCAGTGCTTGTTGGATCCACCTCTGAGGTCTACGGCGATCCCGAACAGCATCCACAGACGGAGGAATACTGGGGCAATGTAAACTGCACGGGCATACGGAGTTGCTATGATGAGGGAAAACGATGTGCAGAGTCTCTCTGCTTTGATTTTAACCGAAAACACGGTGTGAAGATTCGTGTGGCTCGTATTTTTAATACCTATGGTCCTCGCATGTGCTTTAACGATGGACGTATCATCAGTAATTTTCTGGTTCAGGCGCTTAAGGAGCGAGATATTACTGTTTACGGCACTGGCGAATATACTCGATCTTTTCAATACTGTGATGACCTGGTAGAGGGATTTTTTCGCTTTATTCGCCACCCAACAGAGATTGGCCCTATTAATCTCGGTAATCCTGAAGAATACAGTGTACTGGATATGGCAAAGAAGGCACAGGAACTTGTACCTGGCACAAAATCAAAGATTGTCTTTTTACCAGCCGTTTCGGATGACCCAAAGCAGCGTCGACCAGATATCACAAAAGCAAAACGAGTGCTCAACTGGGAACCTGTCGTGTCTCTCTCTGAAGGTCTCAAACGTACAGCAGACGAGTTTGCTGAGCGTGTGAAGCGTGGAGAGTAGGTGGTTTATTACTATTGTTTTTTTTTTTTTCTTATTTTACTTATTAGGAATGACTTTATATTATTCTTTTACGTAGCAGAATGAAGTTCTTACGCCTTTATGAAGAAACAACACCGAGAGTAATAGTAATAATAATAATAATAATAATAATAATAATAATAATAATAATAATAATAATAATAATAATAATAATAATAATAATAATAATAACCAAAATAAAGATTTATCTGTAATCTAGATAATTCTTGAATATCATGTTAAGAAGCAATCAGCTACCAAAGTATATATTTTCATGCATTTCACTGCACCATCCGTTTCAGCCGCAATCCGGTAAGTAGTATTATTGGTATATATATAAGTATATATACATATATGTGTTTATTTACTATTTTTGTATATTGTTCTGTCTTTTTTTTTTGTTTTTTTTTTTTTTTTTACACTTCATGGGGTTCTTGGTATGGATGTTTCTTTTTTTTTTGATAATATTTGTTGTGATTCTTTCTTTTTTTTGTCTTTTCTTTTTGGATAGCATTCAACCTAATAACGCAAAATTAAGAGGAAGAAAAAAAGGGAAAAAAAGAAAAATAAGTAACTAAACAAGAAAAAAAAAAGCAGAAAAGAGATCATTATATATTTATATACATATATACATACATTTAAAACAGTTCGCTATTATGTCCGCTCCTGGTAAACTTTACGTGCAATGCAACCCTCTCCTTGACGTTTCTGCCTGCGTCTCGGATGAGTTTATGAAAACGTACAAATTGGAGCGTGGTACCGCCTCCTTGTTGGCAGAAGATCAGAAGAACATCTTCGCCGATCTTGAAAAGATGTCCGATGTGAAGTATGTACCTGGCGGCTCTGGGCTGAATACAGCTCGTGTGGCACAGTGGGTCTTGCAGGCCCCAAAAGGTACATTTGTCACTTATGTTGGATGTGCTTCAGATGATCGCTATGGAAAGATTCTCAGGGAATCTGCAGAGAAGGACGGTGTGACGATGGCGCTTGAGTACACAACAAAGGAGCCCACAGGCAGCTGTGCTGTTTGTATTACAGGGAAAGAACGTACACTTGTGGCTAACCTCGCAGCAGCGAATTGCCTCTCTGCGGAGCATGTTTCTTCCACTACAGTACAGAAGCACCTGGCGGAGTCTAAGATTACTTACTTTACCGGTTTTACTCTCACTCTTGATGTCAATTACGTTCTCCGCGCTGCCCAAAAAACGCGTGAGGTGGGTGGTATCTTTATGATCAATCTCTCCGCCCCCTTCATCATTGAGTTCTTTGGAAACCAGCTGGACGAGGTGCTGCCGTACGTGGACGTCATCTTCGGCAATGAGCTGGAGGCCCACACACTCTCCAGGGTGAAGGGGTGGGATCTCCACACCGTCGCCGCCATCGCCGAGCGGGCTGCGCGGGAACTGCCGTACACCGGCAAACACGGCCGCCTCGTCGTCTTCACACACGGCGCCAACTCCACCGTCTGCGCTGGCAATACCAATACGACTGCTGCTGCTGCTAGCGGTAGTGCAGAGGGAGGATTGGTGGAGGTGCCCGTCGCTCCAATGGCGAGTGAGTCCATTGTGGATCTCAACGGCGCCGGTGACGCTTTTGTTGGCGGCTTTGTTGCGGCCTACGCCCTCGGCCGAGACATCAAACGCTGCTGCGAGATTGGACACTACGCAGCGCAGGTGGTGATTCAACACAGTGGATGCACCTATCCCGAGAAGCCAACTATGTCTCCATGAGGAGTGGAAGGAGAAAGAGGAAGAAAGAAGAAGGGGTAAGGGATTAGGATATGGGGACAGCTCTACTGTTCTTGTTGTTCTTTTTTTCTTTTTGTTTTGTTGTTGTTGTTGATGGTATTCGTATCTTTTTTTCTTCATCTTGTTAAGTCTTTTTGTTTTTTTTTCTCTCTCTCTCTCACACACACACAGAGAGAGAGAGAGAGCACTCCCGTGAGTCTTTTCCTCTGGAAGAGGGAAGAAAACAAAAAGGGATCGAAGAAAGGACTGAGTTGTAAAGGGGAAAACTATTGAATGAATGAGCAAGAGAGAATGAAATAGAAGCAGATAAAAAAAAAAAAAGAAAATAAAGAAGGTGTGTCTTTTATTTTAATGAAAATAAGTTCAATTCCTTAACAGTCGTTGGATAAAAAGTCCACAATCTTAGTCTCTTTGCTTCTAATTCACATTTTCTTTTCTGAAGAAGAGAAAGAGAAAGAGAGAGAGAAAGAAAGAATGAAGACATCAAAGACGACAAAAAAAAAAAAAAAAACAACAACAAGAAAAGAAGGGATATTAAATATGAGAAGTAATGTCATTTCTGAATATCTCTGCGTATCTTGTTTCTACATGTCTACAACACACGGTTTAATCTTCTATATCTCTGTTATCTATGAATCTTTACATTTTTCTTCTCTATATACATTCTTTTCTATTTGTTTTTGAAGAGAATTTCTCCCATAAAGAATTCTCTGTGTGTTTGACCCGTTTAGTTTAGAAATCAACGAGTCTAAAACACCGGGTGAGGAATTTAACTGGGAGAACTTTAAACAAAAAACATAACAAAAGGAGAATAAATATATATATAATATATATATAAAACTCCTCAAGAGTCCTGGCTTTTCTACCAGACTCTGTATTGTAGTTTTTTTTTTTGTTTTTATTCTATTGTATTTTTATTTTCGTGTATACTGTAGTTTTCTTTATTTCTTTTATCTTGCTTCAGTGCGAATGCGTACCACAAAGAGGACCAGTATAGACGGTATCACACCGCTCTGTTGTGCTCAATCATCGCCTCGTTCCCACAGCAGCGGACTTTACATTCGCAATTCACAGACTGTATCTTCTGCAACGCCTCCGCGTCGGCCATTCTCTCTGGAAACTCCACGATCATCACATCATACGACTAGCAACAAACAAGGCCAAAATAATCATAATCACAATTATCTTAAGAAACATATCAATAATGGGCTGAGTAGTTTTAGACATCAAAAGGATGAAGTTCACGATATTTTGCGAGGTGCTGTAGCAAAATTATTAGATTTTAATAAATTTACTATGCCCGTATGGACTAGACGGGTTTCGGCATTGGATGCACGTATACGGCGATTACCTGTTGGAGATGAAAGTTTTTTAGAACGTGCAGCCGAAAAATTGTCGGCATGTCTTGATGAACTTAACGATACATTACAAATGTTAAGTGATTCTACACAAACACCAGAGACTTCCATAAGGTGGAAGAGGTATGTACAAAATTCACAAGAATCATTGTTAGATATCAAGACTTCAGTATTTGCATTGCAGTCCCGTATTAAAAAGATCCTCTCTTTTGCTACTTCTACATCTCCTAAAACACTTGACCGTGTGCTTTATTTCATGGGCGCTAATGCTTCCCCAACAAAAACAAGACATACAAGAACAAACACAAGACCTCTTCATTCTCGCAGGACAACCGATGAAAGAGGAAAGGGTCCCCGTTCTAATCCTTCTTCAACGATGGGGTTTTCTTCATATGGATCATCCTCTGCTGGGCGGCGGAGTGATGAATCTCTAGATGAGTTGGCGGCGGCTCGATCGGGATCTAATCATGGTACACCAGTGCGAACACGCCGAGCACGTCAACGCTCCCTCACGGGCTCAGAGGGAAATTCCAGCCATTGTGAATCCCCTAAACATAGTCGATCTCAAGAACATCATCATCATAATCATAATCATCATTCTTCTTCAGAACAACGACCACGACCACGACCACGACCACTAGCACCACTACAACAACAAAAACAGCAACAACAACGGTCTGTACTCTCAGCTTTAGATCGACGTCATTCATGGGCTGATATTTTAACACAATATTCTATGCGGTGTTCGAGAACGCTTAGTTCCCCCCATCGGAGTCCCTTACTACGTAAGGAACCTTTCTATGATTCTGTTGAAGAATATACTCGTCCCACTAAGTTCCTTTCCAAGGAACCAATTCATGATTTTAGGGATAATGGCATTAATTCTAATCGTCGGGGTAGTGGGCTATGGGATGTTGGTCTGACAGAAAATGAATGTCAACATGATGTACTTTATCATTCTAGAAGTCGTGATCGAAGTAAGCAACAACTTCAACCTGATGAACGCTGTAGGCTTTTAGAACGGATTGACATTTTGGAGAAATCATTTGATTCACGGAATGCCTCAAGTTTAAAAGAAGCAGAAAATTTATTCAACAAATTATATGGTTCCCGACGTGGACCACGGTATTATTCAGAGTGGATAGATGATATGGAAATGCGGGCAGTTCGCCATCGGTGATGAAGAGGAGTAAATAAACAATGTAAATAAAGGAGAGAATGACAATATACTTGTATAAAGCGAGATTTGTGGTAATCTGAAGCATTTGGAAATTTGATTATTTTTGGAATTGGAAATTTTGAAGCGCACATTTGAGAGAGAGAGAGTGTGTGTGTGTGTGTGAGAGAGAGAGAGAGAAAAGACGGTTAAAAATAGCGCTATATGCATGTTTTTTTTTTTTCCTCACACATTATTGGGATATATAAAAAGAAAACAGAAGCAATGGAATACGAAACGAGAGAAAAAGCAAAAAAAAAAAAAGAAAGAAAAAAAAAGGAGAGAAAGAAAGAAAGAAATGAAGAGAAGAAAAGGAAAAGGGGAAGGTAACCATAGTTTACATCTTTACTCATCTACTCTATATATTATTTATTTTTGTATAAATTTATCTCATCTATTCATCTTTATTTTCCTTTATTTCCCTTTTCTTTTTTTCCTTTTTTTCACCTATTGGGTATGCTACAGCACGTACATACCCCTTCATTTAATTATTTGAAAGCAATTCAAAAGAGGCGTTTGGGTAGAAATGAGTGGGGCGTTCGTTTTTAACGGCAAGAGTCGTTCCTCACATCTCTCGCTATCACGTGATCATCAGCCATCAAGAGAGGCAATTCTCTTGGAAGCACGAAAAAAACGAGAACGAAGAGAAAAAGATCGACAGGTGCAACAGGCCGCATTATGTATTCAGCGGAATGTACGTTTGTGGATAAGCCGTAGAATATTGGCTGATCTCTCCGAGGCTTTGTTTAAACGAATTAAGGAAAGACCACAAGAAGCAGAAAGTAAATCTTTGGAACAACTTTCATGGGATTACACATTTCTACATCGTGGGATGCGAGGAAAGAAGAAGAAGGGAGCTATTTCCCAACGAGAACAGGCACAAATTATTTTTCAACGTCTTCTTTCCAGTATTCATGCAGGTACTATACATGATGAATTAATGAAATCACGTTCTACTCTTATTTTATTACTGACGTTAGTATTGGATGAGTATGTTAAACCTTCTTTAGATTTGGAGAAGAATGATATAGTAGAATGGCAGAGTTATCACTTAACATTGCTTAGTGCACTGTCTGATGTTGCTGGTTCCGTAACGGATAGGGGCAATATAATGATACAGATACTTTCTTTTTTCGTTCAACATGGTACAACAGGAACTGAACAAATTCTACCACTTTTGCAGAATCTATTTGGATTACTTTCTGCAAGTGAAGTAAAAAGTATAATAAAAACTGTAAAAGGTCAAGAGATGTTATTAAGAGCCATTCGTTCTTCTGTTCATGATAAACCATATTCATTACCAACTGCATATGCATTAGATGTTTTATTGGGTTCATCAAGTGAAGAGAATAGCAGTATACTACGTGGAGAGGCTAATCAGGCATTAGTTGAGATTATTGTAGAGGTGGCATCAGAGAAGTTGTCCACTGATCTATACACTCAACCAATGGCTCCTCTTGGAAAGTTGGTTCGACTTATACCTTTTTTTCTGGATACACAGACATCCATTTCAGTAGGAAAGGAAGTGTGGAAGAAATGGACGAAATGTCTTTCGCAGTTAACTCTTATGGCAAGTAGAGAAGGAGAATTATTACGAGCCGCATTACAGGATTTTCGTCATTTACAAAATAATGAGATAGCACATCATGGAAGGTATGAACATATCACAACATACTTATTTAGTACTGAATATGGATTACGTTTGCTGGAAGAGACTTCAGCATTAGCATTATCATTATCATCAACAACAACAACAACAACAACAAGAGCAGAAGGAGGAGAAGGAGGAACAGGAACTGTAGGATTATCCACAAGCAATGAAAATGAAGAAGAAAAAGGATCTTCTGAATATCAAGAAGAGAAATATGTAAATCTTGATGTTATATGTAGTATTTTTGCCTGGCCTCTTTATGCCTTTACATACTCCTCACCAGAGCAACGAATTGAAGCGACGACGATTATTTCAAAACTGGTTCATTTACCAGGTCTACTTCAATCTCTCTGGCGAATGTATCAATGTTGTCATGGTAGTACCTTTGGGGGATTAACAGAGATGAAGAAGGAGGCACTTATACACGAGGCCATGACGGGTGTACCCGTACATCTTCCTCCTCCTGAAGAAGCACCAGCAGAACTTCTTAGAATGGCATCTTATAAAAATCCAGTGCGAAATCTTTTTTGGGATCCATATCCAGCTATATCTACTTTACTTTTTGGTATGTTAAGTTATTTTGTAGATGCCACAGACTTCTTGGAGGGACTTGATAGAAAAACAGTGATGGATCATAATGATGCCATTATACTTGTGTTAGCATTAAAAGGAATTGTCCATCGTTCCCATTTTCATGGTGTTCTTTCTCTTGGAAATAGTGAAGCCGTTGCAGAGGCGGCCCTTTCTCTCTTATCAAAACTACACGTTATTAATGAAGCACAATCCTTTGTAGCCTATCCATCTGTATGGATTACAATAACGAATCCTGTTATTCTTCAAACGTTTGATACTATCACACGAGAGGTGTGGATGTCATTTGTTTTATCAGAAAGAACACATGGGGGATCATCTCCTACAGCATCCCATACAGATGATAGGATTATAAGATATGCTGATAATGATCCAAATGATGGATATCAGAATGATGAGGATGATAAAAATAATAATAATAATAATAATAATAATAATAATATTAGTAGTAGTAGTACTGGTAGTAAAACTATGAATCAACTGGAAAAAGGAAATTGTCCTTTTATCCGTCTTCCTCAATGGAGTGGAAGTAGTATGTGGTCTCGTCAAGAACGATGTATACGACTTTTGCAAAATGTTCCTTTTACTGTTCCATTTGATGTGCGTGCTTCTGTATTTACTTCTTTTTTGCTTAGTCATGAGGGTCGTTACTTCTCTAGTTCCTTTCGACCTTTTCTTGTACGTCGTGGATATGTCTTTCCGGATGCTTTTGATCATTTTTGTGATAATCCTAACAGTCCTGAAATGTTTAATGTTCGATTTCGGGATACAAATAATATGTTGGAGGAAGGCTACGGTGAGGGTGTTTACCGTGAGTTTCTTGTGAGTCTCTGCAATGAAGGCTTTGCAGCGGAGTATGGTCTCTTTCGACTCACCGATGATGGTTATGTCTATCCCAATCCATTTAGTTATGAAGTGACTGGGGATGCAAAACATTTACGACGAATTGAATTTCTTGGAGCCATGATGGGCCGAGCATTACGTGATGGTGTTCTGCAGGATGTTCCCTTTGCCTTACACTTTCGTAATTCCATATTAGGTCGTAGTAACTCTATTAATAATCTAAAGAGTTTTGATAAACAAATGTACCGTAATCTTGTTTCTCTTCTTTCTCTAAGTGAAGAGGAAATTGAGAGTCTTTCCCTAAACTTTACGTACAATGTGGATATCTTGGGTGAAACTCGTGAGGTGGAACTATTACGTGGTGGGCGGGATATTCCCGTAACGAAACGCAATTGTCTTAATTACATTCATCTCATGGCAGACTTTAAATTAAATCGCGAGTCTGCACGACAGACAAAGGCCTTTCAGAATGGACTAGAACGTATTGTCGATCAGAGTTGGCTGCGATTGTTTGATAGTAAAGAAATCATGAAACTCTTCGGCGGGGATGCAGAGAGTGCCATTAACGTTGCCGATTGGAAAAGACACACACAGTATCATGATGCCAAAGACGTTGAGAGTAAACCCGTAAAATTATTTTGGAAAGTCGTCGAGTCCATGTCATCTGAGCAGCGGAAGAAATTACTGAAGTTCTGCACATCCATGAACCGCCCGCCGCTGTTGGGATTTCAGTTTCTCAATCCACCCTTTAAAATTCACGTTGTGTGGGATGCACCGGAGCAGCGACTCCCATCCGCCTCCACGTGCTTCTCAACACTGAAGTTACCACCCTATAATGATATGGAAACCGCATGGAAAAAGATTACAGAAGCAATTGAAGAGACAGAGGACTTTGGACTCACTTGATTTGCGTTTTCTTTTTTCCTTTTCTTTTTTCTTTCTTTTCTTTCTGTTATTGCTACTTGTGTTGTTGCTGCTCTTTTCTTTTATTTTCTATTTCTGAGTGATTGTGAGTGGGACTGAAGAAAAAGAGGGAAGGATAGTGAGAAAAGCTATAAAAAAAAAAAAAAAAACGATTTCTCTCTCATATATATATATATATATATATATATATATATATATATATTCTCTGAGATGGAAATCACTTCTTATTAAGGCGTTCTCTTCTTTTGTGACTGTTATTGAGTTGATTACTGTTTTTCTGTTGTACCTTTCTCTTTCTTTTTTTTTACTCCCTTTGTTTCTTTTTTTTTCGCTTTTTTTTTCTCTTCGTGTATGTGTTGGGTATATATATATATATATATATATATATATATTTTCTTGTATGTGACTTTGTATTATCTTTTTTTATTTTCCCTTTTTTTTTTCTTTCTCTTTTATTTGTTGATTGACATGTTTAGGCGGATACGGTCTCCAGCTCTTCTTTGTTTGATTTTATTTATTTATTTTATTTCTGTTTTTTTTTTTTTTTTGCAGTTTTTCTGGTTTGCGGTGGGGACATTCTTTTCTAAAGAAAGACAAGTGCCAAACGCTGCCTAGCTATTGTATGATTGTACATTACTCTAGCAACGATAACTATACCTACTACTATTATTATTACTACTAATAATTCCTTTTTAGTGAGATGATGCTACGCATTTCGCGACGGTCATTGGGATCTTTTATTCTCAATCAGCGTGTGACTCCAGACTGGTGGCAGGGATTTCACAGAGAAGAACGACATCGAATTGCACGTGCACGCATTGAAGATTTACGTACATCTGGTGAGAATAGTAACATTAGAAGAAATATTAGTAATACTAATACTCATACTAGTGGTAGTAGTAGTAGTAGTAGTAATAGTAATAGTGATAGTACGGTTCCTCTAACACTACAAGAGGCGAATGAACTTGTCAAGACATATACACAGAACCACAATGGTGAAGATCTTAGTTTTATTGTGCAGTATATTCGTGAGACATTAGAAGAACCACTAGCTCCAATGCATTATCACTCACTCTTTCGAGTTTTTAACTACACACGTGATAAGGATAATATTGAACAACTTCTTAATGTTATTATAGAACGACAAGATGCAGATATGGAAACTCATGCTCGAGTTATTGATGCTCTTCACTGTCTTGGATCTGTAGATTCACTCACACGGATTTTACGTGTTATTGCTACTACACAAACAACTTATGGAACTCTTTTATTTGCAGATGAATGTCCATTACTAACATCCCTTTTACATCATGTTACCAATACGAATGGTTATCCTCCTACTGCATCACTTCTAGTTGCTGTTTGGATACGTTCGTTTGGTGTTTCTCTCTGTGACTGGGATTATATACATATATTCTCTGCATTACTATCACAACCAGATGAATTCCCACGTATACGAAATACATTAGGCGTTTTTAACGAATTTTCTCGTGGTATGGTTAGTCCTGAGGCATTCTTTCAAAGACTTGAGAGCCGTGGGGAGTTATCACCATCCTCAAGTGCATTAAGTTTACTTGTTGCCGCTATGCGAGCCTCCTTATTGCAAGCTGGTGTAGATTTGAAAGTACCTATTACCACTGGTGTCATCAACACAAGAACGGCAGGATTACCAGCTATGATAGAATACATTGTAGAAGATATGACATTAGTGGGAATTGCAGGGAAATTACATGGCGATCTCTTAGACTGTTATCATACACTTGCCTTATTATATAGTACATTAAGAAATGATACGGCAGCAGTAGAAACCATACGTTATGTTGCCCGTGAGGTGCGGCGAAGAGAAGAAAGTTTTGAAATTGATAGAGGACATTCTACACTTGGGATATCTAATGAATGTGTACGTCATCATTATCTTATGGATGTAGGGAGTTTACTGAGTCGTGTTAGTATGCAAACTGTACAATCGGCACGTCTAGACTTTGCAAAATTGGCACAATGTGCAAACTCTGATGTTTCTGAAAATGATGTAGCCGCTGCAGAAAGTTACGCTATTGTATTTGTGCGGAGTAATGATGAGGCAGAGGAAGCGCTGCGTCAAGTACGAGAGAGTGTGGATCTCTCTTATCATCATACACGACTTCCTACAAAGTTAATGTTTCGTCGTTTTGTTGAACTCTGTGTTCGACACCCAAGGAAGAATTGTAAAATGACAGCTGCTGGATTAGAAGAACGGCGTAAATGGGGTCGATATCTCGATGCCCGTGATGCCTCACTGGCGTTATTTGGATCCGCCAAACAAGCACGTGATTCAATGAAACATTTATTCTATAATGATAATAAAATGCCAGAATTACGAAGTCCTGCCATGATAGAAAGAGATATGAATGATACCGCAGCGTTATTTAAATGGAAGTGTGCACCTACAATGACTTCACTGCGAATGCGTACATCTATTCCACATGTTGGTTCTTCACCGGATTCTGTGCCCCGTCACTTGTGGGATCCGGAGGTGTATAATCCATACCCGCAAGTGATGCTTCCAGTAAGTCCAATGGAAGATGAACGCATCACGGAGGATATATTTCAAGAGGTTTGGCGGGTTATCATGAATCCAACACTTGTGGGAACAGACCAATGGTATTTGCGAGATTCAGAAATGTATTTACTTCTTATGCGTTGTCTTATTCATCGTCTTGATTGGGAAGCCGCGGCTCATCTTACTTTAAAGACAATGGAGAATTTGACGTATACGTACATGATGGATCATGATGTGACACTGATGTTTAGAGAAATTGGAGATCCGGCGGGTTGTTTGGCATTTAAAGTGGCGACAAAACTCTTTGATGGACGTATTCTAAAGGATGGACAAAGTAAACGGGAGAGATTCCACCAGGAGCAGTTTGGTGAGATGTGAGGTGTGAGATGAAAAAGAAAAAGAAAAAAAGGCGTTTTGATGGTGAGACATTTGTTTTTTTGTTTTTTTTTGTTTTTGTTTTGTACACATTGCCTAGGGTGTACAGGATCGTTTTTTTTTTTCTTTATTATTATTATTATTATTATTATTATTATTATTATTATTATTATTATTATTATTATTATTATTTCCTTCTTCTTATACTTATTTTTAAAAAAATGAAAAAGTAGGAAGAGTCTGAGGAAGAGAGAGAGAGAAGATATGATGATGAGAATGACGATAAAAACAATCAAAAAAAATCAAAAAAACAACAACTCTGGATTGATGAACTAGAAAGTTACTCACTTTCTTCCTTTTTTTTCTTATTTATTTATTTTTATTCTTCTTTTTTGCTCCCTTACTTGTTTCTAAAGGATTTATCTGCCAACTCAATTATTTGACAAACTTTGAAAAAGAAGAAAAAGAAGACAAAAAAAAGAAGAAAAAAAAAAAAACAATCATGGGCGACACCCAACAACAACAACATATGGAAGGAGAACAAGGGCAATCCCAGCATTTTACTCTAATCCCTACTTTAAGGGAGGTAACTGTATTTAAGGATCGTGCCCAACTGACATACACAGCCACTGCGTCACTCCCTGCTGGATCTCATGTTCTTCTTATGAAGGGTGAAAAAGGATGGGATGATGTTTTGCAGAATACACTGCAAGTACACATGGATAATGCGGCAGACATACCTGTAGTGATGAATGATGTTCGTTTTGAAACAACCATCACGAAAGAAGATATGCGAGAACGTGTACGTGAACTGGCAAAGGAATGTGAGGATTATCAAGATCGCCTTAATAATGTTGCGGACAGGAACTCCATTAATGATGCCCTTGAGGCTTCCATTAAGGAATTGGAAGAGAAACTTAAAAATATGGGGGAACGCAGTCCACACACCAACTCGGATACTCCTTCAAACAACACTATTGTGCCTATTGCGCAGTTTCTCTCTAATCCGACTGCTTGGCAACCCCTCGTGCGACTCATCGCCCGCCGCAAACGAGATATTGGCGAGTCACGTCTGTTGCTTAAAGCCGAGGAGGCACAACTGCAGAAGGAATTTCTTGAAAAACAAAAAGAAGTCGTTGAATATCAAAGAGCATCAATCAACGGCAAACGACAAACAGATGTGGTGGTGTCGGTTGTTGTGCCGCAGCCTGTCGAGTTGCGACTTCGCGTGCAGTTCGTTGCACTCGGGGCATCATGGGAGCCGATCTTCGACATCCGCATTGGCACCAACAATAATAATAATAATAATAATAATAATAATAATAATAATAATAATAATAATAATAATAATAATAATAAGATTGACGTTGCTTATCACGCTATGGTGCAGCAACGGACCACAATGGATTGGAACCGCGTGGCGATGCGGCTCAGCACTGCCACACCGCACTGCAGCTCAAGTCCACCAAAACTCAGCAGGTGGAATATTGCACTCCAACCACCACCACCAAAGATAAAGAAAATGCATTGTTTCAGAAAGGCAGCATGCCCTGCACCTATGGCTGCACCTATGGCTGATGTGATGGATGCAGCGCCGGCGATGAATGCGGAGCCTGTGATGATGATGATGCGATGCGCCGCCCCAGTGGAAGCGGCGGTTGTGACTTCATCAGCCCCATCCTCAACGGCAAGTACCTTCCAGATTGTGGGATTGGCTACTGTAAAGAGTGATAATAAACCTGTGAAGGTGACGATTTCTACACATACATTTCCTGCGGAACTCATGTACCACGTGGTACCGAAACGTAGTCCATGGACGTACTTCCTTGCCAAGGCAAAGAATACTAGTCCATATGTGTTTCTTCCTGGTAAAACGAATATCTTTGTGGATAATATATTTGTAACCAATTCAAAAATGGAGATGGTTCCTGCAGGTGCTGAATTTACTGCTTCTCTTGGAACTGATGACAGTGTAGTTGTGACACGTAAAGAGGTAAGAAGGAAAAAGTCTACTGTCCGTGCCATGCTACGTCAGACTCATTCACTTATTGAGATTGTTTATGAATTTACTGTGAAAGGTGCATTGCCATCAGAGGCGACATTGGTAGTGAGGGATCAGTGTCCTACACCTTCTGATAATGATATTAAAGTAGAGATGATTGATCCAAACAAAAGTATGCTTAATGACGGTGTAACGGGAGATGGTATTGCCTGCAGTATGGACAATGTGGGTGTTGTGGAATGGAAGTTGCGACTTCCCCCCGGTGTGTTCACTCGTGTGTTCCGTTTCGCATTTAATGTGGAGTATCCTGAGGAGTTCACGGTCAATGGACTGGATGACTCGGATGGGTAACAGGGATAGAGAGAGATAGAGAGAAAGAGAAAGAAAGATAATGGGGGAAGAGGTCTTTTTTTTTTTTTTTTATTTCCTTGCTTTTGAGAAAAATAAATAGGGGAAAAACAAAAGAGAAAATAAAAGCGAATCAAAACAGCAACAAAAAAAGAATAGAGAAATAAAATAAAGAATGGGAGAAAATTGAGATGAGCGAACGGAGACCACCTTATTGTTATTATTATTATAGCTGTTTTCTAGCAATGTACTCTTTTTGGGAATACAAAACAAAAATTCAAAGCATAAAAAAAAAAGGGAATGTGCATCTACACACATATATATCTGTAGAATGCAATGTTACCTATGATGGTTGAGTCTATTTTTTTTTTTTTTTTTTTTTTTTAGCGTTGATAAATGGGATTGGTTTTTTTTTTCTTTTAATATATTAAAATTTAATTTAATTTGATTTTTTTTTTTTTNTTTTGGTTTTTTTTTTTTTTTTGGTTTTTTTTTTCTTTTACCTTAGTGAAGGGAGCGCACTCAACGGCTCTTGGGGATATTTGTCCTAGAAGGAAAAGGGTGAGAAAGAGAAAAAAATCAACAACAAGAACACAGATAATAATAATAAAACAAAAAAAAAAAAAAAAACAAGAATAGAAGTATCATCATCATCATCATTAATAGAAGTGTATTTGGGTATAGAAAGAAATGGAAGAATTACAGTGTAGTCTTCTTGGTTTTTCCTCTACCTCATTGCCTCTCACAACTAGTGACAGCATCGGTGGTATTGCTGGGGGGCAGGGCTCTTCTGTTTTCTCACAACTTCACCCGTCTGAACGGGCCTTAATTGAAGAGGTCCTTCCTCTTGGGGCCATGTGTTTTGCCTTGCGTAAGGTCTCAACCGATATTGCTGTAGGCCGAACGGAAGGTTTATATCCTTCTGCCATTGGTGCAGCCGTTACATTGATACTTCAGCATTATGAAGAAGCTGTTCAAAATGCAATGACACCTTCTGCTGTGGCTGAACTGCGTCCTACATACTTTCCGGCATTTACTTTATTATTAGATATGGTAAAACAGCAAAATGATACGGATATTCTATTATCTACGATTCGTACATTTGTGTCTAATCGAGAGATACCGCGAGAATTTAGGGTTATTCTTGGAGAAGCTGTATGGATGGGATTACTCTATACTATAGGACATTATGTTGCCCATGGTGTTGTCTTACATGGACGTAAAGATTTTTTTATAACTATGAAATCCAAATCAGGAAAAGAAGAACATACACTACATAGTGATTTACTACCTCATGGTTTATCATTAGATCTTGGTTTATTGATTCTATCTGTAGGAAAGGAACGCCGTGTACTTCTTAGTGATGTGGAGAATCATGGGAATGATTATCTTGAACAACTTGCAATGGGTACACAAGATGAAGCAGCAAATGCTGTTTTTAAAGCTATTTATAATCCATCCTTATGTTCTGACGGTATATTATTAGTGGATGAACTAGAAACACGTATAGAAGCGGCAAGAGCCCTTTGGTCAAAAAGTTTATGGTTAAAAGTAGGTGAACAGGCGGCATTGCATGAACACCTTGCCGCGATGCGTGCTATGTTTTTATGCCACCGTGGAGATCTCTGGCACACATTTGTGGAAACGGCATTCCCAGGTCTTGTAGATAATGCGGTAGTCTCTAGACCAATGTTAACAGAGGCGGTAATCACACGAATAGTGGCAGATGCTTTTGTACATGCATTAGGAGTTTCTGGTTTAGCGGAATCACCTATTTATGAACGTTTTTCTACATTTGTTGTACTCCCACTTGATATGAATAGTAATGGTAGTAGTACTGTTATTATTGGTAATATGCGATCTATTGAAGATACAGCGCGAACCATTTTAGGTTGTATGCGAGGAATGGGTTTACATTACGTTCTCCCACGTGGACTTCATTTAGTTATATCAGAGAAAGCTTTAGAATATTATCAAAGAATATTTTCATTTCATATAGCCAGGCGATTTTCACTACATGCTCTTCATCTTTTTAGACATCTTTTTTCAGGAGCTTTCGTTACAAATACTCAGCCATCTCCAGAGTTGAGACGTACCTTCGCACTTATGCACTTACTATTATTCCTTCACACCACATTAGGTTATCATCTTCAAGTAGATGTGGTGGTATTACAAACGTCAGAGGTTGAAAAGGCATTAGAAAAATGTAAAAGTGTACAAGATGCAAAAAGATGTCTTGATCGTTATGTTTGGCATGTAGCGGAGGGTTCATTCATAACAGAAGGCTCTGGTCCATTATTATCCGCCTGTGAGTCCCTCTTTCAATGTTCGTTAGCTCTCTATGTGTTGTGTATTCGATATCGACTGACATCTTGGGCGGTGAATGGATCACAGATCCCTGCAGAAGTCTCTGCAGCCCTAACAGCATTAGAAACACGTGTTCATCAAGATGTGGTCTCTGTTTTCACCGGTCATCTCTCAGGATCCGCCACTCGACCAACAGAGCGGGCACTATGGGCGAGATTAGACTTTAATCGTTTTCTCTCCGCCGGAATGCGCTTTCGCATACCAACACAGTTTGCTCAACCTGCAGTTGCAAAAGCAAGATTTTTGGGATCCTCAGCGGGGCAAACTTCGTCAGCAACACCTGAGGCGAATGTTTCTCGACGACGTGTCGATATTCTGCCACGACCAGCAATAAGAGCAACATCTGTGGCGGCAAAATCAGCACACAAGTGAACGCATTTATTTGAAAATCAAAACAAAAAAAAAAAAAAAGATACCTTCTCCAGAGAGTAATGCCATAACTTTTTTTTTTTCTCGTTTCTTTTATTGGCGACGACATAGAAAAGGTTTGTGTTTGAGTTTATGTGGAAAAATTAGAGAAAAAGGAGTGAGTACGCTTAACTCTGATTTTATTTATTTCCTTTTTTTATTATTATTCTCTCTTCCTAATTTATAACTACATGAACTCTATTTTTTTTTTTTTTTTCATGATTACAAACTTTCAAATGGATTTAGCTTAATGTTGTGGTGAAAAAGGGGGACTGGGTGACGCGCAGCAACAAAATACACATACACACACAGATATATATATATATATATATATATATTTATAGACCCTGAGTAAGGGTAAACAAAGAAGTGGGATAACAAGGCCGAACTCTCTGTTCCTCTACTCGATTATTCCATTATCACACACCTTAGGTAAATGAAATCATCTAGGGATGATGTTCCTGTGGAAGTTGACGAGGGGGCACGAAATGTTCGTCCACGACTTTTTAGCCCTATACAAAATGAATCACGTGAAAAAGAATATCAGCATCAACCAAAACCACAAGCACAACAAGAGCAAGAGCAACAACTGCCTTCTACACCTAAGAATTCTGCGGGGGTAGTGTCTCCATTGGGGGTGCCCTCTGCGAAGTTTGTAGCGAAGACCCCTTTCTTTATAGTCACCGAAGAAGAAGCCTGGCTTTCAGCCACAACAGCAGCGCAGCAAAAGAAGTTACCTCTCTTTGAAGAGGCGAATCGCTGTTGGCAGCAGCATCGGGCCACAGGGAAGATGCATCATGAACCACCATGGCGTCTCTGCCAACGAGCCGAGGATAACCGTGAACATCCGTATTATATGCAGTGGTTGGATACAATGGAATTACTTCCAATGGAGGAGTTACTTGGAAAGGAAAGCAGTAGTGGTATGACGGCTGATAGCAGCGACCATACGGACGAAAAGAGAAAAGCTATCGCAGATGAAAAAACAGATAGTGAACACCTACAGCAAGAAAAATAGTAAGTATCAAAAGATGCCAGATTTTTTTTTTTTGGTTTCTGGTAGAGGTTGCTGAGCTGTATGATTCAAGTGCTTCTCTCCCCCCACCCCTACCTCAAGGGAGGGAAAAAATATATACATACACGTATATGTACGACATGCTCACTATAAGGTAATGGTGTGAAAAAAAACAAGAAAAAAAACCCGAGAAATGTGAAAAGAAGAAACCATTAAAAATTTTTTTTCTCTCTCTCTCTCTTTCCTTTGATTTTAATTTTTATTGTAAACGAAGAGGCATTAACAGGCGGATAAGAGAGCAACCACATCCAGACGCGGAAAGAAAGTAAGTAAAAGTAGGAATAATCAGAACACTACGTACTGAAAGAAGAATACAAAGGAAAAAACAACAAGGAATATAACCGAAAAGAAGAAAAAAAAAAAAAACAGTAATATGCGACGAACATTTGTCTCCACTGTTCTTCGTGCTGTGCCAAAAGCACCTCTTTTGCACCGCAGTTTTCCTTCAGCTGCAGCTGTGAGCGTTCCACTCTTCGCAGGGATTCAACAACGCTCTGCGACCTTTGCTGCTCTCGCTGATGCGACACGCCGCGAGATGGAGGATGAGCAGCAGCGCACCACCAGCAAAGAGAAGCCGAAGATGCCGGAAGGCTGGAAACTGGACCGTAAGCCTGGCGAGCGGATCTTCACGATGCACAAGACGTTCGAGGATGAGGAGATTCTTCTCCGCTACCGCGACGAGGTCAACTTGGAGGATGACAGGAAGAAGTACGATTTCACTGTGTTCATCACAAGCAAAGGCAAGACGCTTGAGTTCGAGATGAGTTTTGACGACGAGGAGGTGGTGCTGGACCGCATTCGCTTTCTGCCCGACTCGGCGCTCGCACTCGACACCTCCGCCGATGCCCTCTCGCGGCGCTCGCTGCTGTACTCCGGGCCGGATGTGAGGGAACTCGACGACGGGCTCGTGGACGCCTTTGTGTCTTATCTTGAGGACCGCGGTGTGGATGATGAGCTGGGGGAGTTTGTGGAGGCCTACGCGGTGTGGGCGGAACAGGCGGAGTACGAGGCGTGGCTCAGCGGCATTCACAAGTTTGTCTCGTAAGAGAGAGAGAGAGAGAAAGTACAGAGAAGAATAGAATGAGAAGAGCGATCGATCGAGAGAGAGAGGGGTACAGGTTAAGGATTTCTGGGTTTGTGAGTGTGTGCGCGTGTACCCATGTTTTTCTATCTTAATATGTGTATGAGGCCGTCCGTCTGACGGTTCATCCCATATCCAGCTTTTCTTCTTTTTTTTTTGTTTTTTTTGTTTTTTTTTTGCTTTTCTTTTACATATTGTTCCTGCTTCTCTGTTGCTTTTGTTATTCCTTAGGCAAGAAAAAAAAAGAAAAAGAGTGAGAAATCAACATATGTGTGATAGGAGAGATGAATGAATAACATACATACAAGTACTTGTTTCTGCACTTACATGAAAAGAAAGAACGAAATAAAGAAAAAAAAGATGGGCAATTACGTAAAAAAAAAAAAGAGAAGAGAAAATAAACACATGACACTATGAGGGATTATTTCTCTTTTTTTTCCTATTCCACTCTTTCTTGTGTGTATATGTGTTGTGTTCGTAATGTTTGTAACCATATTTCTACGGAAGGAGTTGCAAAACAAAAACAAAACAAAACAAAAAAAAAAACACCCACAAACAAACAAACAAACAAAGAATCGATCAAACAGTACAAACTGAGGGTTGCTTTTCCCTCTATATTATCCTATCTAATATATATATCTCTATCAGTGTGTGAGTGTGTCTCTCTTTGTTGCCGACCTGTTCTTTCTCCTTATTGTTCCCATATTCCTTTTTCCTATCCTCTTGTACCTGTTGGTTTGCGAGTTCCTAAATATAGATTCTTTCGTTTATTATTAAAGTTTATCTTTTCATTTTTTTTTTTGTTCTATTGTTATTAATACTATTATTATCTTTAACGTATCTATCTATATATATATATATACGTGATTAGGACTCAGAGGAAGGGGATTGGTAGTGGGTTGAAAAGGGAAATAAGAAACATTTTCTTGTGAGATTCTTGGAGAAAAAAAAAAAAAATGTCCCTTCAGATTGAGGACTACACAGGGGCTATTCCAGTCATAATTTCCCTTAGCGACACCGATTGCAGTGTACAAGAGAAACCAGCCCCGCTCATGTATGTATTGCCACGTACTTCTGTTTTGATGGCGGTACGCACAGAAGTACAAAATTACTTTTCTGCCTTTACAGTCGCCAAGGCAGACTCCACACCTCTCGTGTGGCTTACGTGTAAGGGTGAACCAGTACCATGGCAGTACCCTGTAGGGGCCATCAAAGATAGTATTAACGCCTCGGTGATTGCAGGACTATGCGAACCAGCTAAAAAATTTATTACAACATCTACAGATACCATAAAAGATACATTAGCCTCACCAGCTGAATTGTATCCAACAGTATTCGCTTTGCCATTAACATTAGAAGCACGCATTACGTGTTTAGCCACAGAAAAACCATTTTCTATACCGTGTCCTGGACAAGAGGATGCTGCTTCCCGCCGTAACGGAGAACAGGCGGTGTCTGAATATCTGAAACAGGTAATGAAAGGTACCTTTTCTCTTATGTATGGTAGTATAAAGGCATTAATGGATACACGTAGTGAAGTTATAAATGATGTCTTGAGTCTCGCAACTTGTACTTCTACAGGAGATCCATTTATACGGGCATTGAGAGCTTATAATGATCGTGTGGCTGGATTACGGCGGGTGACAGGTGAACCACAGAATATAGCACTTATGCTTAATGTTCCACTTGGTAAGAATCCTTTGCATTTTGCACTATTTCGAGTACCCACTATGATAGGAAGTCTATACGATGAAAAGACTTCTGTGGGTGAACAAAATGAAGAGGTTGTACCTTCTGGCAACGATAATAATAATAATAATAATAATAATAATAATAGTAGCATGGATCTTAATAAGGAACATGTAGGTAGTACTAAACCCAAAATATCAGTACTTGAAATGCCTTTTGGAGAAGTAATTTGGCGAGCACTCCTTGAACCATATCTTATGTGGAGAAAATTTCATGGTAGAAATGATGATGGTACTAGTGGTGCTAATAGTAATAGTAATAATGCTAATAATGATGCTAATGACATCTCTGATGATTCTGCATCAACTCTATTACCGTGCTCTGCACCTATTCTTCGTGCACTCACTCCCTTTTACAGAGGTTTAGAAGATAAGTCATCCTCAAGCAGTACATTATATTCAGGAACTGAATCCCTTGTGCGTGAGTTTATAGCGGCTGCTGATGCCACAGATGAAGAGAAAATGATTCATGTAGTACTTCCCTCATTACCCCGTAGGAAACGCCGTTTGTCCTTTATGCTTCAGGGTTTACAACCACCATTGCAAACTCCAGTGGGTTATCTTCTTGAACGCTTTACTTCTGCGGATGGCCGGTTGTACGTTACACTGGTAACTCTATGAACATTATGCTGACACGTGGTTATTGCTTTTTTTTTTTTTCTTTTTGTTTGTTTGTTTTTTACTTTCCTTTCAACTATCTTTTTTTTTTCTTTTTGTATTGTTAATGAGTGGGAGCTGAGAACTATATATATGGTTCTCTGTATATAAGTATGAGCGAATGTTGAGTGTAAACAAACGAGCAAGTGAATTCTTTTTTTTTTTTTTTGGTTCCTTTAGAAGAGGAAAAGGAGGGATAACCATAATATCAATTTGATGCCTTATTTTTTTTTTTTTTTTGTGTTTCTTTTCTTTTAAAGAAAAAAAAGAAAAAAAAAAAAACGTGGTTTTTGCCTTAATGAGTACAGCTGCGTTAGGGGAAGATGATATACGTTCAAGTAAAGGATTTCTTAAGATACTTCAAACATCTGATAAACCCTCAAACGTAAATGCAGCTCTGCTGTTGCTGCTTCAAACTCTTAGCAACCCGACAGAAGAAGCCGTTTCTCTCTCGCCTGCAAGTCTCCGTCAGCTGCTGCGGCTTCTCGTGGAGCGCACCGATGATGCTTGGTTAGAAGTTCGAAAAAAGATTGCTTTTGTTTTTGGTGATTTGATATCAAAAGGACACGGAGATGTGTTGGCAGATGCGCTTCTCTACGGTGAACCTCAAACCACATCTATTGGGGAGGCCCTTGCGAGTCATATTGACTTTGATAGTAATAATAAAGAGGAGAATGTCAGTCCTCGTGAGAAAGTTTGGGAAATGAAAGGACTTTTGGGAAAGTTAGCAGAAGCTCATGGAACTGTGGAACGATGTGTTCCGGCTGCTGATGTATTTCGGACACTTATGCGAGTTCCGGTTTTTTTAGATATGATTCTATCACCAACAGAAATTACTAATACTACTACTACTACTAATACTACTAGTACTACTACTACTACTACTACTACTACTACTACTACTAGAGAAGAAAATAACCCAAGTCCCCAACGAGAGGAAAAACAGTACAACTTTCATAATACATGTATTGGAATTCTCTGTCGTAGTGTTGCATCCGATACAACAGTTCTTTGTACCGAAACGTGGCTTTCACTCAATAAGGCTCTACACATGGATAAAGGTATTTCAGCATCATTGCTTTTGTATTATTTTAATGAATTTGTATTAATGTTTAAGAATTGTTTAGATAAAGGGAATTTTGTGGCTAAACTCCATGCGTTAGAGTTGCTTGCATCTATTCTTGAGGATTCTGCATTTTTAAAGGCACGTCGAAATTTTGCAGAGTCACCAGCGTTGCTTTGTGCACTTCTTCCTTTAACAAATAGTCCTTCAGCACATATTCGTTTTCTCACCTTTGATACGCTTAAAGTTTTTATTGCCAAAGGGAACAAACCTGCTCCTATTCGTTATATTCTCTATATTAATCGGGAAACGTTGGCGGCATATGTGGAAGATTATTCCACAGAAGAAGTAGCGATTCAAAAACGTCTGGAAGTAGAGAAACAAAGATTACTACAAAGTCTAACTTCACTGGAGCCACTAACACACGAAGAAGAATTACTGCTTGGTGTATCGTAAAGATAAAACTATTTGAAAATATCTTTTCACCTCTTTTTATCTTTTTCACTTTCTCTCTCACTTTCTCTCTCTCTCTCTCTCTCTCTCTTTCCTTATGTGTATGTGTCTGTCTGCAGATGACATTTTTTTGGCTGAAATCATATTGCCAATATGAATGGAGGAAAAGAGAACCGAGATAGAGAGAAAGTGAAGACAAGATTGTAGTGAAAAGAGAAAAAAAGAAGAAGGACAAGATAGGAGAACGAAACACGACGAAGACGAAAAAAAAAGGTCTTGTGCCTTCATTCATAACGAAATGTGCTTCTTTCTGATTCTATTGTACATGTCATTTGCTTTATTTATCTCTTTAACATTACTGTTGTTGTTATTATTGTTGTTATTGTGTTTTTTTTTTTTTCTCTTTTCTGGGGACCCTTTTCTTAATTTATTTCTTTCTTTCCGTTTTATTTTTATTTTATTTTATTTTTTAAATTTCCTGACAACAAATAAAAACAAAAAAAAAAAAAGATACAACATATACTTACTTAGATAGGAGGTAGGTTGGGGATATTGAGAGAAAGGAAAGGAGAGAGATCTAATTTTATTTGATAGTGGAGTGGACTTGGGTTTGTGTATGAAATTGTGTACTCATGTCTATTCACGCTGAGGAAGAAGAAAAGGAAAGAAAAGAAATTCCAAAAAATGCATCACCAAAATGTCCAACATTTGATCCGAGTCAATTAAATCTATCTGACGCTCAGCCTATTGGCTCTGGTGCTATTTCGCAAGTTGTACAAAGTAAATTTAGCTTCCCACCACATCTTCCTATAGCGGTGAAGATACTTTCGAAGGTACAGTTGTTGCAGCAGAATAAAGTTCAAGTGGCAATGAATGAGAAACGTGCTCTTTTAGAAATGGGACCGTGTCCTTTTATTGCTCGATTATACGGTACTGCACAGTCAGAGGATGAACTTTATTTCGTTATGGAATATCTCCCGCATGGTGATTTACTAGAGCACATTCGAACTTGCGCAGCACGCCATATAGCTGAGAATTTGGCAGCAGAGACCACCTTAGCTGCAGATTTGGAAAAGGGATTGTCAAATTCCAATAACTCCATTCGTTGTTTAGATTTTCATGATATTCAACTTATCACAGCACAACTTATATTGGGATTAACACAAGTTTTCTCTAAAGGTTTCGTTTTACGAGATCTTAAACCGGAAAATGTTGCATTTGATAGCAAATACCGTGTATGCTTGCTAGATTTTGATACCGTAGATGTAAAGGGTGGAACACTTATGCCTATTTCCAACAATGGTGTTGCCCTTCGCGATAAAGCTGAGAAAGATAAACCATCTAACCCTGACCGCCGTCTCACGGTTTCGGCAATTCAAGGAATGCGAAAGATGACGGCAAACTTCTGCGGCACTGCCCAGTACGTCTCTCCTGAGATGCTCGGCCAGTGCCAGTGGAGCTACAGCAGTGATCTCTGGGCGCTGGGGGCGATGGTGTACGAGATGGTGTACGGGACGCACATGTTCGGCGGCGCCAACACCTTCGCGGTGATGCGGCGGGTGGTGGGCGGCGTGCACGGCGGCGGGGTGCCGTTCCCGCGGGTTTTTCTCGGCCCGCAGGCGGACGCGTTTGATCGCGTGCGGGACTTCATTGAGCAGCTCTGCCGCACCGACCCCGCCCGGCGGCTCGGGGTGCATCCCGCCACGGGGAGATTCGACGCGGACGCCCTGCGGCGGCACCCGTTCTTCGGCGACTTCACGGCGTGGGGCGTGCTGGAGCAACACATGCGGGACTACCGACAGCCGGCGTGCAACAGCGACAAGACGGAGAGCGCGGGGCCCGTGCACCCAAGCGCGGCGGACGACGGCACCACGTCGCTCAAGGGGCTCTACCACACACTGCCGGTCCACAGTGTGGAGTACGCCAAGTATGTGTTTGAGGCCACCGCAGATGCGAATCCGTTTGAACGCTGGGCGCAGGGGATCTCAGGGGAAAATAGTGGATCGTTTTTACGCGGTATGGATGGAGAGAAGGAGTTAGCGGAGAATGAGGATGCTGAGAATGAATCGTTAACGGTACCTCCTCTTGAGGATGGTGAAGACGATGAGATGGATGTGGTGGATGATGTTGGAGTACTCTACGTTGGCCGTGCTCACCCGGACTTTGCGGGTGATGAATAGAGCTAGTCTTGTTATTACATCCCTCGTCGTTTTTTTTTTTCTTGTCTTTTATCCTTCTCCCATATACTATATATATATATATATATCTGGATTCAAGCTACGTGTTTTTTTTTTCCGCCGAGTTTGCTTTATTATTATTATTATTATTATTATTATTATTATTATTATTATTATTATTATTATTATTATTATTATTATTATTATTATTATTTTGCGTGATGTTTAGGGAGCCGATGTTGCTTCATGTAGACTTGTTTTGAAACCTTTTCGACTGTGTTCTTTTTTTTTTTGTTGTTCTTTGTTTTTGAACCTCACCACAGTTCTGTTTTTTTTTTTTTTTATCCTTCTCATGGACGTTGTATTTCATTATTTCTAATTGCTTTTTTACTGTTTCTCTTTACTTCTTTTTTTTTTTTTTTCTTTTCCCTCCCTTTTGCTACTGGTGTTCTTTTCTGTTTCCATCCTGCGTGTTTTTTTTATTGTGTTACCAACACGTTTGCTTCATCTTTGCGTTCTCTGTTGTTCCTTTCTGGCTTAGCGAGAGGTAAACGACGCAAGTAAACAAAAAACAAAACAGAAAGAAGGAAAAAAAAAAAAAGAAGAGTGAAAGTAGAAAGGAAACAAATCAAAGAAGTGGACGTAAAAAAAAAAAAAGAAAGGAGGTTAACACACACACACACACAGAGAGAGAAAAGAAAAAAGAGTTAACGAAGGGAATTGACTGTAGACAGTAAACAGGAAAGGAGGAAAAAAAAAAAAAAAACAGAAACCAGTAGAAAAGATAAAATTTATCAAAACCTCATTAGATATCCCTCTTTTTGATACTCTGAAGGGGGTAGTGAACTATTTACTTTTTGCCTGATATACACACTGAGGAAACAAACTTGCGAGTCTAAACACAACAACAACAATAGCATCAACATCATCAACATTATCAAGAACGATATCAAAATATCAGTATTCCAATAATGCTGGAAATAAACGGATTGGAGCATTTGCTTTCCCTCACAAGAGAACATAGAGTTCTTGTTGTGGCTTTCTATGCAGATTGGTGTGGTCCCTGCCAACGGGTAAAGCCCCAGTATGCATCGTTAAGCGAATTATATAATAACGTGGTATTCTGCCGATGCAATATTGATCGAAATAGGGAATCTGCTAATCGTTTTGGTGTAGAAGGCGTTCCTACTTTTATTCTCTGGGCTTTGGGAGAAATAAAAGCGACTATCACTGGAGGTCAGATAGGTGCACTTCAATCAGCCATTGATCAAGTACTCAGAATATTACCAGCAACAACAACAACATCAGCATCAGCATCATCATCGCAGCAAACAACCATTGGTGCTGTCCATAATAAGTTGGCCCAACAAATGGGGTCATTGGCTCAAGCTATTGCTGCTTCTGGAAGAGGTGGTACATCAGGAGGAGAAAGTGAGATATGTGAAGCTATCTGTAATACACTTGAACAAGACTCAGAGAGACGACCATTTGGTATCGCATTACTTCCATATTTTGCTTCTCATGGATTTAATGCGGCTGCTGTCAATACTCTATTTAATTACATTGCTAAAAGGCCTCAACCACGTTGCAGTGATGGTGAATATATAGTTAACGTAATATTAAGCCATCTTATTGAATTTTTTCTTGCATGTACTATAAATAGTACAAAAGAATTGGAAATGTTACGTCAAGTATTATATTCTCTTGTATCTTGCAGCTCTATTTTACCCATACTCGTACAATCACACCTTTTTTATAATGATATGTTGTACACGGGTGTACAGTTGGAATGCAGTACTATTTTAGGAGCCATGTTGGGTGTCGGTATATGCACTCGCAGTAATCGTGTACCCCCATTACGTTCACGATCTATGGAATGGGAAAAAATAACAACTTTATTTCCTAAAGATACAGATCACTCTCATAAAATATCTGAATTACAAATCTATATGGAGTCCGCTTGTGCTTCAAATAAACGTATAGTTCTTGCACTTTTACAATCTAAAATATCTCGAGAACCTACTTTACGATTTTTTGGTGCAGCATTAAAAGTTAATTCTGGTTACAGTAAAACTATGCACCAAAATATTCCTCTCTCTTCTCGATACTTTATGGCCCAAATGAATGATGTTCTTCTGGAGGCTGCACTCCCTTTATTTGGAAGAGGTTATGATCCTCGTGTTATTCCTTCAAGTTATGTACTTGAGGATCCTGGAGATAATGTAATAGTGAGTTTTGATGAAGATGTGGAACGTATTACTCACTATGATGAGAATCGTCCTCTTCCAGCCTTTCCAACATTAAAAGAACCCTTTAAACCTTCTGTACATTTATTCTTTTTGGCAGCTCGTTCTATTATGCTAAGTACAACTGTATTGATTGAAACGCATGAGAGAGATGAACGGGATTCAACACATCCACAAGTACCTCCTGAGCAACGGGCAGCTTATTTGGCAGAGAGTTCTCTTATTAAAGGGCTTATTGGATCACAAAGTCTTGGTCGAAAACGAGTTCAAGTACTTAATGGTATCGCTGCATGGCTTGTTTCTATTATGAAAGTTTCTCCAGATGGAATACTTTTAAAAGAACCACCAGAAGAATGGCAATATTTACCTCAACAACTTGTAGATGTAGTTATTCGTGGTGTACAATTGGCTCCAATAGATTGTTTTGATGTGGAAAATATTATTTCACTTATGTTGGTACTTATGGGAAATACCACATACTTCCCTAAACCTCACACACATGCACTCTTTCCAGCATTCCTCAGTCGTTTATTACATGATGAAGAAGCCAAAAGAGCCTTAACAACACATCGATGGTTTACACAACATATTGTACGTGCTTGTGTATTATGCTATATTGCGGTAGAAAAATCTACATATGAAAAGGTTGAGGTACGTTACACTCTTTCGTATTGTACGAAATCTTTCCTTGTCTTTGAATCCTTATGTCAACCAGTTCGTGAAGAATTTGAGGTGGATGGTACTATTTTGGAACGTTTTTCTCACATGGTAACTGCAGATGTGAATGAAGCAGTTGATCAGTTAATTGAAACATTAACCAAAATGAATCAACTTATAAAAGAAGGTGCGGATTTGAGTGAAGGGGCCCGAGCACCACGTAGTGAAAGAACAGAAGGTACAACTGGAAATACTGGAAATACCCGTAGAATGGGTAGAAGTAATAATAATAATAATAATAATAATAATAATAATAATAATAATAATAACAACAACAGGAACAATACTCTCAATAATGAAGAAGAAAGTAGTGAGGATGAGGATGATAATGGGGATTCTCCAATGACCTATCATCAATTAGGTCAGGGATTACGTCAACGTATTCTTCTTTTTGAGGCCAGTATGGATTTATTTATTCAACTTTCCATAAGTTTCTCAAAGGGAGTGGCACAAAATATGGTGGCACAACAAATTGGTCAAATGTTGGCTCGAAGTCTCGTTAGCTTTGCAGGTGCTGATAGTAAAAACTTAAAAATTAAATTTCCTGAACGTTATAATTTCCGACCAAAAGAAATTTTAGGTCGTTTGGTAGAATGTCTTGCACAATTTCGTCGTTTTCACAACTTTTTACGTTGTTTATGTAATTGTGGTGTACCATTGAAAGATATTTTGCAAGCTATGCACACAGTTGCCGATCGTCGTCTTGTGGAAGAACACCTTGTATGGAAACTCAAAGAAATTGCCGCAACTCTTGAAACTATTTCAGAGAAAATAAATGAGGATGAGGCATTATGGGATGAGGCACCGGAGTATGCATTAGATGCATTGCTCTCCACACCACTTTTAGACCCTGTGGCCCTTCCAGCCGATGTGAAGGATTTAGATGATTTGGTCTATGTGAATAGAGATACCATTCATCATGTGCTTCTCTCGGAGAATAAACACCCTTTCACGAAGGAATATTTGGATGAGAATATGGTAAATGAATTTAACGCACGGGAAGGTGTTAAACAAGCTCGAGAGAAACTTCAGAGTCGTATTGCCGCTTGGCTGGAGGAGGCAAAGAAGAAAAAGTAGTAAACGAAAAAAAAAGAAGAAAAAAATTCTCATTTTTTTTCTTTTTTTTTTGCCCCTCATTCATCATATGGAGTTTGACTGGAAGTGGGGTGTGGGTGGGGGAGATGCAGAGATTTTCAATATATATATATATATATATATATATATATATATATATATATATATATGCTGTAATAAGAACGAAGGGAAAAATTAGTGGGGAAGGAGAAGTGGAACAACAACAACAACAAAAAAAAATAAAATAAAAATCTTATAAATGAACGGAAACAGTATGAAAACTTATCTCTTCTCTCTTTGTTTTTTTCCCCTTTTTACTCTTTTTTCTTTTCATTTACTTGTTTTTTTTTTCTTTGGAAGGGGAGGAGTTAAAATAAAAAAAAAAAGTATCAGCGCCACTTTTTTTTCTTTCTACCTATGGGGTGAGATATATCTTCCAAACACACATACCATTGAACTATGATTCTAGTAATGATAATGTCAATGCTGAGGTAAATAGGAGAAACGAAAAAGTAAGTTCACGGGGTTCTATTCTATCTCTTATTTATTTATTCATTTATTTATTTATCTATTTATTAGTCCTCTGCAAATTTCAATTATTTGCATGTACAGTCTGCCTGAAGATTGAGTATTCACTGTTGTGAATCTTGTCTTTTTGGTTTTCTTTTTGCAGAGAACCCGGGTGCGACAATGTGGTTATGATTCTGGCATTTTCCCTATCTGATATTTTTCTTTTTTTTGTTCCCTTTCATATCTCCTCCTCTCTTTCTTTTTTTTTTAATTGTGTATATGCATTTCAATGGTATCTCATTTGATGTTTCTCTTTTCTTTCTTTTCTTTCTTTTTCTATTTACGGTAAGCCTGGGTGTTTTACGCGGCTTGGGTGTGTGTTCACAGTTGTGTAAGGCGGCAGGTATTGGAACTGAGAAATGCTGCGGTTTAATTCGCCTTCTTTTGGCCGTTGGGGGCCTCGAGACTTTCTGCGCGGGCGAACCAAACGCGGCGGTGCCATTCACACTCGCCACACCCACGGCTGTCAGGGTCGCTATAAACGACTTTCCACCATTTATGGCTTGCGAGATGGGCGTCGACATGCGGGGAATCATTTAACCGGCGGTCTTGGTATTAAACTGGGCGGGGGACTCTTTGGTCTGCGCATTCCCCGGCAACACAATCTCTCCAAGATGTCGCCGGAGGAGTTTGATATTGCCCTTCACGGCCATCCAAACATCACAAATCCATATCGAGAACACTTGAATGAACATCCCGATCTCAAGAGTGTAATGCGGAATGCCTGGCTGAATGTGCATATCATCGTACTCATGCCTCGAGTCACACGATTAGCCGATACGAATGAAGGAATTCCACAGGCATGGAAAGAACTATTGCAGCATTTACGAGAGGCATTTCAAGAAGAAAAGGATAAAAAAGAAAAAGATAACTCCGTATGGAAAGGAAATGGTTGTAGTATTATAGTTCATTGGGCTACCATGTCCGCTTCTATTACTTGTCGAGATACAGGAAGTGAGGCACTTACACTCTCAGCAGCATCTCTCTTTAAAGATCATAAAAGAGGAGAAAAGATTAGACCTACATCTCTGGTTTCATCTCTACGACCACATGAAAAAAAACGTATACCACTTTTGGGTGCCGCCATGTTATCATCTCTAGCTCCCCAAAAGATGATGATGACGACAACAAATTCTTTAATGAACTCAACAACTCCATTAAAGAAGATACAAGAACGAACATCAAGTAGTCCTTTACATAATACAGGAACAAATCTCATAAACCATAATGTCACACCTTCTACCCTAGTAACTATGAGTAATAGTAGTAATAGTAATAGTCATACTATTGTGAACCAGCGAGGGGTACAAGAACTATTACAAGAGTTGCGAGAGTCACATCCTGATGCTCTGAAACTGTGTCTTCGACTAGAAGAGAGGATGACATCCAGTGAAACAGGAAAAGAAAAACATGATGATGATAATAATAATGATAATAATAATAATGAAAAGAAGAAGCAAACACAGAAAAAGACACCTGTACGGAAATTACTACGTGAAGATTTAGACCCAGATGAAGTTGGGGTATGGAAACAACCAGCTGCAACCGTTGATGCTCTTATGCGATGGCACTACTTCAATTGGGATCCCCGTGCACATAACGCTGATGTTTTGCCCCACCATAGACGAAAACAAGATGTACACATCTTTGTAGATGCTTCACGGGCTCGAGGAGAGAGTGTTTCTTCTGCAAGAAAGCCAATCAGAAGCCAACGTTCTTCGTTATCGAGATCATTAATGTCTCCACGTTTTTCAGAAAAACTTCAAGAGATGAATTTTAAACGAGTAGATCATAAAACTCTTGTAGAGATCTTGACAGATTTGCGGGGATGGACAGTAGATTCCCAATGGCGAGCACTCGAAGATCGACAAAGAGGTTTCTCTAATGAGAAAAAACAAAGGAGCTGTACCACTTCACAGTGTGTGAAAGAAAGTATTCATCATGAAGGATAGAGTTAATTATATCCTGTTTATGGAGTGAAGGGAACAAAACAAAATTTTCACATTACAAACATTTTTTGCAATACCATTTTGGAGGAATTTACAACACTATCATCTGTTTATCTATTTATTTTTCCTTTTGTCTATCTCTCTGTGTGTGTGTGTGTTTGTCTGTAAAGTCCACTGGTAAAGGTAAAAAAAAAAAAAAAAAACCACTTCCCCTCCAAAAAAACAACAACAACAGTAGAATAATGATTTTTGCACTCATGTCTTTCTTTGAAACTGTTTTTATCATCTTTTTTCTTTTATTAATTTTTATTTCTTTCCTCTCTCTCTCTCTCTATCTCTCTCTTTATGTATATACCTATGTTTTTTATCTAAAGGCTGCGGGAACATAGAAAGGAGTTTGGTTTTTCTCCAAGTCCTGAGAAGAATTTTTCCTTCTCTTTCTCTCTCTCTCCCTTTTATTATTATTATTATTATTATTTGGAGTGACCACAAACAAAATATTTGCTTGTAATCATAATTCTCATTTCACATGCATCGTGTTGTTTTCGCCGACTCCTATCGTGGCCTCACCACCTTCTCTTTCCTCGCCCTTTCACAGACGCATCTCTCCCCGCCGTGGAGGGCACTGCAAACAAGTCTGCGCTTCGCCAGCAGCAGCAGCAGCAGCAGTACTACACCGGCCGTCAATCACTACAAGCGCCTCGGCGTGGACACCACCGCGACGGTGGAGGATCTCAAGACGGCGTACAGGTGCCGGGCGCTGCAGTGCCACCCGGACGTCGTCGAGGAGAAAAAGAAGGCGCAGGCGGAAGTGGAGTTCCGGGCGGTCTCAGAGGCTTACGATGTGCTGATGGATCCGCAGAGGCGCGCAGAACACGATAAGGCCCTCGGCGTACAGCAGCCAGCGGCTCAGAAGAAGACATCTGAGAAAACATCATCATCCTCCTCCTTCACAAGGGCATCCACAACAACAACAACAGCGAGAGGAACTGCAGGAACAACACATAAATCAACTAGACCACGTAGACAAAAGACATTTGTGCGTGGTGACGCTGATCGAAAGTTTCGTGAAGCTTTTCATGGTATGTCACTGGATCAGGTGATCTTTCAAGAGCGTCTACGGCAGCGTCAGGCACAGCAAGAACAGAATAATAATAATAATAATAAAACGGGTCCATCTTCATCCGCGGCACCATCTGGACGTGAGGAGGCACTGCGACGTGTAATGGCAGATGCCGCTGCCCGCTTCGCATCAAAGGTGCAGCGACAGTATGGCCCAAGTATGCTTCGCCACGTGAAGGTAAGCACTTCACCATCTTTCTCTGAACAAATGCCATCGTCGGATTACATGCCATTCCGACCCTTTCACGGCTTCTCTGCACCGCCAGGTGTTCGCACACCACCGGAGCCGAAACTCGGCCCTACTTCTCATGTGAAAGGAGAGTCATATGTGGAATTCACAGAGCCCTCAACGCGAGTACGGCGTGAACTGCCCAAGTCTATGCCTGTTGTTCGTGGACTTGATGGTAGTGTGATGGAACGTAGTGAAGCGGAGCGGTATCTTGAAAAAGAGCGGAACTCCCCGTACAATATGGGTAAAATGTACTCCTACCATAGGCCGTATTGATTGAGTGGGTGTGAGTTTGATGGCTGCAGATGTGGCTAAATGCTGTGTTGTGTTAATACTACTACGTGTAGTATGGGGAATGTCTCGAGGGATTTCTTTTTTGTTTTCTATTGCTGTAGTTACTTGAATTAATATAGTTATGACTAATATGAAACTATTTTTTCATTTTCTTTTTCTTTTACTTGTTATTATAACTTGAAAAAATAAAAAAAAAACGTATACAAACACACAAATACATATATTTATATAGAAGTAGCGAGAGAGTGAGGTGAAAAAAAAAAAAATAAGGAATAGAAATTACCAAAGCAAATAAGTGCAATTAGAAGGCAACAGAAGAAAAAGAAGAAAAGGGAGATAAGAAAGAAAAAACCAAAAAGAAATACATATATTTTATACTCAAAGATGCGTCGACATGTTTTGAGGAATATTGCTCTCGCCACCTCTGCTGCATCAACCATTACGGCGTCTTCTCGTGGAATCTACACTATTTGGGGATCCATCCCACTTGAGGAATGGGCGTCAAAGGAGCCGTGGCTTAAACGTCTTACGAATCAATCGCACTATCGTAGCTTTGAGTTCTGGCACGTTCCGGAAGTTGAAACACCAGAAGGTATTCAACTTTCTCGAGTGGAAAAATATTTGCTAAGTTGTATAGAGGATGACACCAACCGCCTTATGAATATAAGTTGGACATATGACTTTGATCCATTCTGGAGAGATCGTGTTGGTTCTCACAGGATTCTCTTTGATATATTATACAGAAGTGAATACCCTGTATATAAGTTTTTCTTTGGTGATTACTCAAGCAATGTGGAAGGAATGAAGTATATTGAGAAAAAACTTAACTATCTCTTATCTGTACTTCATTGGGCGACAAGAACAGAGAGACGCTACACAACTATTGCAAAAGCAAGATACCATGTACAACGTAATGTTTGGAATGCGCTGGAACGTGAACGTTACTTGGAAGGTTGTGTGGAGGCTGTTGAGTCCTTCAAGAAGAAGATACCAGCAGAGTTTGCCAGTAAAGCTATTGGAGAACTTGAGAACGATCTCACTAACATGCGGCACTGGGTTTGGGATTGTCCAAACGCAAAAAGGACATTTCCACAGTTGTCTTAAGATAGGGGTGAACCTATGTTAAGTGTAATAGTTCTATTTGAGAAGAGGGAAATTCTATGGGATGTTTGTTTGTTTTATTCAAGACTTTGCTGAAGAGAAATAATCATAAAAAAAAAGAAAAAAAAAGGAACAAACATGGAGAACCCTGCGTCATGGCGTAGGGTGTGTGGGAGAGTGGGTCAATGCATACAGTTAGAAAGAGTATCAAGGCAGAGTAGGAACGTAGTAGGGTTTTAAACCCAAAGTGCTGTAGTGGGTTGGATGATTAGGAGGCTTCATACATATATATTTCAAAGAAGAAAAGAAAAATGTCCAGAGTATATATATATATATATATATATATATATATATAAGGAAACTGTACGAAGTACTTCCTTCTCCTTATTTCTCTTAACGCATCTCCTACATGGTAATTGTGCGTGTTTGTGTGTGTTTGTGAACATGGCGCATGAGAAAACTCGAAAGGAGAAGAGAGAAGTGAGGGATCAAAACAAAACAAAAAAAAAAAAAGAAGCAAAGAGAAGAAGAAGAAGAACAAGAAAAATAAAGAAACTTGAATGTTGTGGAGGTTAGACCGTTAGGGTTGAGGAAAAAAGACTAGTTGTGTGTGGGTGTGGCGAAAGGGGCAGCAGAGATCAAGAAAAAAGAAAAAAAAAAAAGGAAATGCAGAAAAGGAACAAGGGAAAGAACGTAAAGTGAAGAAGAAAGAAAATAAAAAACTCAAATGGGGGTAGTGATTTGCGGCCCTCTTCTTCTTCTTGAGATATTGTTTCTATAAGAGGTAATGACTTTTTTCTTCTTTTTTTTTTTTGCTCTTCCTCCTCCATATCGGGTTTCTTTTTTTTTTTTTTTCTTAGTCCTTTTTCTTTTTCTTTTTGGTATCCCTATGGGATACTGAGTGGACGTAATTGCAGAAGAAGAAAGATGGGTCAAACCCAATTTTTTTTTTTTTTTCCTTTTTTTTCCCTCTTAGCTGTGCTGTGTGGGAATCTTCGTACTGTAGTGGTATATATATATTTCTTTCTTTCTTTCATTATATCTTGTGTGTGTGTTTTTTTTTTTTTCTCCATCTAGGCGTATACAAGTGAAAAGAAAAACAACAACAACAACAACGGAGGAAGGAAGGAAGGAGAGTTGAAAACGTGAATCAACTAATGAGAGTAACTGGAAGGCCGAAGGGACTCTCCGGCATTCTGACTAGTCGTATGAGAGATGAATTTAACCAAATTCTCTACTCACAGCGCGGCATCCATTCACCTTCTATGAATATGTCACTCTTATCATCATCACTCTGTGGTAATACTAATATAAATACTATGAACAGTAAGACTAAGAGTATTATATTACATCAGACGATAAACCTTTCACGTATAAGTGTTAGAGCGTCTGACTCGAGTGCAATGCGATGGTGGTTTAGTAGACCTTCTCTTAATGGAGCAATAACACGACTTGGTGTATGGACTCCTAATTTATCAAATGCACTTTCATCACAGTGTGCACGATCCCAAATAAGTTCATTTAAAGAGGAGGGATATTACCGTCTTGCAAAACTAAAAGATATTCACATAGATGAGGATTGTTATAGTCTTCTCACTATGCGTGGAAGTGGACCAGGTGGTCAAGGGACTAATAGCAGCAGTAGTAAGGTGGAGTTACGTGTTAGTATCTCAGCACTTAGTGAACACTTTGATGAAGACTTAATTCACAAACTTAAAGATAATGAACGTGGGAAGAGTCTTACTGCAGATGAATCACTGGTTATTGTTTCAAGTCATGAACACCGAAGTGTACATCAAAATAAGGAAGCTTGTTTACGTCGATTAAGAGAAATAATTCAAAAGGCGTCGTGGGTGCCGCCAGTGGAGGCTGCTCCTATTAAGCGGCCTACATCTATCGTTACAGCACGAAAAGTAGAACGAAGAAAAAAGGGATCTATGCAGAAAATGCAGAGAGCAGCACGAAAAGGTATGTGGTAGTTTGAAGGGTAATATCTTCTTTCTATTGTACTTTGTGTGTTTTTCTCTGTGTTTTTCTTTTTCTCTCTCTGTGGAAACAACGGGGAGATGTTTTAATGCGGTTCTTTCCCTATGATGGTTTTTATTTTATTTTACTGCTTTTACGTTCACAATGACGTTGTATGTTGTTTATATACCCTCCGTTGGGATACTTCTTCTTCTTCTTACTCCTCCTCCTCCTCCTCCTCCTCCTCCTCAGCTAAAGAAGGCAAACTCTATCCATCCGCTGGAGGACTCCTCCTCACTCTTTCTATTTCATTATCTCTTTATCTATTTATCTCTTCTTCTTTCCTTATTTCCTTCTTTCATAGAGAGAGAGTGTGTGTGTGTGATGCTCCGGAGAGTTGTGCGACGCCTGGCGCCATCGCAGCGCCACCAGCACCACGAGGCGTTAGTGAAGATGTGGCGTGAGCGCCCACCGCCGCCGGGGCCCGCAGCGGAGAAAAATCATCAACACTTCCGCGATGTGCGGCCGCCGCCGCCGGACGAGTCCACGGAGGCGAAGCGCCGCCGGCTGTTGTATCAGTCCGACTACCGCGGCATGACGGAGATGGACATTGTGCTCGGCCTCTTCGCACGGCAGCACGTGCAGCACATGAGCCGCGAGCAGCTGGAGGAGTACGATGCGTTTCTGCGGCACTTTGATAACGATATGTTTAAGTGGCTGGTGATGGGCGAGGCCCCACCAGCGGCAGTGGCGGAAATGGAAGTCTTTAAAAAGCTGCAGGAATTTGTGAAGAAGGAGCAGCAGCAATTGCTGGGACACATTGTGTGATCGGAAAGGGAGAGAGAGAGAGAGATTGAGATGGTGTCAGAGTGAAAATATAGAATCTATGTAAAAGAAAGAGAGAAAGATAGTGTGAGTGTATGGATGTTTGTATAGTCACTCGTCCATACATATAGTCCAAGAGATATCTGACATTGAGGGTACACAGTGCGTCAAGAGTAGTAACGAGGGGTTGGAAGAAAGAGAAACAGAAAGTGGGAGAAGAAAGAGTAATATATATATATATATATATATGTATATATATGTATGAATATATCATAGCAAAAGAGGAAAAAAAAAAACGTGAACGAATACTGGGAGCAATACAATATCGGTGAGCAAGAAAAGAGGGTAAGACGCAAGAAAAAAAAAAATACGAACGATACAAAGCATGACTTCTTATTTTACTTTTCGTTTTTTTTTTTTTTTTGTTATTGCTTGTTGTCGTGAAATATAATTGTTATTATTTTTCTGAGTGGGTGCACCTCTGTAGAGAGTGAAGAACATTTTTATTACAAGTGATTCGGTTTGTTTATCTTTTTTTTTTACTTGTTTTCCTTATTTGATAATGAGTACTATATATATATATATATATATATATATATATATATAGTTTAGTTGGGAATCTCACTTTAGCTTGTATTTCTTCAATCTTCATTATCACGTTCCTTTTTTTTTATTTTTGCTTTTTTTTTTTTCTTCTTTGGTAATACACTGAAGTTTCTTGAAGAAAGGAACATATCATAGATAAGGAAGGGTCTCTATTTACGGAGACGGAGAAACACCACTAATCAATACTATTGCTTCTTGGTGTTTCTTTTAGTTTTATTATTTTTGTTTTCCCTCTCTTTTCACCCAAGGGTGACAATTTCCTCTCTTTTTCTTTTCCTTCCTAAGAAGCTGGTGGTGTCCTACAGGTTAAAAACGTTCTTTGTGTAACCAAATTAAAAGAAAAAAAGAAATAAAAGAAAAAAAAAGAGTAATAATTGACGGTATTTCTGTTTATTAGAATACCTTGTGGATATCATTTTTAACGTTTTAGCTTATGTTGAGTAATGAATTAACGGACATAACACCAAGTCCTTCTCAAGGAATCCCAGTTATACCAAAAAGAAGATCACTAGACACTGGGTGTAATGATAGTAGTGGTAAGGTCATATCAGCAGGTTCAAAAATACGAAGAATATTATCCGCCTCTAGCGTAGAAATGAATGGTATTGAGAGAAAAGGTCGAAACCATTCTGCTGTTGAGATGAAGGATAAAAAGAAATCTCTCTCTTCTTGTGCGATGCCTTTTTCAACACCCGCTTCAGCCACTTCTCTCCTTCGATTGGTGCTTGAAGTTCTGCAGCGGGTCCCTGGAGAACAGAATGGGATCACAACAGTACCACCACGGCCCCCAAATGGATCACCCAAACATAACGGACGACATCGTCGAGTTTATTCTAGTATTTCATATGAAGAACCCAAAGCCAAAGTACTATCTAAGGAGGATAGGTATAGTGGGATAGGTAATACTATACAAACTCGTAGTGGTTTATCCACTACTGGAGTAGTATTTCCTTCGACAAATAAGGTATACCCATATAATTTTATTTCACAGGGTGAAAATGTGGAAAATACATGTTCACCTTTAAATCATGTTTCTGTTATGCCTCATACACAATTGAGTGGTTCATTAGGAGAAAAAGTTTCTAATTCACGGGTTGTATCACTTAGTTCTTCAGTAATTTGTACACCACCAGCTGCTGCCGCCGCCGCAGCGTCAGATGTAAAGGTACCGAAAGAAGTATTAAAAGAGAGTCTTCCTCAGGGAATTTGTGAGGAACCCTTAATTGGATTATTACTTGATGCATGTACGGATGAAAATGGAACTATTGCTCTTGCAGATGTGTTATCCTTTCTTGCAAGTAAAGAAGATAACACAGAAGATAGTGTTCATCTTAAGAACAAACTCTCCATGACAGACTCTGAGGCTACATTAAAGGCATACTTTAGAGTTTTTATTCTTATTGGAGCTCGTCAATACCCTGTTGATGACAAGATGCGTATTATTACAGTAGTTCCATCTTCACAAGGAACACTACGAAAAAAAAGAAGAACGGTAGTAGATGAAACAGAAAAAGAAAGAACAGAAAACACTAGTATTAATGCAGATTCCCCTTGGTTACTCTTAGCGGAGCAGTTATTTCAATACCTTTCTTCCTTTCCACGAAATTTACTTTATCATACGGGTCCTCTTGGTGAAGAGCGAACGGCACCGAAAGAGTGGGGCGATCGGTGGGACTCCTGGAGTACTTCACCCTCTGCATTACAGCAATTGCCTATTCTGCAGGTGTGGCCTTTAATTATGTTTCCACGATTTGTAGTGTTGATGACTCGGTGGGGGAGACGACCAATGGATGTACTGCGGGAAGTGCAAATGTCGTCTGCATATTCACAGAATGGTTCTATTCTTTCATTAGCGGCTACAACTACTGGTGGTAGTCTTTTTACAGATGAATCCCATGGATGTTCGGTTTCTAGTCATCATCCATACTATGAAGAAGATGGGGATATAATGGGAAAACAGAGAAGTAGTGGTGATAGTAGTAATGATAGCAATAATGAGAAAAACGATGTAGTAGTTAATTCGGATACAACTCGAGTTCGAATAAGAGGAAATACACGAGAGAGTGTGCATCGCATTAATTATATTTTGAATACATGGGAAAATGAGTTTATGCATGATACGGTACGTGTACGCTCTGCCCACTCACACTACTCATCAGAGAATTCCTCACTACGAAGTCAATATTGGAGTAAAACAACACTAGTGCAACCACCATCTAAGAAGAAGAAAATAAAACGATATCGTGATGGAAAAACAGAGAAACAACCACTTGTTGGTGTTCGTGCTTGGTATGAGGAATTTAGTCCCTACGCTGGATCTACATTACGTACTTCTACTTATCCTTTCATCATGACAGATACAAATAACAATACAGAGATGCGAGAAAAGCGTTGGAGTGGAGTTAATGGAAGAGTAAATCATCATTATCGTAAAAAGGAAAAAAATTGTTTTTTTGCCACAAGACTTCACTCGGCTGTGAAATCTGGACAACAAATAGGCAAAGATTCAGAAGGAAACTCTCATCTAAACGTAGGCTCGAGTGAAAGTTCGAGGGTTAGTTTCCATATAAGACCCAATTCTCGTTTGTCTCTTTTCTCATCTACTCAAGTATTCCCTTCCACAACAGAACTTTCGGATTTGGCCTGTGATGTTTTGAAACGAGCACATGGACAACGACATCTGGTTCAGGTGAAAACACCAGAGAATCAAAAACAACAAGAAGAACAACAAGAACAACAAAAGAAACAGGAAGGAAAAGAAGAGAGAAAACAGCGTTACCATCATCATCATAATAGTAATCAAGAAACAAGTTTAAGATCTGAAGTGTCATCACTTGTATCTTCATTGCCAATAAATAAGGCTGTTTCTGCGTGCCTGCGTGAGTCTGAGGAATCTGATTGTGTAAAACCGCCTAATGAGATACCAACATCCAATATAATGGTAGAGATAACGAAAGAAACGATGCAGGAAACTCTTCCACATTCTCTTGAAGAGTCAAAGAAGGATGATAATCCTACACTATACTCTAAAGACTCCATCAAGTCGTTAAAAAAGAAAGAAGAAGATATACCTTTTACTTTAACTCAAGATACATTGACAAGTCCCTCCAATCTTGATATGGCAATTTGTTTACAAAGGAATAATAGTGAAGTACCAAGTGAATTGTGTTTGAGTAGAGATTCATCAACGTTGTGTCCATCCACTACAATGGAAGCTGCAGTAAGAAATAATAACAACATACACTATCATCATCAAGAAGAACAAGAAGAAGAAGAAGAATTAAAAGCACCTATGGATGATGTAAACCGCTATAATATTCCCTTGTCAATGAAGGAAAATGAAGATAATTGCAATAATGGTCCTCTTGTAGGTATTAGACGTGTTGCTGCAGAAATACTTTATCAACGATTGATGGGATTTAAGGCTCGTCGTGATTTGGGCCGTCAAAGGGCTTTAAGAAAGAGTAAAAGTTTAATTTCTATGGTTTCTGTTGAACCTCCACCTCTTCCAAACTATACCAGAGAAGAGAGTATTTCTACTACTACTATGGGTACTTCAAATAGTGAGACGGCGACGTTTAGAGAATTAACATGGACTCTTTTGGAGCAAATGAATAGGTGTGATCAATGTACACATTCTACTGTAAAGAAACATAGAAGAAAAGGATATTTGAATATTATTTTACTACTACAAAGATTAGGACGTGCATACATATCAAGAAAAATCTTTATTAATATGAATAGTATGGAAGAAAAGATGAAACCACCTGCCACGACAGAGGAGGGTTCACCTATTTATACCCAGATGGATGAACCATCTTTATTAAAAGAGAATACTTTTTTAAAGAATTCTCCTGTTTCTTTTCCTACAGATATTACTCCTATTGATATTCCTTTTGCTACTACTACTAGTACTACTACTACTACTACACCTACAAACTCCGCATATCGACAACGTTCTTCTGGAGTGACATTTCTGGCCTATGGGGAAAATATACACCGAGAAATAAAAAATGAATCTCGAGAAAGTTCTGCAGAAACGCCTATTAAATGTCGAGATACACCTCCTGATTTCTGGCATGGACGCATCACAAGACAAGTGGATTATCAAAAACAACTACAATTACAATCACAAGAACAACAAGAACAAAAAAAGGAAGAACATACTCCTAAAACTACTGAACATCTTATTACCAAACGTACAAAGACACCAGTAGGTTCTCCTTTGGGTAAAAAAAGTGGTTTTAATACCGCGCAAGTAGAGGTATCCACCGTACAAGAGAAAAATGAAACATCATCACCAAATACACGTTTTCTATTAGCTCTTGATGTTGAAGGAACTAGAGAAGTACAACTCTCTAATTCTATAAGTCCTTCAGAGATGTTGTTAACAAATACAGAAGGAGATGAGAGTAATCTTGTGGATACCCTTTCAGGTGCTCAGTACTCCGGATCGAATTTTTCTTTAGCGCAATCCTGCTGTTTCTCAATTTGTTCTACTCACTCCGTACATAGTGTGAGTCCCGGTACACCGGTTTTAAATGATCTGGATGATACTTTCCTATTTGAAAAGGATGAGGAAAAAGAAGAAGATGATTTAAAGACTTTTGATGATAGTCTTTCTTGCAGTAGTGAGGAATTACAAAATGAAAAAACTGTCAATGCTACAATGGATTATGTTGTTCCTACCGTACTCACAGATCAACCGGCTATGGGTGAGAGTGAGGCCTCTTTACTTATACAACGAGTGGGTAGAGGATTTGCCGATAGACGGCAACTTCACTTTTCATTATTAGTGAATGTCTCTTCTTTTGAGATCTGTATAATACACCGTGCAGTCGCTGGATATTATCAACGAAAACAATTGGGATATCGTTATCATGCAGCCGTGGAAGCTGAGAAGGAGTTGCAGTGGTTTCACTACCGTAATCGATCGGCAGTTCAGATACAAAGAATGATTCGCGGGTTTCTCGCCAGACAACGAACAAAAAAATTACAACGTAAATTGTGGGTGCGTATTGAATTGCATGTGGCTCGGGAACAGCATGAAATATACGAAGAGTTTTAATGAACTCCTTTTTTTTTTTCTTTTCTTTTGTGGTTTGTTTCTTTTACCGTCCATTTTTTTTTTTTTTTTTTGGTCATCAAGGGGTGGGGAAGAAAAAAGAAATCAAAAAAAAGGAGAAAAAAGAAGAAAATTGTAGAGAACGAGACTTTTTTGACCAAGTGGTGGTAATAATAAATAAAAGGAAAAGAAAGAGAGAAAAACGATTATTTATTATTTATTTATTATTATTATTTTATTTTTTCTTTGTTATTCTGTTCTGTACTGTCGTGAGAGTGTCTTTCTTTATATATATATATATATTTCCTTTCTTATTTAGTAGTTCTCAAAGTCTATCATTATCATTAAAAAAAAAAAAAAAGCTGCTGATTTTTTCTGATTCACGTGTCTTTGAAGAAAAAGAATAATAATAATATAAAAAAGAGACTTGTTACTTTAATGTGCAAGCTAGTGTTATTAATCTTACTTGCTTTCCTGTGGAGTTTTTTCTTTTTCCTTTCTTCTTTTCTCTTTTCGCGGGATTAAGTGCGCAGAAGAAGGTAAGTGTGATAGCAAAATCAACGGAGCACTACTTCGTCGGTTGAAAGGGGATAGAGGAGGGGGATATACGGAACGAACGAAGAAGCAGCGGAGGAAGAAGAAGAAGAAAAGGAATATAAGCATACTCCGTACCTTCTTCTTTTTTTTCTTTTCTTTATATATATATATATATATATATAATTTTTTTTTCTGAGAGGTTGTGACTCCACTATTCCGTGTTGTTAATATTTATTTATAGTGTTTGAAATGTCACTGGATGGCGTTGTGGCTTCTCTGCCGTACCACCACTGGTGTGTGAATGTGGCTTTATTGTCTTTCCGCGGTGAGGCGTGGGCTCTAACGTGTGGGAAAGGAGGAAACTGCAGTGAAGGCTCTGCGGAGAGTGTGGATAAGAAGGAAAAGGCAGAGGAAGTGAAGAATGGAGGAAAGGAAGAAAACGGGATTGAATTACATATTTGCGATGATGAATTTAAAAATCATGCGAATAAGATTGAAAAATTAAATTCCATGCCGGAATTTTATGATGTTGTACAGAAATGTAATGATAATACGACATTGATAAAAAATATTAAAAACGTTGAATTCGTCATGGAAACGCCTACATTACCTTCTATCAATGCAGTAATCGAAGATGATGAGATGTCTGTAAATAATAAAACCCCTGTACGTTATAAACTACACGAACCTTTAGATCCATTAATGAAAGATGTCTTAACCCCCGCCGTTTCCGCCGTTGTGGAGGAATGTCTGAATGCAATTGTGTTAGTGTATGGAGCCACACAAGAAATGAAGCAGTTGGGTGTTGTTGGCACCCCAGAGGAGTGTGGATTATTACCGTATGGGATCTGCATGGTGATGAACCGCTGTGCAGAGAGACGGGAACGGCACTACAGCAGCACCTCCTGGTCTCTCGCCCCACCCACCGCACCGGAGATCTCAACAGGCACGAAATCCACAGATGGTAATAATAATAGTAGTAATAATAATAATAGTAGTAGTGGTTCATCTTCTTGTGGGAGTCATCGCTTTGTACGTGCAGAGGCCTCCTTTATTGCGTTTGATGCACTTAATATTGTGGATCTTATCGATTTAAATAACCAGAGTGTGGAATTGGCACTGCGCCCCGGTGGGGACTCCACACAAAGCACAAGAGATGATCATCAGGATGTAGACAGTAAAGAAGAACCGCCGCAAGATGAAAAGAAAAAAACAACAACAACAAGTGTAATATCAGATGCGTATGTCTGTCATGCACGGACTTTACCAGCAGAACACGCTAGTCATGCCTTGGAGGCACTTGATATTGGATTAGACAACTTTACTCGGGCTGCAGAGATTGGATTATTACAATCTCAGGCGGGAACCTCTTTACTTTATTCTCTCACACTCTTCACAGATGATTGTCATTCCGCAACATTCCATCTCATGTGTTTTGCAGAAGATGCGGTTTTGCAGAATTGGCTCGTTTCCTCCGCATTAACTTTTAGCCAAACTGTACCTGATGTAGATGAATTAAACTCCACAAATATGCAAAATGTATCGTTACCACCACCACCACCAAAACCACCACAACCACCTACACTTCATCATAAGGCTGCGGCTTTGTTAGTTCCACTTCTTTCTTGTGGGAATATATTTGCTTCTGTACTCATCTGTGCATATAATTCAATTACAGCCATACGGCGATTAACGAGAGATTTATCATTTGCGTTAGCGGGATCTCATATGATAACAGCCCCATACGTGACCCCTCTCATCTCCCGGCGTTCTCAACAACCATTGCCAGAGGGATGGGAAGAGAGTTTTACATACGATGGAAGAAGATATTATATTGAAAAATCAACCAAACAAGCTACATGGGAAAACCCACGTATTGATAAAAAAGAGGAACTTGTAAATGGAGTCACTCTTAACAATGAAAAGAATGGAATTCAGCAAAGTAATATATTAAATTCCGTTCGGGATCAGGAACCAGCCCGTGTACAGATGAGTAGTGAGGATGAGTTATACCTTGAAGAAGGATTACGACGAGCATGCAGAGGGACTTCACGGCTTGGGGAAACTTCTCATGTGGATCCTCCCTACACTATTGTAGTGATTGATGTACAGGAGGAAAAACACGTTTTACTCGGGCCGGCAGCTTCAAAGAAAAAGTCTGCAGAGATAACGGCTCCCGTACCAGTGACAACACCAGAGATGTTACTATACCAACCTCCTCTTGTACCCATCTCAATTGCTGCGGTTAATAGGAAAACAAAACAAAAATTTAGGAGTGATAGTCCTATTTCTCCAGATGATGAAGATGATGATGATGAATATGAAGATAATGATAATAATAATGGTTGTGATGACTTGAAGGAAGATGGTGATGGATTAAAAAATGGTAATGTGAATGAAGTGGATTATTTTTCATCTCAACCTGCAGTCTATGATGTAGCAGATCTCACCGGATTCAATGAAGGTGATGATGATGATGAGGAGGAGGAGGATTTCGATTTGGAGGAGGGAAAAGCCATTCCATGCAATACAGAGAATACCACAACCGATACGGTTCGTTTTTATGCGAATGTAATGAATGGGGAAAACAAAATGGGTAGTAGTATTACCAGCGTTTGCGGTGGTAATGTTAGTAGTACGAGTACGACTAGTGGTGATAGTAGTGATAGTGATAGTAGCAACAATAACAATAGTAATAGTAATGGTAGTAATAGTGGTGGTGATGATGATCAGGGTAAGCAAACCACCAATACTAATAATAATACTACTACTACTACTAATACGGCTACTAATACGACTACTTGTGTTAATAATACTAATACTAATAATAGTAATAATAATACTAATAATAGTACTACTGCTACTACTGCTACTGCTGCTGTTGTTGCTGCGGCAACGCCCCAAGTATCTGTATCGCTGGAACTGCAGGAATTGGAATCTCTCACGGATGAGTTCACACGTTTTTACCGCGAGTCCTGCGAGACGAAACGGAAATTGCAGCAAGTCGAATTGGAACTGGGGCGTGAACGGGAGGAAAACGCCAAACTGCGGGAACAACTCGCAGCGTTGAAAGGAACTATACAGGAATAAAAGGTGGTGTGAGCAGAGAGAAAGAGAGAGAGAGAGAGGGAGAGCAATAATGTTGATAAGATCTTCTTTTATGAATAGTGAAGATGATAGTGATGATGATGAGAGGGTCAATGAGACCAATGGAGAGAGAGAAAGAGAGAGAGAGAGAGAGAGGGAGAGAGAGAGAGAGGGAGAGAGAGAGAGGGATGATTAACCTAATAATGAGGAAAGAGAAAGAAAGAAAGAGAGAAAGAGCGGAGCATTGAGAAAGAGATGAATTACACATTTATTATTATTATTATTATTATTATTATTATTATTATTATTATTATTATTATTATTATTATTACTATTATTTACTATGATTACTTTTATTGATGAGTTAAAGAAAATACAGGATATATTGAAGGTATTTATTGCAGCAATCATCAAGTTGCAGGCCTTTAAAAAATAATGTTCATGTTGAGGCTTTGCCTCTCAAACAATTTTTTTTTTCTTTTTTTTTGGTTTCTTTTTTTTTTATTTATTATATTTATTATCTATTTATATTCATATTCCCACTTTAGATATCATACTTTGGTGAAAATAATAATAAGAAGAGGAGTAAAGGAGAGAAAGAAAAGGATGTGGAGACTCATTTCATTTCTTCCTCTCCACTTCTCTATTCCAATCTCTCTCTATTTCTCTCTCTATTTGCGTTGGGGTCATTTACAGAAATAAATGAGAGAAGAAAAGAAAAGAAAAAAGAAAAAAAAAACAGAGATATCATCTATTTATGATACTAAAGTGTGGAATAAAAGGAAACAATAATTGATATCTGAAAGAAAAAGAAAAAAAAAGAAAAAGAAAAGAAAAAGAAACTACAAAACGAAACAAACAACAAAAAAAAAAAAAATAAAAAAAAGATATTATATTTATTAAATGATTATGATTATGATTATGATGATAATAACCTGCCAGCCTGCGCTTCTTGAGAATAATAACTACAGAGATGCGTGTATCATTTGCTCTTTTTTTTTTTTTTATTATTTTCTTTTCTGTTCTTTCTTGTTGTGATGATGATGATGATCTTTTTACGGTGAGTTTACTTGCTAGCCGGCAACTTCATCAGACAAGTACGTATATGATCAGAAAATATGAGAAATAATTAAATAAATAAATAAAAAGAAAAAAAAAAGAAAAGAAAATGTATGCATGTGATCTATGGAGGGGAAAAAAAAAGGAAGGGTTAAAAACTGTCTGTGATAGTCGCAACGTTTTTTTTGTTCTTGCTAATATTTTCTCTCTCTTTTTTTTTTTCTATACTGACAAATACACATACATATATATATATATATATATATATATATATTTGCTCGTCTACTTTATATTGGCAAGTACGTCAGGAAAAAAGGGAAGAAGATAACTACACGGAATACAGAAGAGAATGAAAATTAAATAAAAAAAACAAAAAAAGCAAAAAAAAAAAAAACGAGTATGCGTTTATGTTTTTCTTTTTGACCCATTTCATTATTTTACTAAATATTTTTTTTTGTTTTTTTTTGTTTTTATATTTATTTCCTTATATCATATAAATATAAATATGCATGATTATTATTTATCTATATAGGCAAACAAGCATTTGTTTCGTGTGCAAAGAATCTTTATATATGCGAAGCCCACACACCGTAGTAATGGATGGAGAGGGTTTGAAAAGAAGGAAAAAGGAAGCTTAACTCTTATCTGTGTAAATGAAATCAATAATTAAAGAGAAGGGGAGAGAGAGAAGAACACAGAGATGTTACCATAAAACAAAAAAGAAAAAGATTGGGGATACACAACTCTATTAATATATATATATATATATATATATATATATATATGGATTTATATATAAATATATTACCAACAAAGAAATTGAGCAGTGTCTTCTCCTGGGAGGAGTCAGTAAAAACAAACAAACAAAAAAGAGCAGTATAATGAGGCTAAAAAGGGGGAGAGTCTTATATATATATATATATATATATATATATAACTGATCGATAGGGAGGGAAGGAAGAAGGAAAAGAAAAGTAAAAAAAAGGAATGAATAAACTTTACAAAATTCGATCTTTGACTGATTTCATTCCCTTTTTTCTTTTCTTTTTCTTCTTTTTTTTTTTAAAGATTATTCTGATGTGTTTACGTGCAATTGCTTTTGTTGTTGCTATTCACTCCAATACGAGAGAGAGAGAGATGGGAGAGTATTGTATTTAAGAAGAAGGGGACAAAGAGGGGTGGCAACAGATGTACCCTCAACCGCTTTCAAAGTGAAAATTACTGGAAATAAAATAAAAAAGAATATATATATATATATATATATATATATATATATATATGCCCAAACCTGTTTTTTTTTCTTTTTTTTTCTTCTCTTTTTTTTACTCTTGAATAGATGTGTTTGCTGATTTCTTCAAGAGGTGTTGACTTTCTTGTCCTTGCAAGGATGATGTTAGTGAGTGAATCTTTTTTTTTTTTTCTTCTTTTCCGTGTGTTAATACTCTTTTTTTTTGTTTTCTCTCTCCCTTTACAGTTTTCTCATTATGAAAGTATCTATTATTCGTTGGAGTTCTTTTTTCTTTGTTTGGTTGTTTTCCGCTATATTTTATCAAACTGAACTGCTCCCTCTATACACAAGAAGCAAACTGTCAAGACGAAAACTCTTGGCATTTCCTTGTATCTCTTACCGATGTGATGGGAAGACTTTTCTTTGTTTTTCTTCTCTGTTTTTAAGCTTCGTGGAGACGAACACGCAACGTTAGGAATATATGTATATACATATATATATATGTATATCAACAAAGAAGCTTATTTTTTTTTTATCTCTTTTCTTTTTCTCCCCCATTTTGTTTCTTTGTCTCTCTCTCTCTCATTTTCACTTTCTCATCCTCTCTTTTGCTGTTATTCCGGGGGTGATGAAGGGTTATTTTCTTGGACGTGTATGCAAATGAAAATTCCCTTGAGATCCCTTTTATCTTTATATTGCCGAATTACTTGTTTTTTTTTTTTTTCTATTCATCTTCTAATTTCATATTTTTTTTTCTTTTTCTACTGTTTTTTTTTATCTTATGGGTTATATGTTAAATAATACGAAAATATCTCTTTCTCTCCTTCTTTTTCTCCATGCTGGTCTTCATAGATACATACATATATACTTATATATAGATAGATAGATAGAGAGGCACAGAGAAAACAAAGAAAAAACAACAGCAACAAAAAAGGAAAAAAAAAGGCCGGCTTCTATGGTTTCACTACATGCATTGCAAGATTTATCGCTTTTCTGGTCTGGCAATCGCAAAAAACCACCGATAAAATACACACCAAATCTTCTTAAACTCCCAGAGCACATTGTATCCAAGTATGTACCCATGTGTATGGATCAGGAAACAGAAGTATGGCTAAAGTCTTCCTCTAATACGAGCGTTCTTAAACTTCTGGTGGCGGACTTATTGTGCAGTGTGTGTTCCCGCACAACCGCTAATGGAATTGTCGGTCGCGGTGGGATGTTTGTGCTGAGCACCCAGCAAGTGACACGGCTGCTATTAGGCAATAATAGTAGTAGCCCTCCTAATAATAATAATAATAATAATAATAATAATAATAATAATAATAATAATAATAATAATAATAATAATAATAACAGGGCTGTGTTTGATTCGCTGCTTGACATTGGGGCCGGGGACGGTGGAGTGACTGCCCGCCTGCAGCCGCTTTTCCGCCACGTGTCGGCGACGGAGTGCTCGAGTGCGATGCGCTGGCGGCTCTGGCGGCGTGGCTACGAAGTTCTCCCGGCGGAGAATCCATTTCAGCACAGCGACGGCACTCGTCGATCTTACGATGTCATTTCGTGCCTGAACGTGTTGGATCGGGCCGACAGGCCGCTGGGTTTACTGCACGCCATTCGGGATTCACTCAAGCCGGACGGTCTTCTTCTTCTCGCGGTTGTGCTGCCGTGGTGTCCGTTTGTGGAGTATGGGAATAGACAACTCCCACCATCTGAGAAGTTGCCGATGGAGGGAGGAGAGTGTTGCCGCGGTGCGAGTTTCGAAGACTCTCTTCAGCGGCTTGTGGATAATGTTCTTATCCCGTGCGGGTTTGAGCTTGAGCGGTGGTGTAAAGTGCCGTATCTTTGCGAGGGTAATTTGCAAATGGAGTATGCAGTTCTCAGTGATGCGGTGTTTGTGCTTAAAAAGAGTGAAGGGAAATCTTTAGATACATCAGGCAAAGAGAATGGAGAAACGGAGTGAACTTTTCATTTTCTGCGTGTTTTTTTTTTCTCTTTTTTTTTGTATTTCATATTTTATCTTTTTGTTTTTTGCTTCCCAATTAGTTAGTTTTTTTTTTTTTTTGTGTTTTCTATAGCACATTCGTGTTTTAAATCCTCTCGGAAATAATAATAATAACAGTAATAAAAAAATAATAATAATTATTATAGATATTTGATATACTTATAATCATCAATATTATACTGAGTTCTCCCTCAATCCCTATTTATTTATTTATATCTTCTTACTTTATTTACTATTTTATTATCATGTATATTTGAATATACACTTCTCTTTCATCAGATAAAAAGGAAAGAAAGGAAAAAAAAAAAAAAAGATATCTAAAAATGAGTGAACCACCCCGTTTACAGGGACGTATGCCTTCCCAACAGCATGAAATGCCTCCAATGCCGCCCGGCTTTAAATTACCACCGGGTGTAGGAATGGCGCCAATGCCGCCGGGAATGAAGCGGCCACCCGGTGGGATTCCAATGCCTCCCAACATGCCGGGCGGGGCCCCACTACCACCGCCAACAGCCCATCATCATCACCAACATCAACACCAACAGCATCAATATCAACATCAACAACATCATCAGCACCAGTACCAGCATCATGATCATCATTACCATCATCAACAACAACAACAAATGCAGGGTGGAGCCCCTCCAGCACCAATACCTGGAAGCTACTATCCAACCCCACCATCCCATCTCGCTCAACGATCGGTAGATGGTAGAGAAGAAAAGTATCCACAACCTCCCGGTATGCTACAAGGTGGAAATGATATGTACTCATCAAGAAATGATCGCCGGATGATGATGCCGCCCGGTCCAGATGCACGAGGATATATGCCATCAGCAGCCGCACCCCCTTATCATCATGGGCATTATGGACCACCAATGGGTCATGATAGTGACCGTCGAGGAGGGGCATCTCATCATAGAAGTCGTCGGGATGATGAGGTACGTCAACCAACGAATACGGTCTGGGTAGGAAATCTTGATCCATATGAACATACAGAAGAGGTTTTGAGACAAGAATTTCGTGAATTTGGTAAGGTCATTCGTATTGCAAAAGTTCCTGAACAAAGTTACTGTTTTGTGCATTTTCGACATGTTGAGGAGGCGCGTAATGCTGTGGAGACACTCAGTGCAAGAGGAACACTTGGTAGGGCAAGATTTAACTATGGGAAAATGTTTGAATATTCACAGGATGAAATGGATGTACCTCATGAGAATAATAATCATCGACCACCACGTAGAGGACGTGAGGAAGAACGACAAGAAAATGAAGAGAGAAGACGTCGTCCACGTCGTGAAGAAGAACGTATGGAACCTACAAATGTTTTATGGATAGGTGATCTTCCTCCTACAGTTTCAAGTGAAGAACTTAATGAGAATTTTAAGGTATTTGGAAATATTACAACTATTTCTCGTCTAGATAATAGGAATATGGCTTTTATTCATTTTGAAAACGTTGAGAGTTGTACACAGGCTTTAGATTTAATGCGTGGTCAAACTATTGGAGGAGCACGAGTTGTATTAAATTATGGCCGTGCACAACGTAGTCCAGCTGTGGGAGAAGGAGGAGGAAATACTGATGGTATTCCCCCTAATGAAACCCCTACAAATGTTGTATATCTTGGTCAATTTGCATCTGATGTAACAGAAGAAGATATTGAAGAATTATTTGAACCATTTGAAGGTTTTATTAACTGCAAATTTATTCAATCTAGTGGTATTGCTTTTGGACATTTTGATACTATTGATCATGCTCGGGATGCTCGTATAGCACTTAACAATGCCCTTTTAAAAGGTGCCCCAGTTCGTATTAGCTTTGGAAAGAGTAATCATACAATGACAATGGCAGATCGAATGCGACGTGGAAGACACATTCCACTTGGAGCCGATACTGCAAATACCGCAGCTTCGGTTGGAGGCATGGGAGGAGCCATTTCTCCACTGCCAGCGGGATCTACACTTGCTAGTACGGGAGGAGCCCTGGTGGCGGGCCCTGGAATTGCGTCTACGGCCGATAATGGAGCGATGGTGGCATTACCGGCAATGGGAGTGATGGTGGGAACAGCGGCAGTTCCGCAGGCTCCAACGTATTTCACTAGAGAACGTCCTGTGCCGGAAATGACATTAGAGGCTCGTCTACAGTCACTTTTAGGTTCCACATATAATTGTTGTGGAGAGGCAGAGAAATCACTAAGTCCTAGTGTAATTCAAACAATATGTGATCTTATTGATGATTGTGTGGATGAAGAAAGTGAAAAACGATTAGATGAGGCAATATTTTTATATACTCCTCTTAATGCGGCTCATGTTTTCGGTATTTTGGCGAAACGTATGTATGATTACTTCAATGATGATCCTTATAAAAAACTTTATATCTTATATGCTGCTACTCGTGTATTACTTGGGGCAAAGACAGATTATTTATTTTTTACAAAGGCCTCTATTAATGCATATCTCATGACTCTTTTCGTTGCGAGTGAAGGACAGACTCCGGCTGGAAATGATATGATTACATCTATTATAGAAAATGTACGTCGACATACTTTTATTGAACGTCAAAAATTAGATGCAGACTTTATTGAGATCTTCCGAGAACAACTTGATGAGATTCTTAAACGGGTTAAGGTGGATCAAGACTTAGTTTCACTTTTGTCAAAGAAGAGAAGAAAATGAGGAACTAGTAGCAAATAAAAAAAAAAAAAAAAAGGGAATGAAGTATGAGAAAAATACTGAATAAATTAATTATATAAAGAAATAGAAAATAATAATAAATAATAAATAATAGTAATAAATAGAGCCACGCATTAGGATAATAGTGATGGTGTAGCTTATTAATTTTTTTTTTTTTTTTTGTCTCTCTGCTTGATGCAGCGTCATTATGTGTTCAATAAATCTTGTGTTTTTTTTTTTTTTCTTTTTTCTGATAAATTGATTAAAGAGGGATTGAGGAGGGTGGGTGGTGGTTTCCCCGCTAAATACATATGAGGATAGTGTATACAGCATGCGGGAAAGCTAGTCATTATCAGACTCAGGACCCTACAGATAGAAAGAGAGAAAACAAAAAACGAAAAAAAAAAACAATATAGATTTGGCACCACGATTCCAGAATGAAAATAACATATTTAAAGTTAGAAACACATTCTTTGTGATCACTCATTTATTTTTTTTCTTTCTTCTTCCTGTTTGCTCTCTCTCTTCTGTTGTTTTTTTTCCACCTTTTCCCTATAGCTGTTGATGGGGTATGTACGTGTGAAAGCATTGTGAAGTTGCTTCACCTTCCCTCATCTTTATTTTTCTATATTTGAAGTAAGAGGAGGTGGGAGATTGATCCTCCCATGTTTATTTTTTTTTTTTATTTGGGTTTATACATACCAAATTTAGTCTAAAAAAAGAAGTTCAAATAAATAAAAAAAAAACTAAATAAATATAAAAATAAATAAATAAATAATTAAATCGGTTTTATTTGCTTGTTTCGAAATGACAATTTCCATTCACTTTCCTTCAGTTTCTGTTTCTGTTGCACTCTTCTACTGTTTCCCACGCTCTTGGATGTATTTTAGACTATGCATCAGATGTATGCAAGTATGGAACTCCTTTGGCCTTTCACAGTGGCACAATATAAAGGCGGCGCACACCTGCACTTCCCTTTTCTTGCTGTATCTATTATTGCTCTCCTGTTTCTAGTCTCTAACACTACTACTACAATTACTGTTACTATTACTACTGTTGCTGTTACTACTACTAGTGTTGGTCCAGGTAATAATGGTTCTCCGGATCTTTTCTTTTCTTCTTTTTGGTCTTTTTCTCGTCATATCAATATCTCTTTTTGTTTTTATTCTTCATTTTTTTCCCTTTTTTTGCAGGCGAAAAGAAAAAAAAAGAAGAAAAATGCTTTAGAGATAAATTAGTATCTGACCCGTATATAAAGAAGCCTCTTTTTCTCTTTTGCAGTGCTCTGGTAGATGGGGTCCAGTTCCATCATGGTCACGTACCAGAGAGAGAGAGAGAGGTGTGGCTTGGTTAACTCATTAAACAGAAATAAGTAAAACAAATAGAAACAAACAAATAAATAAACAAAAGAATTGTGATATTATCTTACATGGTTTTTTTTTTTTTTTGATTTTGCTCGACGAATGGGTTTGTTGCCGTTTTTTTTTTTTTTCTTCTTCTGCATTTCTTGCGGAATTAATAGGGGTTTGAGGAAGGAATATTCTAATATTTTGAAGAGCTCATTCAATCCATCCTTTTTCACCCCATTCGGGGTGTTGAAGGTTGGTTAAAAGGGGGCTTTCAACACTTCCTTTTCGCCATTATTGATTTAAAAATATAACGGGTAGTAGGGAGAAAATAGAAAAAGTACTAAATATTTTCTTCTTTCCCTCTCTTCTTCCCCCTCTTCTTCCCTCTTCCTCTTCCTCTTCCTCTTCTTTTTAAAGGTAAAATCATATATGTAGATTATTTGAGCACACATGTAATATTGTTAGTTGTTCTCTTTGGTAATGGATATTATTCTTTTATTTTTCCTTTTTATTATTATTTTTTTTTTGTCTCTGTACGTGTTTATGTGTGTCTGTGTGTGTACGTGGGGGTGGGTTAATAAGTGTTTGATCTAAAAACAAAACAAAACCACTACCAACCACCACCGACATAAACAAACCATAATAAGAACCCATAAACTAGCAGCAGTAGTAATAGTAGTAATAGTCGTCCATTCCAGCCCCTTCCCCATGCATTCCGGTGGATTATCTCTTCCCGGTCTTCTCTGCGGACTTCTTCTTCTTCTTTCACTCCTCCTCGCGGGTGGGGCGGTGGGGGGCCAGGCCGCGATGCCGAGAGGGATGCCCATCCCAATGCCCATCCGCCTCGAGGCCGCCCTCGCCCAGTCCTTCACCACCAGCATCGTCTCGAGCCGCTACGGTGTTTTCAGCGCCACTCTCGACCTCCGCGCCTCGCCAAACTTCCCAGAACGTCTGCACGGCGAATTGATTCCCGCAGGATATCAACAACTTAAACGCCCAGAGCAGATACCACTTGAGCATTTCAATCACGCACGCAACGCACCACTCCCACCCTCCTCCGCCGCCTCGTTAGCAGCACTATTAGCAGAAGCGAAGAAAATATCACAGTCAAATTCTGAGGCATCCTCCGAGACTGCTGCAAAGGAAGGTCCCCACCCATCACTGCTCTCTCTGGAAGTACGACTTGATTTTTCCGGTTCCACCGCAGGGACCGTCTCATTCACAACACTTCCCCCCACAGACAAGCGTCACAGCATTGAGAATGAGAATAATAATGAGGAAGAGGAGGATGAGGAGAAACCACCGACTGCCCAAGCTACTTTTGCCTTTCGTGGGGAATCCAGTTCGATGGCGTCATCAACACTCAGTGATATCCCTCCCATGGTGCGTGTTGCCACAGGTGAGGTAGTAACAAATGAAGGAGCAAAGGGTACATTTACATTCAGACTCTTCTCAGAGCACGAGTTTTCCCTCACACTTCAGCTACCTGAGGGAAAGGAGGGAGTTGTAGATCACATTTGGGTCCATGGATACGCCACGCCCAATGAAGCCCTTTTTCAACGCAAGACTGTAAACGAACAACCATGGTGGTACACTTGGGCATTTGCAAGTATTGGAATTCTCGTCTTTTCTATGCAACTTTTAACAGCCTACGTGGATGCAAAGCGTGAAAACAATTTACGGATGCAGCAAAGGATGATAGATGCAGAAACAAAGGCCAAAAAACTTAAGTAAAAAATATAAAACAGAGGCGTCATTTCACACATGAGTACGTCCTCCCCAAGAAAAAGGAGATATAAAACTATTCTTTGGATAGGTAACGACAAAAAACAAAAAAATTATTCGTCCTACGTTTATTTAAAATTATCTCTTTCTCTCTTTTTCTTTGTCTTTGACATGGAAAGGATACCATGTGGTTTGTTCCGCTGCATTGGGAATATCCCCTCTATTCTTGCAACGGTTTATTACTATAAGTTTTTTTTTATTTTTAAATAAAGAAAAACGAAAAAAAAAAAAAAAAAAAATACGCAGACATCTAAGCTCTTTTTTATGGAGAGGTGAAACATGTCTTAGTGACACGTCGGCAGATCTATTCCCACCATACATAACGCAAAGTGGGGTTCTGAGTATTTGCCAGACTACGAGTCTCACTACATGTTGAGGACCAAGGAGATGATAGGAATTATAACAAAAAAAAGGAAAACAAAAAAAAAATAACAGAATGAGAAGGAAAACCATATGTGTATTTATATTTGTATATATGTATATATTTTTTTTTTGTTCTCTTTTTATTTATAGTCTTTTCTTTCTCTACCCTTCTTGTTTTTTTTTTTCTTCTTTAAAGTGAAGCAGAACGAATTGGCTGTTGGTAGCACATTAGCTTCGCAGGAGCCACGTAAAACGGCGAGGGAGAGAGAGAGAGAGAAAGGTAAAGAGAGAAAAGTGGTGGTGTATGAGTAAGTACGATACGTTTTAAGAAACTGATTCTGTTTAAATTATAAACTCTTTTCACAGCCATGGCCATTTCTCTTGCCTCATATCCTGCTGCTGTTACTTCCTTAGATGAAGTAGAAGGAAGAGCCATCATTGTGTTGGTGGTGGGAGAACTATTTACGTATTTGTGCCGAGCTGGTGAGGCTCGTCCCTTTCTTGAAGAGACAGCCATACCGGAAGATGTCTTGGGATGTACGGCTTCTGCAGCTTCAACGTCAACTACAACAAAATCTCTCTCTAAGCAAGAGGCAGCCTCACGTCTTATTTCAAAACTACGAGAACATGTACTTGATAGAAATATCATTATGGTTTTTCCTATTCATTATTCACAGGAATATCGAGAAAAATTATTATTATTTATGTTTGAGAAACTTCAAGTGCGAACAATTATTGCCGTGTCTGATTTAGTGGCTGATGCATTTGCATTAGGGCTTCGAGAATCACTGGTTTTACACGCTTCTTTCTCAAAACTTAGTATTGGACGAGTGGAGGCTGGAGTGACGGTAAAGCACACATCATCTACTGCTGGTTCTCTTTCCAAACTTGTGAAACTCACCACAAGTAATGGAAACGGCGACCAGAGTGGGGATAGTAAAGAGTTGAAGACAGAAGGAATGAAAAGTACAGAAAATGGTGATACTAGTGGGTTTACTAATACTAATACTAATACTACTAATATTAGCCGTACTGTAGGTGTTGGTGGGGATGAGACATTATCCCTACGAAGTTTCTCAGGAAAGACGGTTAATTTGTTAGATGAGGTATACCGTGAATCGCTTCTTTCTTTCTTTGGCGATGAGGTTTATCAAGCTGTGATGGCATTGCGGGGAATGCAACAAGGCCCATATAATGGCATTCGAGTGAAACGAGGACGTACAGAGGAGAAGTATGAAGAAAAAGAAAAAGAAAAAAAAGAAAATAAAGAGGTTGGAAAAGAGAATAGTGAGAACGCTGTACTTGCAACTACTAGTAAATATAAAAGACAAGGTGTATTGGGACGTCTTATTTCCTCTATTACAGATGGTGAACCATTACCGGTGATTATAGCAGGTGAGGCGTTAAATGTCGCTCCACTACTACGTGATTTCCTTGAGGAAACTATACGTTTACGTAGTAATACACACAAGAGAGATAATGATTCTTCATCTTTATCTTCTTCCTCAGAGGAGAGTGAGGACACTATTAAGTCAAGCAGAAGTAGCCGTGATAGTGGTGGCCGTAGTAGTAGCCGTAGCAGTAGTAGTAGTGAGAGTAGTAGTAGTGATAATGATAGTAGTGATTCATCATCATCATCATCATCATCATCTTCTTCCTCTACGTCTGCTTGTGGTTTATTAAAACTTCAGCCATTGCCTCTACCAGAGTTTTCTTGGTTGTTGCCTGTTGTTGGCGGTTCGTTGGTAGCGCAGCTCTCGTTGGCAGAATTGAGTAAATTACGCATCTCAAGAGGAGATGCAATTTCGTCTAAGGGTTCTATCATACATTGGAGATCTGTGGTGTAATAAAGAATGGACCTCTGTCTATTCACTCTCTATCCTTTTTTTTTAAAAAAAAAGGAAAGAAGAAAAAAAAGAAAATACTCACTCCCCTGTTTGGGTGACCAAAATAATTATTATTATCTGTAATATATATGTGATAGTTACGATATGAACTTGAAACATGAATTGTCATAAATAAAAAAAAAAAAAATAAATTAATTAAGAGTGGATAGTATTGCATGTAAATATATATACGATCAAGTCTCATCTGTATTTTTTTTTTTTTATTACTTTGTCGTTGTTTCTCCATCTTTTTTCTTTTTTCTCCTTTTGACCTTTTCTTCTTTTAAAAAAGAGCAGAAACTACTATACGTGTGTATATTATTATTATTATTATTATTATTATTATTATTATTATTATTATTATTATTATTATTATTATTATTATTATTATCAATTGGTATTGGTTTATGCTATTTCGAAGATGGGCAGGAAGTGTTCTCTTTAACCGCCACCGCAGCCGTCGTGGTTCTGTACGTGCACTGGAGGAATTGAGAAAAATGGCCATATTGGAAGCCGCGGCTGACAAACCCACATATGAACGCGCTGTTGGGAATTCCTCCTCCTCTTCTTCTTCTCTTTCTTCTTCCCTAATATCATCAACGATATCATCATCATCGAGAGGAAATACGGCTGCTTTACAGTCGTTGGAGGAGGCGGTGGAGGCGACACGTGTTCGTCTCTCCACCACTGGAGGCCGCAGCGGCAGTGTTGTTACTTTCACTTCTTCATCTTCTTCATCTTCTGCATTGCGGGCGAACTCACTGAGTCACTTCATGTCGGAGTGTCGACGACTGCGACGGGAAATTGGTGAGGCACGTGAGGCTCAAAATCGTCGTTTTCTTCGCGAATCCCTTCGTACGTTTTGGACGGAAAACGCGGATGCGGCGCTTACGTGTTGTGCGTTGCTGCGCGGGAGGGACTTTGGGTTTGTTGCCGGCTTTGGACTCGTGGATGATGACTTGCATGTTGGATTTGCATCTCTGCAGCTGGCCCTGCATTGTGTTATGCAGGAGAAGAGTACCTGTTCCTGTATGGATATGATGCTTTCTCTACACTACATGGCACGGGAACTGGATTATCTCGAGAAGAGAGGAAGAAAGGGAAATACTCTGCGAGAATCTAATAAACATCCATGGAAACAACAAGGACAAGAGAGAGAAGAAGATGCCATGAAGAATAAGAAGAAGGAGTCAAAAGAGTGTATTAACAAAACTGGGAATGAGGATGGTTTTTCTTATGTAAATCCAGGGACAATGGAAATAACTTTAGAAGAGTTTTTAAAATTTAGACGAGTACTTACTACACTTGGTATGGAACGTATTCATTTCTTCTTTCTTGAACGTGGAACTTCTGGACGAGTATTGGGATCTGCAGAAGATGCTCTGCATGCACTTGAGTTTTTAGCACTTGTGAAGGTTCGTGATGCGGATGAAACTGCACGTGTTCTTGTTGAAGACAGAGGAGAACGTTTGTGTAGTTCTGGTAATCAGTATATCGTAACATCTCTTTTTCGGCATATATCTAATAACTACAGAGAACTGAAATTTACCTCTATTGTTCATACCTTTCGGCTTTTACGTGTATTTCTTCCTATATTATGTCCACCTCCACCAGAGGAAAGATCATGTGAAGATCCCACCAATCTTATCTCGAGATCTAAACCCATGATGAATAGTGTACATACATTTAACTCTGGGGCCGCACAGTTTATGCATGGGAGTCGTGAATCTCGAGAGTGGAAGACACAGCGGGAAACAGTAGATCGTATTTTATGGAAATTATGTGTGGGAATGCAGCGAAAAGATTCTTTTTTTGTGAATCCATTTCATTTTGTGCAAATCATGGCAACACTCTCACGTATTCCACCACACCTACTCTCTCGCGTACCACGACCCAAACGTCAAACCCTTCGAGGTTTTGAAACTCTTCTAACAGGAAACCTCTCAGAATCATCATTATCAGCAACAACAACAACAACAACAACAACAACAATAGAGGAAGAAGAAGAAGAAGAAGAGAGAAAAGAAGGCGGGAGATCAAACTCTATAGATGGAAGGACTCCACAGATAACGGAAGAAGTGTGGGAGTATATGGTAGCCAAGGCTTGTATCTTTATTCCAAGTCTTACATCAGCTCAACGACGTCGTGTTTGTTCTGGTCTGAGAATAGCCATTCTTTCACGTGAAAACTGTTTTGCCCGCAACTCGCAGGAAAGTGGGAAGGAGACTTCTTCACTCTCTCCTGCAGAGAAACTTCTTTTGCCGATGGTGCATGAGTTGTGCCAATACCCGGAGGATTATCAAGTGGCGATGCTCAATCGTTTGCCAGGGAAACAGGACTAGTAACAGAGCCCAACCGAATGAAAGTGAATGGAGGAAAGAAAAAAAAAAAGAAAATAAAATAAATAGAGTTGTTTGTTTATTTGTTTGCTTAAAACTAAATTACATGATAAAACCTTGATATCAATTTCTTTTTCTTCTTTTCTTCTTTTTTTTTTATTTTTAAAAACGGGGGTGAAATATAGACATATAATAGAATCACTCTCTTTTTTATTTTGTAGAAGGGGAAAAAGAGAAATTACAAAAGATAATCGTGATAAAATGATTCGCCGTATTAGTACTTCTGTAGTCTCACGTCGGCAGACATCACTCTCCATCATTCCAACGATGAATCCTTCTGCTGTTCGTGAGTTCCACAATCTTGGCAGTCTTGCGGCTTCTATGCTCATGTGTGTTGGATGTGTGTTGTGCTTTGGATCGTGGGCAAACAACTTTTGTAATGTGCGAAAGTACGGCCGTTGGAGATTTCGAAATACGATTGATGATGTTATTATGGTCTCGGATTTTAAAACGGCACGATATATAGGTGGATTCATCGGTTTCTTGTTTTACTGGTTTATTGTAGGTCCAAAGAAGTACATGTATGATAGTAATCTTGCTGATATTCCAGGCAATACCCGTATTGGGCCATTTTAAATTTTTTAGAAAGAGGAGAAAAAAAAGAGAGAGAAAAAAGATGTGTTTATTTCTATTTGGACTCTGTATAGGAGAGTGGGTGTGTGGGGGAGTGTGGGAGTGGGTAAAAGGATAGGAAAATGGGAAATAGAAATAAATGGGGATAGAGTAGGGGGAAAAAAGTAGTATTTATTTATTTATTTTATTTTATTTATTCTGGTTTTAGCTTATTTTCTAATTGCATCGTATGTGTTGACTAGTAGAGAAATAGTCTTGTGTAGGCTGTGCCCTCCAGCAATAGTTGCAATAGTATTGAAGTGTCATTTATTTTTCTTCTTGCTCATTTATATTTATTTATTTATTATCTTATTATATCTACGACTGTCTGTATAAGTTGTATAGAGATGATTATTTTTATTTTTATTTTTTCCTGATAAGATGATCTTTTCTTCTCTCTACAGTGTGAACACTAGACGGCATCTTAATCTTTCTCATCTCACTATTTCTATTTTTTTTCCTTTTCTTTACTCTTGAGGCATAATCCGAAACCAACATAAATAAAAAGAACCAATAAAGGAACAGAGAAAGAAGGAAAAAAGCAAAAAAAAGAAAAAAAAAGGAGGTAAAAGAGACCAAACAAAAATCATTAAACTGGAAATATAGAAAGAGAGAAAACAAAGAGAAAAAAGAAAAAGAAAAAAAAAGAAGAGAAATAACAACAAAAAAAAAAAAAATGAGTAAACCCACATCTCAGATGTCCGAGATGGATATGCAGCGGATGCGTACGTATCGACGCCTGAATGAACTTCGCATGCAGCCGCTGAAGTCACTGCCCATGACGGCCTTTATGATGTGGATGGTGGGAAATGAGGTGAGTATCTTCTCCATTATGTTTGTTGGAATGGCGGTGGTGAATCCCCTGCAGTCCATACTCGGCTGCGGTAAAGTGTTTGCGGAGTTTGCCGACGATGTCAGTCAAGACGCGGGTATTCGCAGTGCGGTGGCGCAGTCCAAACTTATCTACATTGGCTGCTGTCTCGTGGCCTTCACAGTCGCGTTGGTGAAACTCAGCTGGATGGGATTGATGCCGGTGAATGCAATGGACTGGTTAGACACCACACCGCCAGTGTATAAGGAACACACACTAGGTGTCTATACCGCGTGAGGAGACATTTACGAATAATAAACACACACACACACACACACACACACACACAAGAAAATAACTTTTTGGATTTCTATTTCTTCTTTTTTTATTTCTTTTTTTTTTGTCTTTTCATGGTATGAGGAGTATGTGGAGGTGAAGAGAGAAAAAAGAGAAGGAGAAAAGAGAAAAAGAAAAAAAAAAAGTTTGTGTTTTAGTTCTCTCTAGCGAAAGGGGATAATGGATCACCTCATGCAAGTACTGGCGGTAACGATTTGGCTTTCGTAATGCGTCACATTATATCTCTTTTTCTTTCTATATTATTGTTATTACTATTACTATTAGGAAGAAAGACATAAAAAGTCAATAAATTATCATATTCATTCTCTTTCGACTATCAATGTAGTTGTTTTCCCCTCTTTTTTTCTTTTTCTTTTCCTTTTTCTTCTTCTTTTGGTTTCATAATTTCACTCTTTTGGATTTCCCAGCAATAATATATATATCTATATATAGATATATAGATATTATTAGTATTATCGTAGGTAGGATATATATATATATATATAGAGAGAGAGAGAGAGAGAGAGGAAGAAAGGTAGTAGTGTTCCCATCACGATTGGTAGTCTAAATTCAATGGCCTCCTTTGCTCTTCGGGCTGCTCGTTTTATTCGCACTTTTGATTTAAAACATAGTTGTCGAACTCGTCCCTTCACGTGGTACTTCTCATTGTGTTTTCTCTTCGTTTCGTGGGCCAACTACGCACAGTATAAACGACTCAAACCAATGTATCCAAACTATGAGGATTACCGCGTCAGTGAAGGCTCTCGTATGTTGGATGCCAAGCGACAGGAACTGGCAGATGTGATGCGGTATAATACTATGGTAAAGACCATGCGTAGCGAAATGAAGACATAAAATAATAACACTTTTATTATTATGATGATGATTATTATTTGTTTTTCTGTTTATTCATTTCTCTGTTTGTTTGTTCTTAATGCTATTTCGAAGATGGTGTTGCATTCCCTTTTTTTTCTTGTTTTTTTTTTTACTCTGTATAAGTGATCGAAATTAAAGGAATCTCTCCCCCTAAAAAAAAAAAAAAAGTGCTGGACAATGAGTTCATCCAAATAATAATAATAATTATTATTATTATTATATAACTGCTATTATTACTGTTTCTCTTTCTTATTTATTTTTTATTTTTTTATTAATGGTACTATTATAAATTTTTCTTTCTGATTTCTTTGCTTGTACTTTTCAAAAAAAAAAAAAAGAAAATAAAATAGAGATTAGAGGTCAATCATGAGAAAGAAACATGTCATAGCTCCCTCTACATTTCTCTCTCGAGTCATGGATTGTATGGATTTCAACGTCCATCGTATCAACATTGTACATCTTATTAAGGGTTATTATCCAACGTATTCCATGTTGGTTGCGGCTGTGTTTCTTCTTCTTTCTCTTACATTTGCTTGGCCACCGGGGGAACAGTTTCTGTATAGTAGTTTTACTTCTTTTATTGCACTTTCTTTTCTTTTCTTTATGGTCGCTGCAGGACTTTTCCGTCTCTCTGGTGGTGTATTCACACGACGTCGACATCAGGAAGAATGGTTGGTAGAGAATGCACTAGATGCATGTCAACTACTCGTTAATAGTTTCTCATTACCGCAGGGTTTATATTCACTATTGATATTAGAAATGATAGCCCAACTTGGGAAAGTTCTGCAAGGAACTGTATGTTTGTGTTTAGTAGCGGCTGTTTGGTTAGGTTGGTTAGTCTGGAGAGAAGTAAAGAGTACACGGGTCTCATGAAGAGATTGTTGTAAGTGAAGTAAGAATTCCACAGGGTGTTTTTTTTTTTATATATATATATATATATATACAAGAGGAATAGTGTCGTTGACTGTTTGAAATGAGAAGAATAATAATAATGATAAAAAAAAGAAAGAAGCAGTGTAGAGAAGTTGAGAGGCGTTTTTTTTTTTTTTTTTTGGCTGGAGAAGGATGATGAGATACATTACAAAGAGAGGGAGTGAAAAGAGAGAAAAAACGAGGGGGAATCCTCTGTGTATGTATGTTTGCATGGAACCTTTTTTTTTTGGTTAATGTTTACTTTAATGAATTTCTTTTTTTTTTTTTTCTTTTCTTTTCTTTTCTTTAAATCCTTATTGTTTCCTCTAACTAGATAGCAGGATACGTTGGAGTGAGAACCTCCATTCATATTTAAAAGAACTACAAGAATAATAATAATAAGAATATGCGGTGTACTTGGATTCTACACTGCAGTTCATCATCACTGCGTTCATTAAGTGAAGTGGAGCGTCGTTTTCGTGCTCGTGATATCACACTGCGGGTGTGCACAAAGAATGGTACTGCACGACTTGTTTACGCGAACACCACAAATTTATTGAAGGAAACGATTAAACGACATCATTTAGGATCACGTACACATGGACATCTTTCTTTTCTAGAGCTTGTGGGTTCACATTTAACGTTTACAAACATCTTAGCAGCTTTACAAGAAGGGGAAGAACGTGTGATTTCTCGCTTTACGGCTGATAATGCCACCATTGTGGCGGAGTCTTTGGCTCTTGGTGAGTGTCGTTGTTATATTCGTGGGGATAATAATGGGAGTATTGAAGGAACTCCATTTCCGTTGAAAGTAGATCGGATTTTGTATGGACAGAGTCAGCCGTTTTCATCCATGACTGCAGCTCGATTAGATAAATTGATTTCTGATGCTGAGGAGGAGGAGGAGCAGAAGAAGGGTAATTCAGATATATACAGTGGTAATAATAATAATAATAATAATAATAATAATAATAATAATAATAATAATAATACGATTAAACAGGTTCCTATAGCATTGGGATTACAGGATTTATCACCTGAGAAAATAGAAGCGTATTTTCGATATAATATTTCTCTTCATGGTTACAACTTCTTTAGACAGTCAGAAGGGGCGGCTGTGGCATTATGGTGTTATTCACATCTTCATGATGCATCTATTCAAGAAGTACTCACCCAATTCAGTAATGACATTACAACAGACGCACTTGATAAATCTCAGGAATTAGAAAGAGAACTTGAGATGAGAATAGGACGAGCAGGATGTTCATTTGGTGTATTAGTTCAACCAATCGTTGCGAAACAAACAGAAGAGATGAGAGTATATGAATTACAACGATCTCTTCTACGGGCTTCTATTTCTAATCCAGATGTGTTTAATCCATTATATCGCCGTGCACAAGAGGATTGTCTCTCCTGTCAAGATACACTTTCACTCGTGAGTGGAGATTATGAAGGGGCGTATGCAGTGGCATTAGCGGCCCGTCAATGTACACAAGATCCTTCTATAGTGGCACCTATTATAGAAAAGATACGGCAGCAGTTAGGTGTGCGGGATATACAGTTACAACTAGAGACAGAGTCAATAGTGAGAAATGGATTAGATTTCTTTTGTCGCTGCAGTAAAGGGGATTTTATGCGGTCGTTGATAACACTTTCTATGGAGGAATTAGGGCGACTTCGGGAGGAAAACAGTTTTCATTGTTCCTTCTGTGGTAAGGATCATCCACTGCTGCATGAAGATTGGGAGAAGGTTATGCAAGAAAAAGAGAAAAGATAAAAAAGAAAAAAAAAAATGAGTCATAAAAAAAATATGTATTTTTTTTCTTTTTTATTTCTTTTTATATGAATCTTTTTATATTTTCTTCTTTGCAGGGATTTTCTTGTATTATCTATGTGAAGGGGAGATATCTCCTTTCTTGACTCGTGTTTTTGATTAACAGCCTTTTTTTTTCTTTGCTTTTCTCTCTTCCTTACCCACTACTATTTTGATGGTTTCTTTTTTTAACCCTTTTATTTATTTTATTTTCCTTCTTTCTTTCTTTTCTTTCTTGATAAATACCACAGAAGTATTAATTGTGCATACACGCACGTGGGGCTTCTTAACAAGAATTTCTTAGGAAACCAATCGGAAAAGAAAAAGGTAAGAAAAAAAAAAAAAAAAACAACTGCGAAACGAAGAACAACACAGAGGGAAAAGAAAGAAAGAAAGAAAAAAAAAAAGAATAGAAAGAACGTGAGGGAAGAACAAGAAGAAGTAAAGTAAAAGAAACAGAAGAAGAAAACAGAAGAAAGAAATAAAGAAAAAAAAACACAAAAAAAAAAAAAACAAAGAAAAAGCATAAAGAAAAAAAAAAAAGAAATAAACTTTTAAGAAATAAAAAACAACAAAAAAAAAAAAACAAAAGGGTGTGTCTGTGTCCGTTGTATTGCACAAATCATGTTCAGTGGTCAAGGCGAGAAACCGAAGGGGGCGAAACAAACCCCATCCGTGAAGGCAGGCGCTGAACGCCGCCAGCGACAAATGATCAGTGTGCGCCAGAAGGCCCACGGGGAACTCATGAAACACGTCCGCGAGGAACACGATGATGGAAACAACGCACAGCAGGTCCCCAACGGCGACAGCATGGACGTGTGGGCGTATAATAACAAGACGCGACCAGAGGCCGTCCCACTCGCACTGCTCCCCGAGTTTGTGCGGATGGTCATGCACGGGCAGACCGAGCAGGAGGTCTTCCACGGCACACTCATGATCCGCAAGCTGCTCTCTGTGGAGATGGACCCGCCGCACGACGCCGTCACGCAGAGCGGCGTTATTCCGTACCTCGTCTCGCTCCTCGACCGCGTGCAGAGCCCGCAGCTGCAGTTTGAGGCCGCGTGGGCACTCACCAACGTCGCCGCCGGCACCTCGCAGAACGCCGCTCTTCTCGTGGAGGCCGGCGCCATGCCACGCTTTGTCGCCCTGTTGGGATCCGAACACGCCGACTGCCGCGATCAGGGCGCGTGGGCGATTGGCAACATGGCTGGCGACGGTGTGCCCTGTCGGGATTTGGCCCTGCAGTGCAATGCGATGCCGGCCCTCCTGCACGCCTTGTCTGTGCCCGACCAGCAGCTCAGTGTGGTGCGGAACGCGACGTGGGCGGTGTCGAATCTCTGCCGCGGGAAACCACCGCCGCCGCTGGAGAGTGTCGCCATCGCACTGCCAATGCTCTGCAGTCTGCTGCACCATCCAGACAATGAAGTCGTGACAGACGCATCGTGGGCCATTTCGTACATGAGTGATGGGCCGCATGAGCGTGTGCAGGCGGTGATAGACGCAGGTGTGGTTCCACGCGTGGTGGAACTTCTTTCATCCTCATTAACGCCACTGCAGACATCTTCCATTCGTACCATTGGAAATATCGCAAGTGGAGATGATGCACAGACACAAGTCTTAATTAACTGTGGAGCACTTCAATTTTTGGGACCTCTTCTAACGCATCGTAAGCGTGAGATTCGTAAGGAAACCTGCTGGACCATTTCTAACATCGCTGCAGGAAATGCACCACAGATTGAAGCCCTTATCACAGCAAATCTTTTCCCCTTGGTGATTAAATGTCTCGAGGGATCAGACCTTGACGTTAAGAAAGAGGCGGTATGGTCTATTGCCAACGTCACTCTTTGTGGAGTTGCACACCATATGCGCTACCTATTGGACTGTAGGGTTATACCGCCGTTGTGTGAAACACTAACCACGCATGAGTCGAAGATTCTCACGGTGGCTCTCGAAGCCTTGCTGGGGTTTCTCCAACTAGCAGAGGAAGATTATAAGGCAGGTGCAACTCCAGAGAATATGGTTACACGCGCTATCATTGAGTGCGGTGGTGTAGACTCTATTGAAAGAATGCAATCGTATTCTGATAATAATGTGTACAACATGGCTCTTTGCATTCTGGAGACATATTTTAACACAGAGGAGGGTGCCCCTGAGAGGTTTGATATGTCCATGGAGGTTACCGGAAATGAAGCGAGTGGGAATAACACCGGTTTTAACTTCTGATGAAACATATAGAAGAGAGATCAAATAGAGAGGGGGGGTGGAGAGAAATGGGGAAAAAGGGGGAAATGAAACTTGTGAAGGAAAAGGAAGGAATGATTTCTCTCTTTTTGTGTTTGCCTGTGTCTGCGTGTCTGTGTGATCGATGGATTGATTGATTGATTGATTGATTTGTTTTTTTTTTTTCTCTCTCTCTCTCTCTCTCTCTCTCTCTATGTCCTTGTGTTTGTGTGTGTGTGTTTCCGAGTATTTGAATGATAGTTTTTTTCTTTGTTTTTTTTTTTTTTTGTGTGTGTGTTTATTTCTTTGTTTTTCTTGTTTTCTCTGTGTATAACTGTGGATGGGGTGTAAATATATATTTATAAAAAAGATAGGCTTAAATAAAAAAAAAAAGTAAAAAAAAAAAAAAGAAGAACAGTGAGAAACGATGACAGATCTGCAGATTCCGCTACTCAAACGTTTTTCCTTTTACTTGTTACCATACGATTCTTCTTATTAGTATCTATACTGGTGACATTTGAAGGGATTCGTGGGAGAAAAGTAAGGGGGCAGTGAACTTCAAATAATATCTTTTCTGACTTCATAGAAGGATTATGAGCATTCTGTACACGTCTAAATAAGGAAATGAGGAAACAAGCGATAAGTAAAGAAGAGTAAGAATAAAGAAAGAAAAAAAAATAAAGAAGAGAATGCAAGGGGGGATATGGTGAATGCCGTAGAAGTTATTCTTCCAGTCACCAATATCCTAATTGGCATTTTTTTTTTTTTATTTATTGTTTTTTTTTTTGCGTTTTGTTTTTCTTTATTTTTCTTTTTTCTTTTATTCTTGAGAGCACACTCTGTGTGACTTGTTTCAGTTTGTACTTCCTTTGGATTATGTTTCTAATGAAGATTAAGAGAAGGAAAGAAAGAAAAAAAAAGGAAACGGGTTAAACTGTGAGTTCTGTTCTCCTCTTTATTTCCCATCGTTTCTATATTTCCCTATCATGTAATCCTTTTAGTATTAATATACAGTCCCCCCACAAATTTCAGATCACGTATTTATCTACTAATCATAATCATTCACTTTATTCCTATATATACTTATATATATATATATATATATATATATATATAGGAATAAAGTGAGTTTACTATGGGTTCTCTAGCCCATTAGGCAGCCCCACTGCCTGTAGGTCTATAAAAAAAAATAAAAAAAGGGAAAAAATAATAAATAAGTGGTTTTTTTTTTCTCTCCTCCTTTTTTCTTCTTCTTTATGATTATAAATATAGTTTCTTCACAGGGTCGTAAGTAAGTAAGACGAAAAGCGCACCCACACAACACTATACGTATTCTATACACGGACAGTGAAATTAATAAAATAAAATAAATAAATAAATGGAAGCCCCTTTCCGACGCCGTGGCCGTAAGGAGGAAGAAGAAGTTGATGAGTTCGACAGACAACGAGATCGCAAACAACGACGCCGCGAAGAGCGACAGGCACGCAAACGCCAACGCATCGAGGCTCATGAAAAATGGGTCGAACAGCGGCGAAATATGAAAGAAAACGCACAAATGGAGCGGCGTTCCAAACAACAGAGAACAGACAGCACGCAACGTAAACAAACTAGGAAGACTAATACTAATACTAATAGCACGATCTCATCATCATCATCATCATCATCATCATCATCTAGGATTACGCCACCAATGAAGAAGGAAAGTAAAGGAAGTGTAACGGTGGGAAATGAAGTAAAAAAGGAGAAGAAACAACAACAACAGCAGCAGCAGAAGAATAATAAGAAGAATAATAAGAAAGAAGGAGAAGAGTTAAATACAGTGGTGCCGGAGACAACTAGTGTAGAAGTTCCTTCTACAAAGTATATTCCCCCATCGTTACGACGAAAGATACAACCGGAAACCAATACCGCCCTAGATGAGATTACACGACGTGTTATTAATAAACTAACTGTACGTAATGTAGCCGATATGACAAGAGAAATCTCTGATCTCTTTTCTGGAAGTGTGGAAGGAGCTACACGGGCATCTGTATTACATAGTCTTGCTCAGCATATTAACCGTATGTGTATGTTAGACGCCGGACTTCTTACGCCTATTGGAAGTCTTCCATTCGCAGGATTAATTCGAGGTTTACAATTACTACATGGTAATGTGGTAGGTGCAGAATTAATAGAAAGTCTTTGTCTCGCTTTACAAGGACATCTTAAAAAAAATAATGAAACTGGAGTTTCCAATGGGGCTATGGTGCTCGCTCATCTTTATATCTTAAATGCCGTTGATTCGGTGTTAATCTCTAGTTTCTTACGTAGTGTGTTGAAGATTGGAGGAGATGGGGCGGTGTGTGCAGTGGCCTGTGGATTAACTCTACTCCGTGCCTGCGGTGAGAAGTTGTTAAAAGAGGCACCCGCACAAATGGAAATGGCATTAACAGAGGCAAAGAAGTATGGACGAAAACAACCACAAGGCACTAATCGATATACCGCACTGCTTAGTTATATTGCTGAAATTGTAACCGGTCATACACGAAGTGCGAAGCGTACAGTAGATGAAGAAGATTTACCCATAGATACACTTCTTAATGATATGTCTACACTTTTACCAGGCGGTAGTAGTGGTGGTGGGAGTAATTCTATGAATAATAAACGTGTGGCTTTGCGAGTGATGAGTACAACGAGTGTGTTAACGGGAATGACATGGACACGAATGCTGCATACAGATAAACCCCCTCGATGGTTTACACCAAATGCATGGAGTCAATATGAAGATGAAGAGAAGGAAAACAATAAGGGAAAAAATAACAAGGAATCTTCTTCTTTTTCTTCTTCTGAGGTATCATCATCATCATCATCATCTAATAGTGATAAGGATGAAGATAGTGATACGGAGGAGGATGAGGCAGAATTAAAGGCAGAGCGTATTCGTCAAATGCGGCAGAAGGAGAAGGCGATATCCGGCCAAAGGTTCAACACAGAGAATAAACGTGAGGTGTTTGAGTGTATTGCGAATGCCTCTGATGATCTTGAGGCTTTTACATTACTCATACATCGTGATACTTCTTTTAGTCGTCTACACGATACATTGTCTGTTCTTCTTCAGTGTTGTTATCAAGAGAAGACTTACAATCCATATTATACACAAATTATTCAACGTTTCTGCAGTGCAAAGACATCCTGTAAGAATACACTTCAGTTTGCACTTTGGGATATGTTTAAAGTTATTAGAGTAGAGGCGGTGGATGTGACTGGATATTTAAATCTTTCATGTTTGTTGACTTCTCTTATTGAAATGGATATTTTTACACTCAGTGTTCTCCGTGGATTAGACTTGGAATCTACGAATCGAACAATGGGACTTTTTACCCGTATTCTTCTTCTTCGAATGATTTTACAATTACCGCCTGTAAAACTAACGGAAGTGTTTTTTGGCGGTGATGGATTTCGTGCCCACGATGTAAAGATAGATACAAGAATATTACGATCAAATTTGGCGAAACTTGTGGAACGTTACTTTGTGGATGAGAGGGAATCCGCGAAATGGATTCCACATTTCTATGATGTTGTGGCTGTTGGGACTAGCTTTGATGTACTTCTTAAGAAGAAGAACAAGAATAATAATAATAACAACAATGATGGGATTATAGATAATCACAGAGAAGAATCTATGGAAGATGAAGAGGCACAATTGCAGGCGTTTATGAAGAGAATTCGTGTGGTATTTAAGGCACTGAAGAGTGGCATCTCGTAAGAGAGAGAGAGAGAGAGAAATCTATATATCTATATATCTATCTATATGGTTTGAAAAGAACGTTTAAGTAAAAGAAGAGAGAAAGAAAGAGAGAAGAGAAATAACTAACTTTGTATGGGTTTCTACTAAATAAATAAATAAATAAATATATATATATATATATATATATATATATTATATGTAATTGAACTTATTTACTCTTTCATTCTTTTTTCTTTCTATTGCAAAATGAATGAAAATAGGTGGAGGAGGGGTAAAAGGAGAGGAGTAAAGAAAAAAGAAGAAATAAAAGGATCTTCACAAAAACAAGGAAAAAAAAAAAAAAGAAAGATTGAAAAGAACCCCCTTCACAAACACAATAATGTATCAAGACTTCCTCCCACGGGCTACATCGGAGTTAACATGTAGTTTCCTCCCCACATTCAACAATATATTCACAAGTGCAACTATTACAGTAGACTTTACTCCCACTAACGCAGAGTGTTTGAGTGCTGCTGGTGCTGTTAATAATATGATCAACATTCATTCCGCACTGTTGCTAACGCTCTCACCACTGCATACAGTTGGTGCAGTACGAGTGTTAGTGCAAAAGAAGAGGAATAATAATAATAATAATAATAATAATAATAATAATAATAATAATAATAATAATAATAATAATAATAATAGTGAGGAGGAGGGGGATATTATTAATAAAAATACAGCGGAGTGGCATCAACTTCAACTGGACTCTTCTATTCTTTATAAAACAAAACAGCGTATCGTGAGTGCTGCTGCACGGCAAGAACTATTATCATTAACGGCGATCTCTTCTACTCATGAAGAAGTTAAAGAGGAAATAGAAGAGAAGGAATGTGAAAAGAATGAAACTGGAAGTGATGCTGAAGTACTTGAACTCGTACTTGGATCCAGCGATGATGAGAATGACGCCTCTACAAGTGAGGTGCTGGTGTCATCTAAATTGCAAGAAGTTAATAATAATAATAATCATAGTAATAATAATTTTGATAATAATAATCATAGTAATAATAATGATAAAGATGATATGGCAACACAGTTTCTGCTTAAACTATGGCCTAGTAGTCTGGAAGGAATAAATACAGAAGAAGAGGAAGAAGAGGAGAGTAGTACATTATATATTCTACAGTGTTGTATTGATGTGATATTAGTTCCTCCAACAGAATTAGTTGGTAAGTCATTTCCATTCTTAACAGTTCTCTCAACTGTGGGATCCTCACAGTCTCTACCCGAATCCGAAGTGGGTGTAAACCGTGAGGATCAATATATGTTATTTGTAGGACAACGATTTTATGATTATTTTATTTCTCCTCGTGTGGCCTATACTGAAAGATTCTCTGATGGTGTTACTTTTACCTCTATAGATGTACTCATAAACTCTCTGTGTGTACATCAAGATGAGAGTGTAGATCTATGGGAAATTGTGACTCTCACTTCTCTTCCAGTTTTACCAGAGAATTTATTCTGTGCCTTTGTACGATCTTCATTAGAAGAGAATACGGGTTCATCATCTGCGGTGGAATTACATGCGGGTGTGAAATGGTCTGTTCAACATCATCCAGCATATACAAGGATGTCTACTTTACAAGAAGAGGGAGAAATAACTACAAGAACACGTCTTTATTTTTTTCATTGCGATCACATATTATGTGAATATTTACTTCCACTCATACATAAAGCGAATACAGCATGGGATAGTGTAGGATCAAAGAAAACAGATGTAAACACATTATCTCCTCACTCTGATGAGATCACTTGGGTAATTACTAGTAGTAGCCATACATTATTGCGTCTTCGTCGAGGGGCATTATGTGTACGGGGTGGAGTGTTATTAACAGCAGATGTACTGCGGGCCATGTGGTCTCCTCCGCATGTATTAACGGTTAATTCCCGCGTAGATACATTAAGGGCGAAAGTACTATTGTTTAGTCTTGCATTAGAAATGAAATGGCGGACTGCTGCTGCTGCTGTAGTAGTAGAGAATAGTAATAATAATAATAATAATAATAATAATAATAATAATAATAGTAATACTATTATGAATACAACTACTACTATACCAGAATTTAATGCAATGATATCCGGTGTTGGTCTCACACGTGCATGGGCCTTTTGTCTTTCTTGTGATGAGCCGGGATGGACAGAATTATTACAACAGGAACGTTGTATCGCAGCATGTGGTCTACACACCGTTTCTCAAACAGATCCATGGTGTTTAATGCAGCGGTATATTTCTGAAGTTCGTCAAACTTTATTGTTTTTATCATCTGCCGCTGCAGTTATGTCTATTCGTCATCAATGTTGTTACCCATGGGAAGTGATGGAAAAACAAAATGATACATTATTTTCTAAATTATTGGCTGAAATGAATTTAACCATTTCGTATGGAATGCATTTAGATCTTATACGATTATTACTTCAAGAGGAATGGAATAGTCAGCGAGGCAATAATAATAATAATAATAATAATAATAATAATAATAATAATAATAATAATAATAATAATGCGGTGAGTTCTGTGCCTATGCCCCTTTTGGCTTCTCTTTCATATGAAGTCAAACCAACGCAGTCGGCGGTGTGTCGTGATATACTTCTTCATATGCGGTTTCCCAAGTTAGAGAGTACACGTGGACTTGTTAAGGGAAAGAATGAGTCTACAGAGAGAATGTGGGGAATTGATTTATCCTTCACACTACTGGATTTCACTGTGGAAGGGCCAGAGACATCTCTCTTCACAGTGGCTGCATCTACACGGAAAGAACAGACACTGCAGTGTCAGGTTACTCAGACCATTCCGGGATATTGGAGAGTCTCAGGACTTGCATGGGTAAGAGGATTGGATCAACAGACTATGTTTTCACTCCTTCAAAGAGAAAAGGAAGAGGATCCTAATGAGGATAAGAAGAATAACAAAGATGTTGAGGGAAGGGGAAATGATGGAAATGAAGATACAGATGGAAATAAAAAAATATTTACAATGCAGATGCCTTTATTAGTGTTAAACCCTAAAGTTATTCCTGCAGCGTTGTTAGTGCGAGTTCAACACCATCAATTTTGGTCTAATCTTTCAACACTTATAGATATTCATACACGTCGAGTTATTCTGGAATACATTATGGAACAGGCCGTACAAGAAGGAGAAACTAGAAAGATGGAGGAATCTAAACTTCTCTTTACACCATTACTAAATCAACTTTTAGAGAGTCTTCTTGATGGGAATCCACAAGAATATCAAGAAAATCATTCAGTCTCTTTAAATACAACGAAAATGACGCCCTTATCACTATTCTTTACAGCATTACGAAACCTTCACGTTGATGAGAGACTTGTTTGGCGTCAAGTTTACTCGGACATACATACACGTTTTTCATATTATCTCTCAAAACATCATTTTCCTTCATTTCAGTTAACTGCTGGAGGAAATCAAGAGAAAAAGGAGAATCTCAGTGAGAATACGGGGTCTAATCTTAATCCTAATCTTAATACTAATCCTAACAATAGAAATGTATCAGATGTGGAAAAACAGTTATTAAAACACCTTGGAACCATTACATCCTATTATGATTCTCTACCCCCTACAGAATCACAACAATCACAACAACAACAACAACAACAACAGAAAAGTCAGAGGCCACGATTGGTATTGAGTTTGAAAAACAAAATAATCCTAACTCGAAAAGAAAACGAGGAAGAAGAAGAAGAAAAGAAAGGAATGAAGAAAAAGAAGAAAGAACGTAACACTCCATCTAACCCTACAGAACTTGTTGAAATGGTTAACCGCGTTATTATAGAAACTTCAAAATGCAAAGATGATGCTGCACTTGCGGCGAGAAGAGCAGCACTTTCCTTATCTATTTCATTATGTTTACTTCTTCAAGGGAGTCCAGAGTTGCTGAAGGACCGAAAAGGGGGAAGTACACTGGCGAAGGCACAAGAACTTTATGAATCCCTTCGAAATGCGGCTGCTGCTGCGGCTGGAGAGTCTGATACTATTCTCCTGAAGGTATATGAGGGTTTTTATGCAAAATAATGAGAAGTTGGATGAAAATAGATAGGGGTTTAATCTCCTTTATTCACGAGATAATTTTTAGGCGTTTTTTTTTTTTTTTTGTGTGTGTGTGTATGTAATCATGAACTTAAGTTGGGCATTCATAATGCTTGTGTTTTTGTTTTATTATTATTATTATTATTATTATTATTATTATTATTATTATTATTATTATTTTCTTAAAACATTGATAGAGTCTCATGTATACAAATCTTTGTTTTTCTTTTTCTCTACTTTTATGCTTTATTTGTATGTTTTCACTATTTTTATTTATTTATTTATTCATTTAATTACTTAGGAACATAAAGAAATGTCGGGTGATGCGATTCCTCCCTTACCTAAGAGTTCTAATCCTCTCGTGGAAAGAAACCTTGTTGAGACTTCTGAGACTTTAACGGATTCCCGAAAGAGTTTTGGAGAGGGTGTAGAGTTCTCTCATGTTATCTCCACTGCGGAGGATTATTGGGAGTACTGCAGGAAGTTAGATCAGCTGCGGTGCCACCTTGGGGAACCTCTCTCACCAGAAGCCGCTGAACTGTATGGACCCACCTCTATTTGTTCAAATCGTATTTGGCTGCTATTTAAATGGCGAAATAAAAAATACGGTACAGTTTTACATGAACCGAAGGAAACAACTGTCATGTTAGGCCCGGGTTGGCCAATGTTATTATTTAATTTGTTCCTTCTTCTTCTGGCCTCCGTACTCTTTACGGCTTCCTATAAAGATGAAGGGTTTTGGGAATTCCACGTTGTGGTGTGGGTGTTGGGATTGATCACTGTTGTATTGATGTTTTGGGTTGCGATGAGAAATCCCGGAATTGTTCCGCGGCGGCAGAAAAAGGGACTAACCACAAGAAATTATGTACGAGTGCGAGTACCAGTGCCAATGTTTAAGAAACTTCAAGAGAAGAATAAAGCGATGTCTAAAAAAGAAGAGGGGCCAGAAATGGGAGTAGAAAACGTAAATACAACAGAGGTGACTGGAATCATACCTGGTTGGTTCTTTGATGATAAGAAAGTAACCATTAAGGAATGTAATGTGGATTTAAATACCCCTTTTGTTTTGTGTAATTCCGAAAAAGAAAAAGAAGAAGAGGGAATGATGGAGATGAATCTAATCTATTGTAGAACGTGTAATATTTACCGAGCCCCACGTACTCATCATTGTTCTGTATGTGATTGTTGTATAGATGAATTGGATCATCATTGTGCATGGCTGGGATGCTGCGTTGGCAAAAATAATTATCACATATTTTTTGCCGCAATTATATCTCTACATGTGATGATACTCTGTGTTCTTTGGTTTCACTTCGTCAATAACCTTTTATATTTTTTACGTCATCCCTATCTTACACCTCACCAATTACTTAAACGCGTATACTATCTTCCTATTGTTACATTGGCAATTTCATTTGTTCTTGGTATATTTTTTTCTGGTTTAACGGTGGTACACATCTATGTACAGTTGAAGGGTATCACCACTGTAGAAATGCTGGGAAATAAATTTAAGAAAAAACCATTTTGGGGTATTAGCCCTTGGAGTCTCGGTAGTAAATGGAAGAATATGAAGTATCGCCTAACACCTCACACTCTACCAACATTCCACTCTGAGGTATATTACCCCGTAATGGTGGCAGCTCTAATAGAAGACCGTAAGTTGGATATACTTATGCAATTGCCGAAGGAGGAGCGTGAACGTGTGAAGAAGAAGATGCAAAGTGATGACAATGAAGAAAAGATATCAAAAGGAAAGGAGTGAACTTTTTTTTGTGTTTTAGTTTTTTCTTTTTTATTATTATTTGTCCTTCATTTTATGTGTGATGTTTGTTTTTGTGTTTTTTTTTTTGTTCTTACCCGCAACATCGTTACTTATGCGATTTTTTTTTTTTTTTTATCTTGACTCTTTCTCATACTTGACTGTAACCAGGGCATATATATGTGTAATTTAATATGTTTTCCTCTATATGATTCCAAAAAAAAAAAAAAAAAGAAAAATAGTTTTTACCTGGGTACTCCACTCTTTTTATTATTAAAATTATGATTATTGTCATTGTTATATTGTCTTTTCTTATGTCAAAATATAATGTTGTGGTTTTCATATTGTGAAAAAAAAAGAAATAATTCAATTTCTTACATTTATTGTTATTATTATTTCTTTCTTCCTCTCTTGATGCAATTTTTTTTTTCATTTCCTTTCGATTGACTAATTTCACAGTGTGTATAGTTAGTCCCCCTTAGGCTCCGTATTACAGCTCCACTCTCCCTCTCTTTTTTATTTTCTTTCTGTATCTCATTTCAACTACTTTTTTTTTTTCCTTCCTCTTTTGTCTGATTCTCTCCTTATATATATATATATGGTTTTAGTAGTGCATAGACCTGGGTGTGGGAGAAGGTAACTGAAAGCAAACCCGTATACACTAACTATGCAACCACCGCCGCCGCCGTATTATCCTCCTCAGCCGCCGCCGCCGCCGTATTTTCATCCTCCTCCTCCTCCTCCTCCTTCTTCTCAAGAGCACCAACAACAACAACAACAACAACAGCAGCGGGATCAAAAAGTGCAGGAAAAACAGGAACGACAGCCAAAGAAGGAAGGAAACAACCAAACACGTAGACATTCACAGAAACGTAGAAGCGGCCCCGCACCCTCCATCACTCCCCCTCCGCTTGAATGCACGCCGGAGGGCGATGTTGTGATTCGCGCCGCGGACGGCCATCGGTATCGACGGAGTGTTTGTGTGTTTATTATGAACCCGCACGGCCGTTTTCTCGCCGGCCGCCGCCGCGATGACCGCCGGGTGCTGCAGTGCGTGCAGGGCGGCGCCACCCCGCACGAGTCGCCCATCCAAACGGCGGAGCGGGAGGTGTTTGAGGAGTTGGGCATCCCGTCCACACAACTGCGCCTCGTTGCGGAGATCCCACCACCAACACCGGCAGAGACAAGGAATGCGATTTCTCACGATCCGCGGGCGGTGTTTCGCTACAACTCCAAGTCCTGGCGGAAGTACGGCATTAAAGGACAGGAACTATACCCACTCCTCGTCCGCGCCAATACGGAAGTTATTCACACATTAAATTTTTCAGCAGTCCCCGGAGTGCGACCAGAGTTCTGTGCGGCGCAGTGGGTGACGCTGGAGGAGTTGATGCAGTATTGCTCTCCATCGAAGCGGGAGGTGGTGGCGAATATGTGTGCAGCCGTTGCACCACTGGTGTTGCGTGTGTTGAGTGAAGAAGGTGTGATGCCGCATGTTGATTCACAACACCAGGAAGAGGTGCACCGACGCTCTGATGGTAGTAACACTAGTAATAATGGTGGTATGGCTAAGGGGCGCTGGTAGGCACCAACACTGCTGCACATTTCCGGTATAAAAAGAAAAAAAAATTGAAAGAAGGAAAAGGGGGAACTAAATTATGTGATTCATGGAATTGTGTATCCCTATTCTTTTTCAGAAAAAGAGAAAATATATATTTTTGGTGATGTGTCAGTTCTGATAGGGAACAGAAACAAAATTATGAAGACGTCTGTAGGTAATGCTGTTATTGCTGCTATAATTAATGATTTTCTTTCATTTTTTTTTTCTTCTTCTTCTACTACTACTACTGCTACTACTGCTACTATTGCTACTTTTTATTTAAAATTCACTCTATATACACTGGGTGTAACAAGTTGTACACAACATTTAAGAAATACTACAGAGTCTACCTCTATTTCAACTGAACTGTGAACAGATAGCAGATATAGATAATAGATATAACTATACATATAGATACACACATATATACGAGTAGACACACTCTGTTATGTATAGAGTTTACGCATCAAAGGTTCGAGTAATACCTGGATTTCATCCAACGTTTATACGGCGGTTAAATGTTATGTTCATCATACCCTTTCGTCTTCTTATGCTTGTAGCCCACTTTACTGCACTCATCTGCGCTTCACTTGGGAGTGATGAAATGATATTAGAGGCTTCATTGGGTCCAGAGTACACCAAAGACGAATATTTATACTTTAGACGTTCAACAGATGCATGTTTGGCAGCATCTTTTTTATTTCTTTTCTTCGATTGTTGGGGAATTGTGACCGCTCGAACCCTCAGGTCAGGACTTATGAATACAATAAATGGATGTCTTCATGCTGCTGCTGCAGTTTTGTTAATAGTTGCTTGGAATGCCACAATGCATGTTACACGAATTTGGCAGATATTCTACATATTTAGTATTATACCAACAGGATTAGAAGTAATTGCATTATGCATTTCATACAATAACGGTATGGACAACTTTTACTGAGAGTTATCTTAATATTTTTTTTTTTTTTGAAGTTCTTTCTTGTTATTGCTTTCTTGCAATGTGTACATTTGGCACTGAATCCAATAGAAACTGTCGTTGAGATGTTGTAAGATGTTTGCTATTATTTTTTGTTGCTCCACACCATACTCTTTTACCAAAACTTTTCCAAAGAGAATTAATTATATTATGATTATTAATTGTATTAATTAATTAACTACCTAATTTATTTGTTTATTCTTCTTTTTCCCACTTAGGAACATATGTTTTCGTAAGGGTAAATATAGGGGATTACCATTTCCGGCCAACTACCTTCGCAACCCAGACATTGCGGTACTACGAACAAAAAACCGGATCTGCTTCATGTGTTAGCACATTGGAACGCTAACCAAATTCCCTTCACTACAAACTAACGTAAAATGACACATGTATTTTTTTTTTAAAAAACACGACTTCTGTTTATAACTCACGAATTCATTAATTCTTTATCAATATTTCTCTGTCTGTGTATCTGCGTGAATGTGTATGCATCTATTTTGCTTATCCCTGTGTATGATGATCAACCGATACTACCTGAGTGTATTCTGACCCCTTTTTGGGGTGTGACGGCTACAGTAATCGACAAGAACCCTTTAACACTGAGCAGGCG